TTGGCTGGTTCGACTCTAATAAACGGTCGTGTTCTCTGTCGCCTCCTTTTTCCTATCCTCGGGTAGCTACGGGCTGTTAAGTAGAGGGTTGTAAGGTAGTGCTAGATCCTCTAGTCACTACATTTGGTGACCCCGACGTGATGAAATCCGGCTACTGCACATTTGGTTTTCCCAACGTGATAAAACCACTTTATTTTTGACGCCGTTGATTGGTGATATCCGTCGAATTTTTCACAACCCTCTCATCTGTTAACAATGAGTGACCCTATTGCTGTACACCTCTGTTTGGAAAACAGCATTTCAGTCAACTCTCTCCCGTGCTTTCCCAATGCCCGAGTTTGGCTTATGTGACCTGAGGCCCATTTTCGTAATTGGATGATTGCCTCCCAATTCTCCAAATACTTTTGTGCTGGTGCATCGCTACCGAGAGATGTTGCTACAGACGTTATCGACTTGCTTGGAACAATGCCTTCTGAAAACCCCTTTGGAGATTTGAATGTTGCTGCTCTAGCACTATTGATCAGCTTAAGCGAGCCTCGTCGTCGACGCCTACTTTCTGGTATCGAACTAGTTGACAGGTCTCCTTCTCAACTCCTTCAGCATATACGCCTCTTTTTTGGGGATATCAAGGATAATGATTCCGTTCTATGCCAAATGTGGACTAAAACTTTCTTGGCACACATGAACACAATCACCTCGTTCCTAAGCTCTAGCGTACATTTGGATTAGCTCACAGAAATGGCTCATAATATCCGCGAATGTCTGACCCACGGAGCGGAAATTCCAACCGTCTCCTCTGGTGTAGCAGCTAACAGATAGCCAACCACCTACTGAGATTGGATGAATTATCATCTAGACAGCCTCAGCAGCGACAGCGCACCAATTCCCGTTTCCGCTAGCCAAGTCAACCCAGGAAGAGATCCGACCTACCCTTGTTACCCGTTGTCGGCTTTGCTGATTCAGTTCACCTATTGTCGAGTGTTTACTGTTTCACAGCTAACACTATCGGCGGGGAATATTTGTAGTGGACTGACAGCCGCCCCGCAAGAGTGTGCGTGCATGAAGGCCCGTGTGTAGCGATGACTCATCCCCTTTTGTTATTGATTTTTGTCATCATTCGCCTGTTACGCACGCGTGCTCATACGCACACAAGGCCACTTGGCTGGTTCGACTCTAATAAACGGTCGTGTTCTCTGTCGCCTCCTTTTTCCTATCCTCGGGTAGCTACGGGCTGCTAAGTAGAGGGTTGTAAGGTAGTGCTAAATCCTCTAGTCACTACATTCTCTCAGAAATACAAATAGACAAGGCAAAAAATGCATGGTTGTCCAGATGAAGCCTTTTCTGAGGTTCCAACTGATCATGATCAGAGAAAACTAGATGGTCGAGGAATTGTCTCTGAGCATGTCTCTCACAAAATTATCAAATAAGTATATCAGTGTCAGTTGTTTGTACACGAAAGCTAAAACTCGTAAAGATATGAGAATTCGCGGTTATCATGGTTAGGGGAAACCCAAAGCTTTCAACTATTTATGTGGGGAACGGGCAAATGTTGACCAGATAGCACGTTCTCTTGTAGTTTCCTAGTCACAGCTTAATAAGGCAGTCAAAAGAAAATATTCGAAGGCAATGTAATTGGTGCTGGAGTTAGTCGTCAAATGGCCCTTTTTATCAAGAGCAGAGATATTAAAAACTCACATTATATTGGAGGAAAAATTACTAAGCCAGGCGAGGTTGTGCTTGGGAATTTAAAGATAAATATCCACAAAAAGTCGACTTTTGGGAGAACAAGCCCCAAGAAGGCAACTCAAAAGATGTGCACATTTGGGCATCTTAGGAGTTTTAAGGTTGGGGTCGTCATTAAACATGATTAGCTACCAATGTTAGGATTTTGCAATGAAGAGAGCAGGATTTGTCAAACCTAGAAAGTCAGTTACCGAAGGGGAGAATGATCTACATTTTATCCGTGTGCGTTGATACTTCAAGAAAATGTCTCACCCCTCTCTATGTTTAGGTAGCTGTTGTATTGTAGACGTTTGAAACCAAGTTCATGAACACTCCTTGTGATATCCTGGATCTCAATGTTATCGAACAGGTTTTCGGAATTTCAAAGAATAACTCCTTGATAGCAAATAATTTACCACCTTTGAAGATAAGTTTAACACCATTCTTGGCATCTCTACCAGACTGCGTCGAGCATTAGACAAGATACGTCCGGTTATTGCGCTTTTGCATTTGCTTAAATTTATTTGTATTTCTTTGGGAATTACATGGAAAATAACCAATGAAAATATTGTCCCGATATAATACCTCTTGGACGAATTAGTTTAGCCATCGACTTCTTTTTCCATAAATATGCTTGTAAGTTCATAAAATTCAAATTGCTTCAAAACGTTCCCCCCAATTTGAACCTTTTTTTAAATGAGTCTTCAAGCTCAGAATTAGGGTCTTGCGTGTGACCGCTCATGTCGGGTAAAGCGTGCAGAAGTGCATAAACGAACGTCTTACGGATGTCGGCTGTGAAATGGAGAGGTCGGCAGGACTGTCCGATTTACTGCCTTGCTGAACATCACCTGTAACAGGCGATTCGTGCTGATTACAAAGAGGGAAGAGCTGCATTCTAATAGCAGTGATGGTGTTGATCATTGTAAAACACTCCAGAGGCACAACAAATTCGGTTGACTTGTTCGACTGACGAAGGTGTGAGTCTAGCTCAACCAGAATTCTGAAGGAAAGGACACATTAAGGGTGAGAAATGAATTTACCTGTCGAACCAACTAAACCAGAAGAAATGTGATCTCAACATAGTGGGTGAAATTAACTAACAACGTAGTTTTTAGATATAAAAAATTACGAACACCTCCTTACCTTTTCGCAGCCTCCCGAAGGAGATTTGAACACATTGTTCTCGTTGCTTCAATCCAGCTCGCAGCTTTGGTGCGTTCTGGCCATCCAAGCTCAGCGATAAAGTCCTTCAGGGCGTACAGCCTAAACACCAGAATTCCAACAGTGTGACAGCACCGGGCGCAACTCAACTCCACGGATAGGTCAACCTGTTCGGGCTGTTCGCTGTTGTCTGGCATTTCGCCGTGTGTGTTAGACAGCACCATTGGTGTGCTGGAAACTGACACAGCAGAGTGACGGCCCGGCCTGGCAAGTGACATTCGATCCGGGGTGTTGTGGTTCATGACGCGGGAGACAAAAGCCAGTGGACTGCTGCGGGAGAGGACGTCGAGGAATGCACTGGTGGGTCCGACAGTGGAGGTCTTCGGACGACGAACCTGTCTAGTGGGGGCTTGAAAAAGCCCTTCATTGGAGGTGGCAGAAGTGGTATGGCCTTTGCTGGCCCCACCACCCATGTTTTGGTAGAATTTTCTCATGTTTAGTGAACGATTGCTCCCCGTGTCTGTGTCCATGTGGCCTTGGGAACTGATGGATGAACCAAGAGCATTGTCGGTTGAGTCAACTAAAAATTTAAAAAAATAGGGATATTTTGGCGTGTTTAGATTTAAGGCCAGAAATACCACCTAATAGTAATATTAGGCGGCATATTAATTGTAAAAAGAAGTAGTAAAAATGGGGTTGGATGAAATTTTACCAGCAGCGCATCAAGGTAAAATTTGGACCTCAAGATTACGACAGTTTCAGCCACTTTAATAGTGAAGTGAATAGTTTATTTACTATAAAATGTGCTCGAGAATCTTTTACACGGGAAGTAACACCCGCTCATGACATGCAAATTTGTTGTTCTGGTGATCACACACTATCTGCGGAACAAAATCGATCGATTATGCAGGTTATTTGTAAAGTAATTAAACCAAAATTATAACGGCATCACTCATTCAAATATAAGAGGTTATTAGTAAAAGTCGACCTTAGAAGCAATCAGCATTCGAGTGTCTGATAGGGCAAGAGCTGTTGATTGCCTTAAATCACTTTATTAAAGAATTTCGTAATTTCTCGCAACGATGATCAGTACTGCTTAGTTTTAACAACTAGGGCAGGAGGCCAATGTTGAAAACTCTGTTGCCACGACAGTAGTGAGGCAATTTACGTGAATCTAAACAGCATCTGTTCACTCTGTCCAAGAAGGATCTTCGATCATAAATTAGCTACTAAAAATTCTTGTTTTCCAACGGGGCCTGGGAAACAATTTTAAAAGACTTTATTTAGGCGCTGAATCCTTATTTACACGTCTACCAAGTCCTACGTGTGTTCTTATGTGCTTTTTATAAATGCCCCGACTTGGGCCTTTACACAGACGATTTGCGTGGCGGTATAATCTCACGTGTCGAGTCAAACACAGAGACCGGTTTTGCGTTAAAAGAACAGTAGAAGGTGGTAGATGGGTACCGTTTTGGTTCCATTCCTCAGATAGTGGGATCCATTTCTCCTTCTCGATTCCCGCGATCAAGGAATTTGTGATGGAGGTTTCCATAAGATTAAGATAATTTTCTACGATGGGCGCAAAACGATCCAACAAAGCAGTGTGAAATGGCCCGTTGACAAGGGTTTCTAAGGCAAAAAAATCAATAATTTATCGATATCTACACCAATCAGCTAACAATCCCAGTCTGTATATGTTTCGTGCAAATAAGGTTTAAGAAACAATACTCTACAAAGAGCAACGAATAACTGACGAGTTTTTCAAGGTGAATAGGCAGGAGATGAGTACGGGTGGGTGCTCAAGGCCGAGTCAAAGGACTTAACTAACATGTCTCAAGACTGGCGTGTTGTAATTGATTAAAAGCCCCAAACATCAGCGTCCCCACCACGAGCCCTTTTAAACCATTTGGAAGAAGGTAGGAATGGATGGAAAGCGAAAATATGCTACGCTCAATCGAATCAACTCAGGCAGGACACCAACAGGCAGGCGATTTCTCCCAGACGCAGTAAGTCAAATGAGAGAAGGAAAGACTTCGAAAATCCGTTTCAAAGTCATGATCATAGGAACACTACATTTTGCAATTAGAAACCTGTTTACAATTAAGTCCACAGGTACAGAGGCGTAAGGGTATGACCTTAGCTGTGGTATGAGTACATATACTTACAAATTTCTCAAATGCTTAACTTTTGGGTGATTTACATCAAAGTTTCAAGAGATATGTATCCACCAGTTTACTAACTTGAATACAAGTATCCAAGAATTAATATGTTGCATCAAACTTCATACTTCTTCATTTCGACCAAAGGTCACAAAAACGTGTCTTTTTGTGGGAGGAAAATCTACTTGGTAGTTGCAGATGTTTTCAGTCAGTAGATACGTACAGACTTGTCAGAAATCAAGCCACGGCGACCTCTACTGATTGTTGCAAGTGGTTTTTTTTCAATGAAGAACAAGTGATTGCAATTTAATAAAAACAAATGAAGAAATTTTTTTATTCAGGGACTTGACAGAGATTGACCTGCTGAGTTTAAAAGCGAAAACTGAGATTTCAAATGCAGAGGGATTACGAAAAGACAGTCGTCTGAACAGTAGAGCTAAACAGACATGAACTCTGTCGCTACACTGTTGTCATTTCTTTACACCTACTTATCAAATGCATTTGACAAAACCGTCATCGACCTAATAGAAGGTTGAGCTGCAAAAGCCTTAATAATTCTGTTCCCACGGCACGGGTTTGAGTCCCACATCGGGGCCTCAACGGAAATTTCAACTATCTTGTGTGTTTGGATGACCGCAAGAATAGTATGAGCTAATTAATACAACAGGGTGAGGCCTTTTAAAAAGGCGACATTCCTTAAGTCTTATCACATAACAAGCCATCAAGTCTCGAAAACCGAATTCGGACAATCAGAAAAACGATATCAGTAGTGTAATTCTGGCTCGTACAACGTTCGACATGCGACCTCACGCAAAGTTTTATGCTTACAATAACAGGAGTTCAAACAACACGAATTGGATAATAATCAGCCGCAATTTGGCTGGCTTAAAACTTGACAATTTTAGGGTTTAAGGAGTTTCCATGATTTTTATTGGGTTGAATTTAATTAAGTATTTATGCTTTACGCGAGCATTTTGGTGACCTGTCCTGTGGACGTGGGCGCAATTGCCCTAGCAAATTAAAATACCGCAGACCCATGCTTTAAACTAGGGCCAACATTTTTTTAAGGAAATTGGGCACTTTATAATTATTTTGGATTCAGAACAGGATTTTGATTAAAGAGCCACTGGTGGGAGAAAACGGATGTGCATACCGGAATTGAGGAGACAGCTATTGAGAAACTGGAAGATTTGAAATACACCCCAGTCGTCCGAAGGTAAGTTGTCGAGGACATCCGACATGTCCATTTGGAAGAGGGAGAGGAAGTTTTCCGAATGTTCGACGAACAAGTCACCAAACCAGACAAATGACTAAACAAGGATTATGGTACAATAAGAGAAATTGTCTAAAAAAAGAGTTCAGAAATGTGGTGAAAGGGTAGTTGGTGCAGTGTTGCAAGCAATAACCTACAAAAGACGGCCAATAAGGTCCCCTTAAACCGTAAAATCGCCACAAAAACACAAAATTGTGTTAGGCGAAATGGGCCCCAGATTCATATATACCGTTAATTTCTACGAACCCACCTGGTATTTGCATTTATGAGCCACAAAATTATTCGGCCTGGTCTTTTTGCAAAGATTAGTTGCGGGGTGTTTTTAATCTTTATGAAGCAAAGGCAAACTCCTTGATTCCAATGGCTGGCAAGCCAATTTCAATATCTTGACTTATTCTGGAATCAGATACGCTTTCGGAAAAGGCATACCGCATACTGAACACATGATTTAAATCCACGTCCCGAATATCAACTAGGTCAGTAAATATTCGGCTTTTGGCGGAAACTTGAAGCTGTATCTTAACCTGAATGTAACCTCCAAAATTACACATGGTAATAATGCAACCTTATTAAGCTCAAATATGCTACTTAGGCCAAAGTAATTGCAAGCTCAAAAAAAGGGGATCGGATGTTTCTTTGGATAACATAACACAAGTGGTAGAATTTTTCGAAGCAAACTTAATGTCCACTTGCAAGATTATTCGAAATAAAAAAGGGCAGAATGAAACTGATTCGTGAACACATCTTCCGAATAAACTGGCATTACTTAGTTAACGTGACACCGGGTACAATAATGAGACGAAATATTATTACATCAAAATAGACCCGTGGATGAATCACCAAAGAACATGCCGTCAGTACATAACTTCGTAATTCCATTCAGCCTTCCAAAGGACTTGAACCCGTGTGTGAATCTGGTGGCAGTGCTAGCAGCAAATATGGGGAATATACGAAGTGCAAAAAAAATCAACGAATACCTTAGCGAAGTAATCTTCATTTTGTTTTAAAGTGTCTACACAAATCTCTGCAAGTCGAAGAAGGTTATTCAGGCGCGTCGCAGGAATCTGCAAGCCGCCTACAACAAAGATAACCAAAAATAAGTATAGTAAAGCTGAAAATGGACGTGGAATCGTCTATTGTAATGGCGTTCTTTTGAATCTTGTATAATAACATTGAAGAAAACAGCGCTACATTTCCGAGTCGACGATTCTGAATAGAAACTTTGACACAACGTATTAGACATGGGTGGCTAAATCCTAGTAACCAGATTTTCTCATGAAAGTCTGACGAGAACTCTAATTACAATAGTACCAGACGCCCAGCTAAGTGGACACTACATAACCTAGTAGTTTAATGAGACGTCAGTCGACGGAGTCCGTGTGTCCATGCATAGTTGTAAAATTAAAGGACGGAACCTTCATGAGCAAGCTGTCCACTGCTTAACAAGTAAATATTTAGCCTGCAATCATAAACGCAAGCAAAGATTTAAATAGGAAAAACTACGATTATTTATTGATGTAGCTCCCTACTTGAAACAGACACTGTTTGCAGATTTGCTTCGAATGAATGCACAATTGAAACAATAGGCAGAATTCCCTCTCAGATAAATGGTAAATGCAAGGAGTTAAATACTTGTATTTCGCTAGAAGTAAGTCTTAAAAGTTCATGAATAAGTACATGCGTACCACCGTTAGTTGATTCTTCGTCTTTCTTGGCTAAAACAAGACATAATTCACATGACTATAAAGTATATGGACAAAGTCAAATCAGGAAAAAATCCATTTTTACCCACCTTCTTGTTGTGCAAAGTCAGAAATTTTCTCGTAATTTAATACAGCCGCATTTCGAAGGCACACACGAACCATCGTCCTAACCGCCTCTGTTGACGCATTTCCCTCATTTGATTGGGTGATAACCTGAAGAAAACGTAACACAGCATAAATAACAACGTTTAGCTACCAGCTGTCGCATACGAAGGCAGCTTCCAAAATAGTTCGAATCATGTGTAGTAGCGAAGTTTTGCACTACCTCCAACCCTCTAGTTAATAGCCCGTTTAAACCTGAGAAGGGGAAAGAGGCGATAGGACACGACAATTCGTACTCACACGGATCGGTTCGCGTGCGTAACAGGCGACTGCTAACAGAACCCATCTAACAAAGAGAGTGGGTTATTGATACAGTCGGGCCAGCATACACGCATCACTCACGCGGGGTAGTTGTCAGTCCCCTACAGTGCATTCACAAAAATCGATTGATTTGTGTTCACTCACGCTTGCAAACTGCGCCCGCTCATGACTGCTAACTGCGCTCGGATGCTGCTCCCCACATGTGTTTAATAGTTTGGTGGCAGAGCCCAAACGACCTATTTCTTTGAATAAATCTCTGCTAAATGATAAGGTTCAAAGTAAACGGTCATGACCTTAGTAAAGGTAATAACGATGAGGTTTAACTTGCAGTGAGAAGCAACACTTCCACAAAGCGATTTCTGAGAAAACGTCTACAAAATATCCCAAGAATGAAGTTTTTAGGACTTCTTTCCGAAAACTTTGTAAAGAGCGCAAATGCTAAAGATGCATTTCAGCCCGATAGGCAAAGGAGAAATTCGGGAACTTCGCGGATTCTTGCTAAAAAACCACAACCGCAGATTTATAGTTAGTTTTAAGTTCTACACACTAGAATAAATTATACTAAATTAAGATGATGGAAACGCAATAGAACGAATTCCTACCCGATCTAAAAGTGAGAGCAACTTCTCCAGCCCCCCGTCGGGTCGATTAAAAGGGAAGTAAAAACGAAAACGTGTTAGTCGTTTTTCCAGGAATGCCAGCAGCCTTGACCGGACGCTCTGAAACTCATCCATTTCTGCGTTGAGCACCGTGTTGATTCCCTTTTCTTGGCTAAAAATGATGTAATGTGGTTTTATTGTGAAGTCGCCAAATGAAATGTCTAGGAAAACCAAATCAGTATTTTTGTTGCTCTCTTCAACTAGGAACTGCCAGTAGATAATAATTTAAGGTTAAATGGAAGAGTCGACGGTCAAGAAAATTGTTATTTCAGAAACGGTCATAATTTTTGACGACGCAAAAACTTCATTTCGACCAAAAAGTTAATGCTAAAGTAAACGAGTGCAGGATAGAGAGCAAGCTGGTGGCTAAATTAATCAACTAAAGACAAATTTTCCGAATTTACCTCATTAAAGAAATTAAGTATGCGGAGTCTAATTTTGTGCCTCATCAAAATCCACCCAAAAATCAACGATTTGAGCAAACGAAAAGATTTGTCATTGCAATGCCCATTTTCGAGGTGACGTCAAGGCCTTGTCAATTTCGTACAATTTCACACGGAGCATTCGCGGTAAGTGATTACTTAAAAAGTGGAGCGGGCAAGCAAACAAATTTCTGGTTTGCAGAAGCGGATCAAAAAGTCACGTTTGCAACCAACGAATAAGCTATTCATTTAAACGGGTAAGGGAAGCAGCTGCGAGTAAAATACTAACATATTAGAGACCGCTTGAAACCCGATCATACCGGAACATAAATACGAGATTAGGGCTATTAGTATAACGTAAGACTGACGTTTGGCCATGCACATGGTCAGCACAAAGGGTGTACGAGTAGAAGATGAGATCGATATCGATCATCTGATCCTGTTCCCCGAAGTTGAGTAGTTCATGGAGGAAGATGAGGTAGCGCTGACACTCCCGAATACCGTATCGATTGCAATACTCATCAAAAACGAGATTTTGTGCAGGGCTAAGCCAACCTAGAGAGACAAATGGGTCCTAAAATGCGGAATAGAGTGTTAAATAGCTTTACCGCGTTTTTAAGGACTTACGTATGCAAGAATTTAAAAAAACCCCGAAAATACAATGAGTTAATACGTGAAATATAGACGTCTCTAACCAGTATTCTTATGATCTTACCAACTGAGCATATTTTAATGTCCTTTGTAGCCATGCTTAAAAAGTAAGCGGTTTCCATGGTTAAAATAAGTGTAATTAAGCATTGCAATTTCGTGAACTAGATTAAAATTCTAGTCTAGTCAGGTTTGTTTTTGTCCCAGAAAAATGAGCAACACAAAAGATAAGTGTATCAATATCCCGTTGTCTGTCTTACTTAGGCCATGGCAACTAATCATGATGTTCGGGGAGGTTGAGCCGAAGAAACACAAGCGATAAGCCACACCTGATGCATGCTATCAATCAAAATAATCTTAGACCTTTTTTAAACAAAGATCTTTATTAAATTTGGGATCTCCGAGATAAAATGGTGATGACATTGATTTATCAAAACAATAAATATTTATCTTTTAGTTGTTATCTTTCTTAAAAACTATAATTCCACGCAGAAAACTCAAATGATAGTCAAAGCCAGTTTAATGAAAACTTAGCTTCTGAATGTAAACATTTAAATAAGTAGCAAGGCATGTCTTTTCTTGAATAACTTGAGAGTAAAGTTATTTACAAAGCAAGCGTGCAAAAACCACTTATAAGGCCACAATCTCTGTTAGTTGTTTTGTTGATAGGGAGCCTTAAGAATACACAAGTCTACAACCAAACTTGAAGCCTCTGCTACCTTACGCCTGCTACGATGACAACAGTCCTTCCAAAACTCAAAGCCAATAACTGTTATAATTTGCCAAGGACGCATCGCATGTTCCTGCCATGGTTACAATCTGACATTCAGTAATGTGCTGAAATAATTACCGATACTGACTTAGCTCAAATGGCAATTGATCCAGATTACTGGATAGTTTCCGAAAGGCAAGCACGGTAGATGATTACTGTAAGCGTGACAACGAGGTTTATTTGCGACATTTCTAGTGAGTCGGTAGTATTCTGGCAAAACAAGTTTAGATGAGTGGTGAGGGTCCTTAAACGCTCAATTCTGAACCTGTGAGCATCACGCGAACACAGCAATAATGCAGATAGCAATACGAAAACAAAGCGAAGATACCATACGTAAGAAAACCTCAAAACGTGTTAGTATATTCGTCCCCCATAAGAGGTCTTGCATGATTTACTGTGCCTCCTTTTCTAAATGAAATGATCACATATTTACTAGCTGAGGGTTTGATGCAATTATTTTTTACAAGTTTCTTGGTGTTATCAACGTGTGCAATACGTTGGTAAAACATCGGGGTCATGGATTCAATGTTTAATTAAATTTTAGTGTTAAAAACGCTTGAAGTTGAGAGGCGCTGTGCTTTGTTACGTTGATGATAAAGTTTTGTGTTCGGCTTGTCTCCCAGAGCCAGGTTTCAGGCGCAAACCCCCGGAATTATCTCCATGCTATTACGAAAATTCAGTAATTGTGACTTCTCAGATATAGTTATCTGAATGGTGCATGACGGATTTGAGGTTATCTGTAGAGAAAAGTTGCAGCATTACCTTCAGGCGATATTCCAGCATCCGGACGAGGAGTTCCTTCAGCAGCGGCAGATGATCCACTTCGTGCGGCTTGACCGAAACCAGTTCGCTAATGCCGAGGTGCTGAGCTCGATCGCGATCTAGGAGAGTCGTGTTAGCGTAAGTCAACTCATCAATAAATCTGTACTCTCAGCAGGTTTGGGTGGGAGGGAAATCGGATTTCGAGAGCCTAACATTTAAAACCTGTTTACACAGCTCAAACGACAAAAATATAAGCAAGAGAAAGACAAAAATTAGGCAATTTTAGTGTGTTTACGCTACAATACTTCGCTAATCTCATTGTGATTTGAAAATTGGAAGGAATAATCGAGTTTGTCAAACAAAATAGCAGAAATTCAACCAAAATGTTGACCACAGCTATCAAGAATCTTAGGAGTAGTTAAATTTTGAACACATTAATTAAAGAATACATGGCTGGTCCCCAATGTATGCTCCTGCACATTCTGACATAAAAACTGAGCGAAATGTGAAAACGAATTTCAAGTAGGGCAACAGTTCTCACAGCAAAATAACAAAGAAACAAAGTTTCCTAAATCATTCAGTTAAGCAAGAAGGTGGAAACCAAAATGTAGGCAACCTCACCCCCTTTTCTGAAGTGAGTCTTTGAGGTGACACAGGTGTTCGGAACAGGTTTGTGGGATTGTCCGGTTGCTCGATGGATGGCCTGCACCCACCCATGAAGATCGGATTCCTCAAAGACAGCAAAAGTTAGTGAGTCGCCCTCGCGCACGAGGTTGAAGAAAAACCGAGGGAGACGGTGACTGCAAGTCAGCCCACCTGCGGGACCGCTCGCCCCGAGTCCAGCCCCCACACCCAGAGGAGGGACGGCCAACGAAGCCTCGCGGGAAGAAGGCACCATGACTGCCGAAGGATTCTTCAAGATAGACACGCCACCGATGCCAACCGAACTTCCGCCGAACCCCTTGAGTCGGTTCAGAGTGGGCATTGATGAGGAGAGGAGGCCGCCCGTCTCGATGGCCAACTCCGCCTTGGCCACGGCAACTAACTCTGAAACAAGATACCTCAAAATTTTAGACGCAAAACCTGTCTTGTGTTCAAAAAAATGGAACACACATATCGAGGACAGTCATTTTCCAGCGAGTGGGTGGGTGGACAAAGTACTCCTGACTAGGACTCCAAACACCAGGGGCAATGCTCTTGTAAATGCAGATGACTGAAGAGTCGGTGCGCTGACCCGGAACCACAGTTACTATACTAATGTTATGTAAGATTTACAAATATTTACAGAAAATCTTGGACAAAAATTGCCTTCTGTGGAGCCTTTCAGAACACAAGAAATCACTCATTGGGTGCTCCAATCTTAGTTTTTAGAGGCAAAGAAGAAATCGGAGTGGTTTGCAATGTTAAAAATACATCACCATGACACAACAGAAGAAATTTGTGTAAAATAACTGAAAAAGGGAACTTAGAAACGGGAACCTATGCCACAGTTTTGTATTGCTAATTCCGTTTGAATAATATTCAACCAGTCCATATTCTCATTTGTTCATTGCACCCCAAAGTTTATTTCTTAAAATATTCATTAATAAGCGATGGCGACTGATTAAGATCAAGTCAGTGGTGACTTCTCGGGTGAAATTAATTGCAAAAAGTTTAGTTAGATTGGGCTAAATTAAAAAGGACATGTGGTGTTTTTGAGTCAGTAACAAAAAACAACTAAGCAAGCCTGTTTTCTGACAAAACTAAGAGGTGTCGTGTTTGATACCTATGCTTTAAGCGAAAAGCACATTAGTCCAGGGTCTGAGGACTGAAACCGTATAACGTTGTCAACACTCTTGACTACGCAGTACCAAACGACATGTAAGGCCTAGAGGTGGTTAACGCGCACATCAGTTTTTATTGTAAACGTTGTCTAGCAAGAGCACAAATAAAAGACACGTTTGTTAAAATACAATTCGAGGTGAACTGAAGCAAGTAATTTTCATAAAACCAGCGACAAATCATTTAACAGATTTTTTCACCAATTTCATCGAGTAATTGAGAGCGCTAAATTTAACTGATACATGTAGAATTTCGTCTTGTGAAGCTGTGAGAAGGCAAATAAAATGTGAGAATTAAATGGCTTTGGAGTTACGGTTAGGATCGTGTTGTGATGGACCTTGGCAAAAGCAAGAAGGAGAGGAAGCATGAGTGCATCTGTTTATTCAGTGTTGCTGTTAGCACGTCAGACAAGGAGGTGAGGTTTAGTTCAGTTTTAGGGCAACTGAACTAATCATGCGTACACACATAAGCAAGGAAAGAGTGTCAATAAAAACGTGACTTCATTTCACAGTCTGATAATGTGTGCAAAGTTCGTTCAGGCAAAGTGTCCCTAGGCCATCATGGCAGAAATTAATCAAAAGAGGAAATGTGAGCGGGAAACGAGAGAGGACTCCCACAGCCTTCAATTAAGTGTCCCGGCGACAGGTTTCGCGCAGCAAATACACAAAATGTATGCCAATATCAGGCACCACCCACCTTGATTCGTCTCGCAGTAGTCTACAGTGTAACCGTCTAGGACCATGCTTTCGTAGGCGACACTTTTAGCTTCCTTAAAGGCGGCCATTATGAATGTGTACTGGGACACCTAAAAGTAGGATGGAAAGCAAATGTCACGGCATAGAATGGTAAATTTTCTCATTGAATCACAAATAGAATCAAATATTCGCTACACAGAAATTAAAAACCTGCTGTGAATCGTGGTTATTCACACCCCTTAATTCGGTCGCTCCACCTCCGACACAGGGTTCCCCTTTTCGCAGCATGTCGCCAGCCGCGCAGATCCTCAACTCCCCCCTCATTCACATGGATATTTATCTTGGATTATCCTCATACCTAGGTCACGATGCTAGCGCACATATGACTCACACATCCGAGGTATAAATACACACGCGCAAACCCCACACACGACACAACGACAATAACGGGATTGAGTTCTGAAGTAAACGGTTGTGTCCACGTCCTCTCCGCTCTTTTTCTTCATCGCGGCGATTAGGGAAACGTAATAGGGCCAGGGTTAAGTCCGTGGCCTTGGCGTGGTTCCAGACCACATGCTAGGGGCCCACAACATACCTATCGGGGTTTTAGAGAAGTTCTTTAACACCATACGTCAAATTAAATTACAAAGTCAAAACTTACAAACGCAAAATTTGTCCACTGCCTAAAATACCAATTTGGGTTAAATATACAGAAATTATACTACATAATTTTTAAGTAGAACACAGCATTCCTAAACCATACGCTAATGTGGAATCCGGAAAAGAATCTTTTCATGTTAATGCAAATAAAGAATGGAACTTCAATATTATCAAATGCCACTAGGTGTATTTTGTTCAGGAACAGGACAGAGCGTTTAGCCATTGGCGAGTCGCGTAATCAGTCGCTGAGGTAAAGACCGACGTCCCGTTAAACAAGTTCAAGAAGTCATCGATGAGATCTTAAACAGCGCAATGAAGGCCTTAAATTTACGGATCATGCGTGGGGTGAGAAATGACTTCATGACATATGAAAGTAACTACTGTGCTCTAGAATTCGGGAGAATTTGGAAAAATGAACAATTTCTGCAATTCATGAGAAACCTTAGTGCCACCAAGGGGCGACTTTAATAAAGTGAAACAACCACTGCTAAGTGTCAAAGTTTCCATTGACTGCAGTGGTTGAGCGAAATAAGGACTTGGGTTAACGTTGGTGTCGTACTTAACCCCCAGGAGACTTCAAGTCAAAGCGGTCGCCTGTCTTCAGGCTCCGGAAACGCATATCGCAGCGAAATTCGTCCCAAAGCCTCAGTGTTGGTAGAGGATTTTTAATTCCAAAACCGATTCGTCACGTAGTCTGGAGCATCATTGAGGAAAAGAGATAAACGAGTGTCTCCAGTATGGCAAGAATTTCTTACAGGTTGGTTATCAAGGCGTAGTGGACAGAACAAATAGTGATTGCTTTATCAATCAGTCGACTCAGCGAACCAGTAGCTCACTAGAATTTAAGGTTTTATAAAGGAAGCCAAAGCCTGAATTTAATGGAAACTAAATAAACTCTACTAAACTTACCTAATCTAGGAGTGCGACTAACTTGAATTTAGTAGCACTTTACGTTCAAATTTATTACTACTTTAGTTCTCAGCACACACCCATTCGTATCTTTCCTTGTTGACCAGAGCATAAAAACTGATCAAAACCAAGATGTTGGCATCATGAGTGAATTTTGACGCAATTATAGGGATAAACCTGTCTTTAGCAAGCCCACGTTTCCCTAGGGAATAATGATCATGCATCCATTATTTGTTCATTGCTTTTCCGAAGGCGGCAGTGGCTGTTGACAACAGCTAAAAGCATGTCTGTTTGGATTCCCTCGAAACACCATTAAAACGAAGCGTCGAGCACTTGAGGGTACACGTTAGAGGAAAACAAAAATCAAATTAGTGGTACACAAATGAGAAATCATTGACCTCGTTACATAATAATTTCGTTGGGCAAATTTTTTTCAAACAGATTTTAGACTAATTTATGAGTTAATTAGCATTAATGTGCTTACACTGCATACAATTTAGGGAAATATTGTTGGAGTTTTCGGAGTTAGTCGGGAACGTTCAAGAAAAAAAAACTGCTATTACACAGCTCAGCTTAGCTAAAGTAACATGCGGAGTACCTGTATAAGGCAGATGTAGCGAATCTTCCACTTTTTGAACGTTGCCCGGCCTTGAACCCAACAAAAACCGCAGTATTTTAGATTGGACGGTCGTTCCTGCTTTATGGCAACCTGCAATTCAATGCTGTCGTCGCAGCGTTTGGTCGGCTGCAGTTTGTACCACATTGGGAGTCGAGAGATGCACGGATTTGGGAGAAGAATAATCTAAAAATTAAGAGCTGAATTGAGTACGTTTAAGGCATCACAGTGCAATGAGCTTGGACACAAGGACGCTCCTAAGGAGATTGCATGAGATTGTTATTACCAAACATATCTAATTAGGGATTGATGTGTAGTATGTTTTATCGTAAAAAGTGTGCTTAAGTCGCAGTTGGCGGTGACCACCATCAGATTAAAATACATACTTAAGTTCAAAGCCACGAAAATGTGGAATTTAAGGGTCCCTATTCACAAGATTTTGCTTTTGAAATAGTACTGCAGCAAAAGCGACTAAAAGTTATAGCGCGTGTAGGGCAGATAGGTAAATTGACACGATGCGGTTCAAATACGTCTCACTACATTTCTCCCAGAATCTCATCAAGGTTTGAATTAAAAACAAAAATAACAACACAGGTAAAGCCAAAGGTTTACTATCAATTAATCATCTACCGATCGTTGTCAGATAATTTAGTTATCTCACAAACGTCGCGAAAAAACACAACAAAACAACGATAAAAACCACCTGAGTCCACGTCAGAAAATTAACACCCTAGAGATAATAATGTTATAGAATCAAAAAACGCCCGAAAAAAGGACTATTGACAATAAAAAGATGCAGTAAAAACAATAGTTGGAGGAATGAGCACTTTATAAGTGCTTTGAAAATTGAGAGGTAGGGAATCGTACTTTGGTAGCTAAAAACAGGAAATAATTTTAAAGGACGTGTCCTGAACAGAAAGAGCTATCTTCCTTCATTGACAAAGCCAATTGGAAACCAGGTAATGTAGCTAGGGGAAAACTCAAAAGATAACCTAATAATGACAGTCTGAGCAACAGCAGAGTCTTCCTTTTCACAGGAGACCGGGGACTAGCAAGGTTTTAAATAGCTGATGAATAAAAGGGGCAAATTTAAGCCACTGAAGAACATTCTACTAGTAAACTAACTGGTTTAAAACTTGTAGTAAGTATCGAAATTTGTGCAAATTATTACGAGCAATAGAGCATAAAGCCGTCGAAGTAGAAGGCAGTTTGACCTTGAAATGCGTAAGGTACATTGGGGATTTACACACCTTTAATGGACTGGAGGTGTCTCCCTGTAACCAGTCCTATAAGGACAAGCATATTTCGGCTTTCTGGATTTCGTGAGTATAGGTTTTTGTATGGTGTGGTAAGCCACCTAAGCTAAAGTAGTGTAACAATAGTATAGGAAGTAAGGCATGAGACAGGAATACAAATACTTTTTACATCCACTGAGTGACGAAGGACCGGCAAGATGTCAAATGAGTAATTGCAGTTTTAGATAGCGAAATCAAACAATATATTAACCAATTATACTGCAGTGAATAGTGTCGATTCACGTCCGTCATTTCTGTCACTGCATACCGCACACTGCCCCCTTTTCACTGCGTTCCTATTAATCATGCAGGCACATCTGAATGTCCCCCCTGCAACCCATTCCCTTATCTGGTTGCTCAGTCATTTGTACTTTTGCACGTTCACGGTCACTTTTTATGCAGTGACGCGCCATACACCTCACACCTAAGCTGAGCCCTCTAGTAAAATGACGGTCTTCAATATATCCGATTTTCCTAGTTTTCTTGGGTATCTGTGAAGCGTAAATTGGCCAACACAACGTAGGGGCCTTCGAAAATACATTTTCTATTTTTTTGATACCCTTTTGTCATCCTTCTTGAAACTTCATACACTCCCGCTCACAGGCCTTCTAATCTCTTTCAGCGGCTAAGCAGTTGTGTAGATCGGTTAATGTTACCTCCGAAAAGATAACAGGAGACGGGACATTAAAATATACAATGCAAGACAAAAATGGACACTACTTAAAAAAAATAAGCTAACCTAAAACAAAATCTTTGCCGAAAGTTATCGAAAGATCGAATGACGCTCTGTATACTGTCGATTTTGAGATTTGTACTTAGGATTCAATTAACTTCTGTCTGAAGCTAAACGGTGTTATGAAGCAAGACCACTTGTCACCAATATTTCCTCAAATAAGGCACATAATATGCCTCTCTGGGACATGTGACCTATGAGTCGTTGTAAGTATTCGTTTGCCCATGCTGCTAAAGTACTTAGACAGGCTTACTAGATTCAGCACTTAAAAAAAATCCGCATTTTGTAGTCGCTGAGAGGTCGTTAGGATTTTATCAGAAGCACGTTTTAGCATTAACCAAACGAGAATTTAGAAACAAGAGGACACAGTGAATTCCACTTTCAATCTTCGAATAACAACGAAAAAACTCGGGTCAAACAGATGTCTGACGCATTTGTGCAACCCGCGGTACACAATACATCCAGTTAACTGTTGCAGATCAGACAACTTACATGTACACTAAGGGTTAATGCGTACAGGTCAAACGGGAAGGGATATAAGAAATAATGATGAGTTACCAGGGCCCAGATGCTAGGGTTAGTGGGGTAAGATACATAAAAAATAACCTGAAGCAAACGTCAATACTAAACAAAACTACACCAGGGCTTACGCGGCCAAGCTCCTTGTGATCCAACGAGAGTGCACCGGTACTCTCCTTCATAAGTTTGATCTTTACGTATGGAAGGGGATGAGAAGTTTCAAATTCCGCAAGGGTATCCCATCTGGAAAGAATGAGGCAAAATATTCACCAGGACTTGCGCTTGCATCATACAGCAACAGGTGTGTTATAAGCACGTTTAACTGAAAAAGTACACTCAGACTGCTTTTCATGTTTACAATAAACGTGGCATATACGTGCGAACATAAGCAACTGACAAACTACTGACTTAAATTGAAGCAGTAACTTTGTGAAAACATTAGGGTTAAAATACATTTTAATTGAACATCGAAAAAGCTTTGAGCAAACTGTTATCGAAGGAAAAATGACAGTTAGGATTAATCAAAATATTTTCTTCTACACAACCAGTGCATGGTATTAAATCCACGACTGTCCACTAGGTGGATCCAGGAATACAAAAAATGCTTTTGGCACATAAAAACTGCGGGTGAAAATCACAGCCGCAGAAGCAAAACAATTATCATGGTCAACAGCAATGTTTTTAGATCACTAGAAACTTCAACATGCAGTGGGCTATTAAACAATTATGTTAGAATTAACGGCAAATGAATCTAAAATTGTAACCTTTCAATAGTTGTGCTAACTACCAGCTTGAACTGAGGTTACAAAATAGAGTGACCACCACGACTGTGGCTTTTGGTGATGTAGATGCAATAACCCTGCGCCAGCACAAATAAATTAGACTTAAAAGATAAAGTTGGATGTCAAGCGAAAGAGGCCTTACGGACAAGCCAACGTTTTGGAATCAACAAATTTGTGGTATTTTGAAATATCGACCCACAATAATTAAAAACGAGGCAATTCAAAGGTGTGTCAAGTGCAGCGATGACCGTACGTTCATGCTTAGAAAGATAATATAGCGACAAATGAGGATTATAAGGATTCTCTTAACACCTATTTCTCCCACTGTGACACAGTTCTTAATCCATCGCGCCGCATCTCACCAACTATTCCACCTCTTTTAACCTTCATACGTTTGTGTACTTATGCATTTACGTGCTTATTAGCCGTACATGACTTCAGCATGGCGGTGCCAAAACCAACATCGCCTCTAGTCTCGGCATTCTTCTCCAGGTACTTAGCGTGAGTGTTGACCTAATTGGCTCTGTATTTGATGTTGTAACTATCATGCATTGCATTCATTTGTCAATCCAAAGGCTATTTAATTTTACTAAGCAACATAGGCGAAAAAGTATTACAATTTCGTCACTACAGTTTGCGTAAGTAGAGCCTTGTAATCTCGCGAGGTCAGATGGCAGCTTCGGCTAGACAGAGTACTAAGGGCATATATGATTGCACATAATTGCATGCATGTGCATACTTTAAAACGTTTCCTGTTCCCTTTTTAAAATACCTTACCTTCAATTTCATATATAATTTAGCCAGGTATACAAATCGACTTTTCATCGATGCCTACATTCTCACTGTGCCATCTGCTACCTTTCTCTGCAGAACTTGATGCAAATCATTTCAACCGCGATTTTTACATCGATTAGAGAACCGTCTGAACCCTCAATTGCTGACAATGGCAGGACACAGGTACCGGGATTGTGGGAGATGTGCTAATGCGTCCCAAATGATTAAAGCCTTTGTTTATTGTTTTAACGTGTGCCTACGAATTGCCTACTGTAAACGACACTCTTCCAACCTCACCGGAAGCATACCCTGCTTTGTTTGGCTGCAAACTGACTTTTGCGCTAGTAAGTGCAAACTCATCCACATTTATTGCAAATCTTTAGGCTAATTTTAACATGTAAAAACAATAGACAACATTGGGAGGTGCGCGCTTTTGTTAAGTTGTCCTTCCAATCGACACATTACACATAATTACCAATCAGTCGTTTGTCATGGGCGCAGGCCACCCTCAATAGCCAATTTTTTTCCTTTTTAACGCCTGAAAAGTAGTAACGCATTATGCACTCCTGTAATTGAAGAGCAGAATTTTAATTGCTTGATAAGTTGGGGTGTGGCAGGGCCATACATAATGTGAGACGTTGTGTGACCATTGGCATTTTTCGAACTGTAGAAGCGTACGTTTTTACACAGTATACAAGATAAAAGTGAATTATAGTAAAGAAAGTGACTCACATTGGTTTAGCGGCCTTGACAGAGGCAGTTCGTTGCCGCTCAGGACATCCGTCTACTTCGATGGTGCAGAAAAGTTGTTTGGTTCCAGAGAGATGTCTCAAGGGTCGCAGTTGGCAGATCAGAATCTAGATGGATTTAAGAGCGTTAAGCGCAATTAACAGGAAACAAAATAGGTGTAAGTAAGCCACCAAAATGTAAGTGAATGAAGGAGAATATTAAGCCTAGTGGGTAGATTCAGCCTACTACCCATCCGTAAAACAGATAGAATGCTATTAAGCATCGTAAATTAGTTAGCGAACGCCTCTAAAGATCGTATGAGTAGGTGAAAATGCACGCAGAAAATGAAATAAGTGCATGGGAAAATGCATACTTAAAGGATAGTGGGATGAAATAAAGATGAAAGTGACCACACTGAATAAAGCTAGATAGTTTAATATTATTTTAAAATTCTGCAGGACATTTTTGCGCATCTGGCAAAACGTTATAATGCCAACCAGGGCACCTTCAGCATCGTTAACATCGGAAGTGGAGCAGAAGACTCCTTCTGGACAACAACATCTTGAATACTTCATCATAAGGACATAAAAATTAAGTTTCCCCAAACTTTAATGAGTTCGAAGATTGTTAAAGGCAGTAATTATTTGAGCATAACTCTGAACGAATGATGATCAGAGCCACCAAGCATGTATCGGTGTGTGCCAAGGCAATTTTCCAGCGGCTGAACGAAAGCGTACGAGCAGCAATTAGAAGTGCAGCTTCAGGCGACTAATTTCAAAATCTCTGGCATCAAAAATACCATTTTTAACCAAATTTCGCCTTAATTATCGCGTGCTATTTTTAGGTGACTTACAATTAATAGGAAGTGATTTGAATTTTGTTACGCAGATACAAGATTTTTTCCATGAAATGTCTAAACGTTCTCTTTCATTTCATATTATAATGCCCCACATAATGGGTAGTATCAGCACATGGAAGAAGAAGCTAGTGGCCTGGCGATGTACGCACATACGAAGCTCAAATTTTAAAATAAACTAGGGAATTAGGTGACCATAACATATCGAACCGAACAACGTAAATAGCATGCATTTTTATTAAAATAATAACGACAAATTATTTTGCTTGAAAAAAATTAATTGCACCGTTAGGAATTTGAAATAGAGGCTCAAAGCTCAAACATCAACATTGATCCAACACGCCATTTACACTTTTAACTGCTGAACCAAGGCCACTTAGACAATGTTTGCAATTACCCGTTTTCCCAAATCAGAAAGTTATTCGAGCAAAAGTCTTGACGTAATCGCTCAAGAGTTTTGGGATCACACCACGCTAATGCAGTTCAAAAGGCCTGACTTACTTCAAGTGTAAAGGATAGTTGTATGGACATCTTAGAGATGTTCCCACCCACATGGTTAATTGACGAAAGAAGTTGAATATTCGCTCCGTCCGTCACTTGTTGTTGTTGCTGTTGGGGCTGGTTCTCTTCAGCTGTCCAGCCGACAATCGACGTGTTCCTGCAGGGGGCAACAGCAGTTAGTCCGGTCCTTCGTCCTTCGTGGCCTCCGTTCGTGCCAACGCCGTGAATAGGAAGAGCAGGTGGGTTCTGTGGTGTTTGGGGGTGTCCAGAATACTTCTTGAGCCTACGTTGCAACTGAACTACCACACCAACAGCCGATCCTGGTCCAGCTGTGTAGCCATGCGACTTGCCAACGGGCACTGTGTCCAACTGCAGCATCAAATGGTTCACATTATTGAGCTGCTCCTCCACGTACTGCAGCTCCATTTCCTTGTGTACCATCTTGGGGTAGTGCCGGTTCTTAAGTGGATGCATTAAAAATCAAATGAAGGAGATCCCTGGCTTGTGCACATATCTTAAAGTACACAGGTGGCGTATCTCTTGCAAATTGCCATTGATTATAAATTCATTGTCGTGTGGAATTGCTCAGGGAGTTTTGAAGCGGGTGCCGCACTGAACATTACGCATTTCTATCGGTAGTCAATGTGCAGGTCCCAAAAGATCTGCCTCCAAAATGTCTAGACGGATATTTAGGGCTAATCGATCGGCATTTTCCATGGCTAGAATAATTACGACGGCTTTTTCTTTTAGACACCAGAAGTATCTTATAAAAATGGCAAACGAACAACTGAAACAGTACAAAAGTAAATTTGGGACCCGCAAAAAGCCTTTAAGTTTGCACGAATCTAACCGCAGAAAACAAAATGCCCGGGGAAATCTAATATTTGGATTATTCGTGCGATCAATTTACCAGCACCAATAGACCAAAGATCAATAAATTAATTATAAGTCCTTGTCATGAATAATGTCTTAGTATCACTAATGGGAATACATGAATTTACAAACTAACAGTGATTACGAAAAATGTAGGTTTGATTGTGCATTGGGATATTTAAAGCAGAAGTGTTAATCTTTGTTGCAAAGTTCAGATGATGAAAAATTGACAAAAAATGAGGAGAAATTATAATGATATAGGAAAGGGATGAAATTAGAAGATTTGAACGACAACAAACGCAAAACCGGGTCTAATTATTTTAGTTCCAAAAAAATGTAATTTGGAAATATTTCACAAAAAGGGGTCACTTCCTTATTTCGTCCCGAGTAAAAACAGCTTCAAATGGAAGCGACTGTAACTACCTCCATCTCGACAGCTACCCGAAGGATCTATAAATGCCTGGAAACCTCGAAGACGTTTGGATTTAGTCTTTCCCAATTTGAAACAAACAGTCGTCCTTCTCTTTAAAAGCAAACAAAAATACTACTCATTAAAACATCGATTAGCTAGAAGCAGTGTTGGTAAGGGTATCATGAAGCTAACTGGACTTAATGGACCACAACACCACTTTATAGCCACTCGCTCACGCAGTGGTGGGCTCGGCAGCCGCCAGTGGACCCAGCGCCACTTCCAGATGAGTCGAAAGCGCTAGAATTCCGCTTATTTGCCCAATGCCACCTACACATCAATCTCGCTGGGTTTTACAGTTTTAGCGGTGACCTGACCTTCAATAGGCGTAAGATTTCTCAAGCAAATCAACGAAACACCACGTCCACGATGTCCGAATTACTCCCGTGCGAACGGTACTTTTTTTGCGCACGCATTTTGACGAGTACAATAAAAAAGGTACGCAAGTTTAATGGTTTGGAGAGTCATTAAATATGCTAAGCCGCCTATATTTAGGTGCTGAATGGACAATTTCAAAGGTGCAAAGTACGTGGAAATCACGTAGCCATTCCACCACAGCCACTTCACTGCTAAGTAGCTCATCCACGGATTTCTGCTCCTCAGGCTAATGATTTTGTTCATCAATCTACTACTATGAAATTGCGAAAAAACACACCATTTCAATATTTAGCCCGAGGAAGAGCCTACTTCCACAATAATACACTCATTTTGTGAAACCTAAGTTTACAATGGGATTTCGTTTACCAGTGGTCACGTAACTTTTAAGCGATTTGTCGTTTCGTCCTCTTTTAAATATACTTACACTGGCCATTTCCTCCAAAAAGCTTTTCAGGTCTGCTAACTCTCGCCGGACCTGAGCTGCTTGTTCGTCGATATTATCAAGCTATAAGGAAACAAAGAATACTTTTTTGTTAGAGTGGCTAGAAATGTAGGAAAATCTGTTGCTAACATCTCTCGTGACATATGCGATCAATCAAAAACGAAACGAAACGTAACGAAAATTACCAATAGCGATCAAGAAAGAGTTAGCAAACTCTATCAAGCAAAGGATGTTTATATAGAGCTACACATCTTTTAGAAAGTCGATAGCATTATTTAGGACAAAAAATAATTCGAGGTAGATAATATAGTGAGTCAGTGATGCTGGTAATTTCACGATGCATTAAAATGGTAATATTGAGAATGGCTCATATCGGAGGGTGAATGGCCATTTACAAACGACGTAGCCAAACTGCACCACCCTCACTCTGGTATTCCAGCAATTTCAATTGTGTTATTGATGGACTAGAAGCACATCCGCAGTAATTGTGTTAGCTTAAGCACCAGACTGGGTGTTAAGCTGGTGCTAAACACCGTATTTTCATTACCAGAATCAGGGAATTAATTAAACAACAAACAACTAAATTCCGCGAGGCTCTAAAAATTATCAAGGAAATAAACACAGAAATCGGCAGTTAATTTTCCGGGGCTAAAAATTTAATCAACGTACAGTTCGAAACAAGGATTATCGGTTTATTCCTGAAATAACATGAAAACAAAACAAGCAGAAATGATGAGACTCACTTGACAAGCATTGTAGAGAATCTGATGTTCGTACTTTTTAATAAAAAGGATTCGCATAAATAAGTCGTAGAGTTGTTCTTTGGTCGGGTTGGTTAACTCAAGTTGAGGCGAGCCAAGACGACTGGAAATGGGACATGGACCTTCCCCTCCACGGCATATCTGATCGAATTTCACCTTCCAGGCTGCAATCACGGTTTGCTTAGGGAGTCCGTCAATCTCTTCAAATCGCTGTAACTGTAAAATTCCGAAAGTGATTGTCTAGTCTGAGGTATTTCTAAATTTAACACATTCGGTACATTCACCATGATCCTCGTCGCACTGGAGTCGTGTGTTTTGTTCCATCGTTATCTAAGCGCTTGTTACATGGAATTCGACTTGGAGACACGCCTTCCCCGATTCGCTAACCGGTGATGCATATTTTAGGGGGCAATTAGAAACAAAGTAATCCAATATTCTTCCTAAATTATATCGAGTTAATGGCTTACATTTGTAGCGTCGCGCACTACAAAACCAAAAATTAAAAGTCGTTTTTGTCAAAACGCTGTTGCACACTTGCTGATTATTAAACCTAAGCGAGTTATGGTTCTTAAAATATTTGGAAAATATTGGCCAACCGAATTTAGGAAACTTTGGAACGTAAGTATTAGAACACATTGTACCGTATTACCAATTTGGTTTGCTAGACTTAAATGCATTATTCAACGTTACAGTAAAGGATGATTAGGTAATACACCTTGTGATGTCTATTAGTAGAGTAAGCCACAGCTCGAATAAGGTAGGTTCGCGCCATTACCAAACACCCACAACCCCTATTAAAGCTAACATTTCTTGATGACATAACAACGTATTTGATTTTACACCAACCGCTCCGGTAAATCTGTGTGTAATTTCGGGTCTGCAACACATCGGATTAGATGTTAACTGACAGGTATTCTGTAAAAGATTTTTTTTTCAAAATTGAAATGACAGTTAATCCACCCATGGGTGGTATATTATCATCTAAAGTTTAACTCAATTTTCGTCTCGAAGGCTGTAACTATATTTGTGGTTTGATGACGAAAATTTATCAAGCATGACCCAAAGACAGTTTTTGCAGAAGACGTAACTATGTGAATGTAGAATACTCGTAAGCTTTAGACGAGATGCGTTCAAACAAAAAATCAAATTTTCTATAAAATTACAACCAAGGTATACAGATACCTTGCTGGTTAAGATGGTGGTCAAGCCTGCAGCCCCACAAATTCTAGCAGTGTTCATTTCTAGGGGTGATTTAATATTTTAACTACTAAATCAACACAGCTGAAAGCAAGTGCCAACGTGTTAAAATTTCAATAAAGAACGACAGGCATGCTTGTTTTGACAAATGGTTTTCTTTGACTAACAGAGGTGATATAAAAAAACAGTAATAGTTGTTTGGACCATGCAAAGAGGAAGTCCCTACTCTGTAAGCTGGCATGTAATTTGCGAAATTATGCTCTTCACTAAAACGGACAGGCCTTCGGAATGCAAACTCAGACCAAAAATGTGATTGGCTACCTCTGTTACTAAGTGAACACACACGAAATGTAGGGCGGACTGCAGTAATCGCAATTTGTCTCTGTACACAACCATTTTAGTGACAAACATAATGCTTGAGTCCTAGAGCATGAGATAATACAGAGCATGGGTGGGAAAAGAAAGGCTATTCGCTGGGGACGCACCCTCCGTTCAATGCTCTTGATAAAAATTTCCCGGATGTCGTTCATTGAAAGACCACCAGAGGTTACTGCGCGCTCGACGAAGTCATTTCTTAGGCAGATTTCGTCAAAGTGTTGCACTGCGTTGAAAAATGCTTCATCGCATACTACTTGTAAGTCTTTGCTAAGAAAGGCCTATAACAAAATAACAAAAATGAAGTCAAACATGGGAGGTATAATGGGGCAAAGACATTTTTATGATGAAGTCAACATTGGGTTCATTATCCAGTCAGAAAATTAAAGAAATAATAACTTGCAAGGACTGGTATATTTGGGTACAGCCCAATAATAAGGCCATTCAGTTAGTGAATAGTTTTGCAATCAGCGTAGGGTCAAAGAAAGCATTAACAAGGAGATAACGTGGAAATAAATAGCAATGTTTTCTTTTTACCAAAGCAATTTTTCTTGACTCACGAAATCTAACTGGCTAGGAAACAGTCTTCAGGTGCATCATAGGCATTGCAGCTCTAATTACTCCTCAGTTCCCTGGTTAGGTGGGCATCGAAGGCTTTCGGCAGACTCACATTTTGTTAAAAACACAGACATCCGTGATTAAACGTGTCTTAGGTTTTAGCATACAGAATTTGACATTCTTAACCTTCACCGCACGTTTCTCCGAGAACTCGAGTCATTGTCTGTTCAAGTGTGTGCAAGGACGCAGAAAGAATAACTCCTATTTCCCTGGAAATAAATAACTTCTTGCTCCGGGGTGAATAAACGGAGAGTTGAATATTGACCTAACCCTGATTTGACGACTAGAGAATGGCCTCAGTTTGGACATTATGCTTTAGGCACAGTGGCTATGCTAACTAAACGTGCGCGTCAAATAAGCGAAAGAAGCAGAGGCAGAGTAAAATTAGGACTCCTTGTTCCGAAATCCGTTCTCACGAATATTCATTCATTATGTTGATGTTATCTGTTGGCGTCAAAAAAATGATCATGGTACTAGAGCGGGCGGATAGATATAAGATAAAAGTGAAACTGATTTTCAAAGTTACCAAATATGACAGTTATAGTAGACATTATTTAGACTGGGTTGGTTAAACTATAACACTCATCAAATTCGATTCGACTGTAGTAGCGTCAAGACAACCACTTAAATGAAGTCAATGAGAATTGGGTACGGCGTCAGGGAAATTGTTTGAGCTCTTTTTCCAAGATCGAAAGGTGTTGTTTTTATCATCGTTTTCAGTAAAAGAAACCTGAGTTTGATCATTTTGGAATTTCAGCCCTTCCGCTTTCTAAGAACATTGGTGATCCGTTTATAAACTATCGAAAGCATCGTTTGCAAGGAAACTAAAACAAACAATGGGAAAATGGTGGGCGATTTATCAATGTAATTCCCAATGAAAAACATTTCAGCGAGACATAGAGGCTTACTGTTAACGCATTGTCGATTCCATAATAATTTTGCATGTCCCCTAAAGTGTCAGTGCAATAAAAATTTAACCCGTTTCAAACCGAAATAAAACAGGAATATTCTCAATTATTTTTATCTAACTGTTCTAATCGTGTTTGCGCGAGCATGCACATTATCAAAATTATAAATATTCAACTGTTTTAAGTTTAATTTTAAGGCAGCTGCGCAAGTTGACAGGCGTGCTACCAAAGGCGCCGCCGTTGGACGGACGAAAAAAAACGCGTGTGGTCGACGGACTAGTGTCTAGTCAAAACAAGCAGACGGTGAGACGTACTTGAAATCTCTCCCGAAGAACGCCTAGATATTCTCGAGTGATTTTCAAGTACCGTCGTACCGGATCCTGTGGGAGAACCACTGTAAATGGGTAGGCGATACACCGAAGTATGAAAATGTATCTGGAAATAACAACAGAAGGAAATATCAGATCTTAAAGGGGAGCGAACTATATAAATGCAGTCAAAAAATGAGTAAAACAAAATTTCGCTTCACCATTGCTGAACGATTGTCAGAAAGGAGTTCGTAGGTCTTGCGGTAAGTACCGGAATTTTTTAAATTCATCAACAAAAGACACTTCCACAAAAGCGAATGCACTAGATTTACTACTTTAAGAAAGCGGATAGTATTACAATTCAGTCTTGATTAAGGTCTATCTCAAGAGTACTTCATGCTTGCTAATGTACAGGGTGGCTCAGATGCAACCGAACATTTACTTGTTCATAAGAAGCTAAAATAAATGGAAAATTATAATCAGATTAAAAGATGTCAAGTTTATATTGCAAAATATGGTATACTAATTGGTCAATTATTGTGAAGTTGCGAAATTAAATTCCCTACATTTTTTACGTTAGAAAAAGCGATTAGGGTTCGGTTAGATCTGTTAACCCTCTATAATTATTAAGAGACTGACGTTTTATTGGTAAACCAAGTTAAATAGGCAATATTTTGACAACCCACTTATGTTTCTTTCGGCAGTATAAATAGCAAACAACATCCGTTTGTTCCATTCATAATGAGAAATGCACAAGGGATTTGATGAAGAACCAAAGGAAGCAGTAATGGAAATCAAAAAGAGCATTCGTTTCAGAGATCAAATGCAGGTGGCTCACAGCCTATTGCAGTTAATGAAGCATGAAAGAACTGAAAATGCCAGCTGCACAAATAACCAGTGCGATTTTTTTTCAAATTTCACTAAAAATTAAAGGTTTTGCTATAATAATGCGGAATAACTTGACTACAACGTTTAGTATTGGGAAGTGGAGAAAAGAATTAACTTCAAGAAGTGTAAAGAAGTGATGAAACGAACCGCATTGAGGTCTCAAATCGCGATATCAAAATTCTATCTTAAGAACAATTAGTGAATTTGCTAAAAATGCATAGATCGTGTGAGGAGCATTTGGCAAGTAAGCGACGTGACACGTAGAAGCGCAAAAGCTCGCGGAAAAGGCGACTTTTGTTTGGGCGAATTCGAAGGTCACTAACAGGTGAATGGGCAAGATAACTGCTGGGCTTGCCATTTCAACTCCTGTTGCTTTTTTACTGCCACTTCGACAATGCTGCATGTGCACATATTAAGTCAGCTTTTCACAAAGCACCTGGGTAGGAAATGACATTGCATCATCGCTAAAAACCTACGAATTTAAGGTGGCATTTTTTTACTAAAGGACCAGCCGAACAGGCTCTGCCTCAGCGCCTTTTATCCCATGGGTATGATGTTGATTTCTAGGTCTGTTACAATAAACATATAGCTAAATATCATGAATTGAACACAATGACCTTCAAACACGCCATTCAGTGCATTACGAAAAGTGCGCCTTTTGCCAATACACGGGACGCAATATTTCTATATTTTTGATTCTTCTTACGCATAACTAAATGCAACTGATTATTTATTTCAGTGCATGCCTCTCGGAGTTCGTACCAGGGTTTCAGCTTGCTGTGTAGTTTAAGTAATCGCACAAAAGTTCTCAACAGTGACCACTGGGGGTACAAGGAGTTATGTGGTCTCAATAAATAACAAAGGCAGTGAATCCAAAAGCTCAGTTAATCGACAAATTCAAAACCAGAGAAGTAAAAAATCGGAATAGGCGCAGGCAATGCCTCAATTTAAACTAAATTTGGTGAGTAATGGGTAGGCATGATTGCGTTATCAGATGGACATTGATTACGATGCGGATTGAGACTTAAACTACCAAATTCAATGAAACGGAGTGGCGCATGGATTGGGCCAAAATTCATCACGATGAATCAGGTGGAAAGATCTCCATGATTAAATTGGCGATATAAAAATAAATTAATATGAAATCGGAATGGTCATAAGTTTAAATTAAGCGGGGAGATTGCAAAAATAGAATTCTCGAATTTTTAAAACAGACAGATTTTATTTCAATGTGGGGGTTACTTGGGGAGAAACAAAGACAAAATAATACCGTTCAGCTTTGGATGAGACGATTGTCCGAATAATTAGAGCTAGAAGGGATTTAATTTAACCAAAATATTGGAATCAACACGTCTTTACACAAGGTAATAGGCTTATTTATTTTTAAACAGGCAGGGCGCAGACATTTAAATTTTAAGGGAAAAATAACTTCACCTCATAAACGTTGCGTTTGTAATGTCTTAAAAGCAGTAAGAGATTATCAAAGTTTTAGGATAAAGAATTGTGATACTAACAAAATAATTTTAAGATTAAAATAATAACACGGGGACCAAACAAAGGGCACATGATAAGTGCCTGTGGGAGTAAGCAAAACAAATTAGCATGAAAGGGCTATTAATCTACATTTTTGCCATTTTATTGCCTACAATTTCACAATCATTTTGCTAATATACGCTAAATAGCGATTTGTATCCCACCAGCAAAACCGAAAATCGCATTTAATGAGCGCGGACAAGCCTTCAGTTGCTACAGATATTTCTTCGCTCGAGAGCATTGACGGCGGAACAGTTTCGAGCGTCGTCATAGCAAATAGCCACGTTGGAAAGAGGGTGTAGGTAGTTGTGATTTAATTGCCACGAAGCTGGCGCAAACGTGACCGGAAGCAACGATAGCAAAGTGATTACAGCGAAGCAGTATTCGATTCCGGCAGGGACAGAGTTGGTCCTAGACAAGCTCTGCTGAGGAGCACTTACTGTCGCCGATGTAGGCCACACGAGAGTCATCACCGAGGCTGGCTGAGCGAGAGAACGCGAAGCTGTCATTGACTGCAAGGTGGCTGAGATGCCGTTGACTTACTTACCGACAGTGTCGAATAAGGTCTGAAGTGATTAACTGACAGATACTTAACTAGACGAATCTGGGTTCTGGTCATCGTGAAGGACAGCAGCCGAATTTGTATTGTAGCAGAAAAAAACATATAATTACTCTAATGTCATTTTTATTGATAATGGACTTGCTTAATGTTAGCAACGCAGTTGATGTTATCATTTAGGAATTCACCGAATGTAGTAATTAGTGGTTTTACTTCAGACCTATTAATCGTTGAATTGCAAGAACAAAAAATACGGCGACAAAGAGCCATAGCTCGGTGGATAAAACCACTGCTTTTTCCTTGTGTGAGTGAAACTGGACGCGTTTGTAGAGTACGTATAAACAGGGACTGACGAAACGTTAGTGTAGGTGACACATGTCAATTAGCTTGGAGCAAAGGCCTTCGGAAACGCTCTAATCATGCTTCTCCATTCCCGCAAGACGATAACTTGCGAGTATTAGGATTTGAGAAGGCCTCATCCACTACAACGGAGGCAGTTTCACCAACTGAAAATGCTTCTGAAGCATGACACTACTCAACCACGCACTGCATCATTTACCAATGCAGCCATTTCGGAATTCAGCTGGGGGATTTCAATACATCAGATTACCACCTTTAGAGCTTGGTTTCAAGACAACTGTGTAGGATGACATTCGCGGATAATGAAGATCTCGACAACTGACTTGATAAATACTTCGAGAAATAATAAGTTTTGGATGAAAAGAGATCAGTAAATTGAAAGAATGGTGTAGGGACGTCGCACATGGTGGCTCTAAAAACATAATTGAAAATTGTTTTTATTAAGATTTTGTCGTTCGTAAATAATTGAACAAAACAAACGAACTTATGGACTGGCGTAGGTAGCAAAATAGATGCAAATGTGTCAAAAACTTGACTTAACCATGAGTACAGCTGCGTTCGTATCTTTGTTTGACGGTCTGCCTATCGTAGTAGAACGTGAACGCAAATTGATCTTTGTGATTTCTGATAAACCATAGTTTTTGTTTATTTCACCATCGCTCACAATTACATTGAGATAAGTGATTGTAAAAAAAGAACTTGCAAACAATTAACATGTGTTTGCGTTGCAGTAAATAAAAGACACCATACTCGGACATTTGTGAATTGATTACGTATTTTCGATGTCATTAAATAATTACGAACCAAGCAAAAATTCCCATTTGAGCAAGAAACGGGCTACTACAAGTTAGTAGCATAAGGATGCAAACGAGAGCAGGGTATGATAGTCAAATCTGATAGCTGGCCTCCAATTTTTGAGTTCATGAGATGATTTTTCAAAAAAATCGTTCATTGTGGAAGAGATTGAATCAACATTTTAGGTATTTGGAAACATTATGAATGGAAACGTTATCCAAGCAATTTGGAAGTAAACACAAATGGGAAAAGCTTCTGATGGGGAAAATGCTCTGATTTCCAATGCCTTTTAGGCATAACCGACTATGAGCAAATGTGACAGTAGTTAGGCCTATAATGCTTGGGGTGACAACCCATTGTTACATTAAAAAACAGTAATACTTAACTTGAAAGCACTAAAGTCGCGGATAGAAACAGACCATGGGTTTATGCAGATTCCTACGCCTGCATCATAATCCACCCCTGGGCAAAATAGCTGAGTTAATGCTAATGGGTTCGCAAAACATTAATCTCGGTTATAGTGTTAAATAAAGCTATTTTTCTTACAACTAGTGAAATTTATTCAAATTGCAAATTTAGGGATTTTAAGCTTCGAAACACGTAGGCCTTTTGTCCATTGACCGGGTGTGATTTCGGTTCATAATTACTTCTGAAAGCTGTATCGTTGCAAGTTTTACAAAATATAAAACGGCTTTTTGATGGTGTAAAGCCAGGGTCGTATGGGGGATGAGACACCGCCTCCCAAATAAGTCCTAAAATTTACCATGGGTTACTAAAGACTAGCGAAGCTTTGTATTGCCATCATGGAACAAGACATTTTCGTCGTAATCTGTCAGTATTAGTGGTTTTGCCAATTTCGCGGGCCGCTGTAGTAGACTTTTGAATCGATTAGTTGGTCCCATGAAAGCAGCTCGTCACTCATAAGCCACGATCGCTTTCTACCTACTTTATTGCAGACGATCCATTTCCCATTAGCAGATCTAACTTCATTAAAACAACAGATGATTTCAGTGAATTAGAGATGCATATTCATAAATCTACCTGATGTGTTTAGTGAAAATCTTCCAGGTTAAGCGAAATTCAATAATGAAGGTCCCTAACAAGATCAAGATGCGTAAAGTGTTTTCCAACTGCTGTACGCAATACACCAAGTCACTCACCAATTTCTCGCATAGTAGCATGATAATCACATTCAATAATGGATGTGACTCAGTCAGTATTTGAGCGATGTTTCTCAAAAAAGATATTTTTAGTGCAAATTGAAAGAGTAAAGCATGTTGTAAATGGCAGTTGTGCTCGAATAGTTAAAATTGATCCACCACTTACTGCTTAAAACAAAATTACCCTCCATTTGCAGGTAAAGTAAGCCAAAAGTGATATCTACAAATGCTAAAACAACAAAAATCACGTTACTGATTTAATTTGTCGAAACAATCACAGGTCTGTTTATTTGCGAAAGCAGATATCACTTTATCGCCAGTTCATTATAAAGTTCAAGGGTTTGGCGAAGAGGTATAGCAAGCCGAAGATGTAATTTTAAAAAGCGAATCTAAATAAGTACATTCCACAAGACATCTGATTTCTATATTTGATTTCGGTATGAATTTATAGAGTCAGTTAGCTCCCAAGGTTGATTAAAGTTGTCTTGCATTAGCTTTAGCTGAAGATGTCTCGGCTGTGGGCGATAATTGATCAAGTCGCTCCGTGACCACAATGTTGGCATTCATTGATGAGCCTAAGGTCACGAGGCAAGAAGTGCATTCGCATAAAATTAGCCAAACGCAGAACATCGATTCACTCTTCGGTTACAAATAACGCGTCAATTATTATTGGTTTGATAATGTAATAAAGATTCAAGGAGATTCATGAGGAAGAAAATATTCCAACAAATTGAGCATGGAATCTAAAAATGTTACTTCAAGTTATTAATTGTCGATCGGACATAGCGAGACCTTCAGTACAGGACGAACGATAGTCACCAAAATAGCAAGAGAGTAGCAGCAGAAATTAGGCCGGCAAACAAAGTGAACTGTAAGCCGGTTTAATTGCAACGGTTTTAATATCACTCGTTTACTCAATTAAATTCACTTGTAACTGAATTTCGAAAGGAAACTAGTAGATATTCAATAAAACCCTTTCCTGTAAAGGCTTAATGCAGTAAATGCCGTACGGCTCCAGTTTAACTATAACATTTGTCCACAAACAATGTCGACGTATTTTTAGACAAAGCGAACCAATCATTTTATTCAAAATGCTGATTTTACACTATATGTATACCAGCAACCTTTACCAGAATTCATACAAATTTCAAAATTTAGGAAGACTATTGCAACACAATAAATTGGAAAGCCAAACTGTGGATGCGGCACAAAAGAGACATTTTTTTACGCTACGCGTTTCAACGAGGCAAAAGTGCCAATGATACCATCGCTGAAATCGCTATTGCTAATGTAAAAAAATAAAAACTATAATCCTGATCATTGTGATGGATCAAAACCGGGAGGGATAATTGGATTCAACGAGTGTCTATTCTTTTTCCAAATTACCGTTATCTCCAACGCAGCAGGATTTCAAAAAAAAACTATCCACCATCTTTTAAATCCCAACGAAAACAACGTTGGTGGGCAGTGTTGTGCACAACCTGATAGACTAGTCATATTTTCGCCTAAAAAGACCTGCAACCAGTTGAGCAGGACAACTTCATTCCCTACCACGACAACGCGACACTACAAAGAGCCAAAATCCCTTTAAATACCAAGGATTTCAGCTGGGAAGTCCTGTCTCGCCCCCCACACTCTCCAGATGTTGCCAAGTAGGCCCACCACCTTTTACACGTCAATATAACACTGTCGTCTTGATAACAAACTTTACAGTTTGGCTGCAGTCAAATCTGGACGATAAAAATATCACCGTTTTACGTGAGGAAATCGAACACTAATTGAAGGGATTGAAATACACTTTATAAATTACTATTGAAGAGCCAAAATGCTTGCTTGCAGGTCAAAAATTCATCCGAATTATGGGTTTTGTAATGTTAATGCTGACTATGTTTGAATGTGGTGGTCATTTGACGAGCTCATCAAATACAGCATTCACAAAGCTCCATAGAAAACGATTGTCACGATGTACAACCAACATTACCACAACATCAGTACGCAAAAGACGGAACGAGGTTGCGTAAACACAGTATTTACTTAACACAGTATTTAGTCATACCTGTGACAGCAAAAAAGCGTCAATCCACAACATAACCAGCATTAAAAACATATACTAGTTATTGAAAGTCTACCTAACTAAATCTGGTCAAAATTCTCCATGAGAGAAAATTATCATTGCCACCAAGTTATCAACATAATTATATTTTAGCCACACATGTCTACAAATGTAGGTTAGCTTGTGAAAAACCATTGCTGTGTGCCGATGTACCACGGGAAGCCTAATTAAGCAAATGAACTCACAACTGCAGTCGGAGTTTGTGAAGCTCTTCAGCTGCGTCGACTGAAGCAGTCCGATCAGCAGAAAGTAAGGGGCTGGTCATACCAACAGACATTTCACCTCGTCCAATAATACCTTTGCCGACACCATCAAGCCTTCCTGAAGGGCTCGAAAATCTACTGTTTTGAGATTCTCCCATGTGTCCTACCCCTCCTCCACCAGAGCTTGAATTCGATGTGCCAAAAACTATGGAATTAGAAAGTGGACGAATTCTTTCGTAACTCGTCACGGGAACGGAAATTACGCTGTAAGAACGTAAAGAAGAAAGGTCTGATGATGACCATTGGTTGCTCCTGTCCGAAGAACTCCGGTCTTCAGCTGAAAGCAACGGTGTCTGGAGAGTAACGGCCTGGTGCGACTTGGTTTCGTCGGCAAATGAATATGCGGAAGATGAGGAATGCGCAGTTACTGGTCGGTGAGACTTGAGACTGGAGGTGCGGACTGTTAAAGGGGTGGCTTGATTTAGTAAGCGCTGGTAGTCAGGGCCCGACTGGCGATCCCAAGGGGCAGTTTCTACACCCTTCGTAAAGGCGGATGAAATCGCCAAGGGACGTGAGCGAAGGGTAGTGTTTGCCAAGGAATCAGTTACATCAAGATGCTGGACACAGTCATCTATAGCGTGTCTAAAGAGACCAAAACACCGTCGAAGAATGTGCATAATTAGAGTCATTGCATTTATAGAAAGAATGGTTCATTTTTCCACACAAAATTGCCTCCACGTATGCTAGACCGAGACCTTCAATCCAGTAGACTGAATCAGAAGTCTTATTAAAGTAAAATATACACCAATCACATTTAATTTTAACACATCTAAAGTGTAAGATTGTTTTCTGGTGATTTCTTTGAAGATCACGGTCAATATGTTCAATCTCTTTTCACAAAAGCATTACTACATCTTTTTAAGTTTTAGACATTAAGACATCATTAAGCATTTAGGCTTGAATTTCAAGGAAATAAGTAAATCCGCTTAAAACCGAAACTTTATTATAGAAATAAAACAAGCCAAATTCTTAAAACCAAGCAAACAGATTTAAACATTATGAATTTTAGCAAAATAAAACGCAGGAAGATGAGTGCAGCAGTGTTGAAGCAAGCACCGTTTTAGCTAACATTTGCATGTAATTAAGTCAATAGCGTTAAAATTATTTCATCATACATATAAATAGAATAATGATCCATCGAGAGTAGATATGGGGCGTTTATATCTAAAAATGAATAATGAACATAAAACAGCCCTTAGTAACACTGAAAATTTTCTATAGGGAAGATTAGGAAAAGTATGCAGTTTTACATGAACATCTTTAGGCAAATATTGGGGAACTTAGAACCATTGTGAAAATGACTATTGTCACAATCGGTAAGTAACCAGCAATATTAAAGGAACAAAAGTCTACGTAACTACACAGTTTAATAAAAATGAACACCTACTTAGAGAAATGCAGTATTAAAACCATGAACTACTTTTGCTCATAAACTGAAAGCACCAAATACAAAACATTTATCAATTTTCCAATTATCAAAATAATGAGAATGCAACAAATAAAAGTATGATAAATGCATTGTCATTATATTTTCACCAACAACACGAAAATCCAATCACACGCAGCATTTGTTGAATGTTAACATTTACCAATTGGAAATTGAAGCAGCGTACATGCTACGTGTCATAAAAAGGAATTCCTACTTGATTTCTCTCTGTCCGCGGACATCAACAAAATATCCGTGTTTTCGACTCAAATCATGATCAGCAAGGGCCCCATAGTCTTCTTCACTTGAAGATGAACTTTGCATCATTTTTATCGGTGATATAGTCAACACGACAGTAGGTCTACATGATTCAATATGTTAATCCAAACACGTCTGCGTACCTATTCAGCTTTTAATAATGTATGACTCCAAAAGCATTTTATTTGAACAATTTAAACAAGTAGAATCGAAAAAAGATATTCATTGCAAGCAAGTAAAAAAGAGTACGAAAAACTACGCGACCTATATTTTTTATATGCTCGAACCTATTAAAATTATTCAAGCTTTATGCTTATCGGCAACTCTAAATTCATCGTTATGCCAATCGAATTTCAAAGAAATAGGTTTTTTTAAATTTTGAATGAGCTACTCAGGCCTATAAAGTACAGAACTGCTTTTTTGACATACGTGCTACTACTGCACTGTTACTGCAACCATCAATCTCAAATCAAACATGGACTATATATTTTTTAAGCAAAACCAAGAAAACCAAGCTAGGAATAAGTTTCTGTCTATGATATTTTGCATGGTTCGTTGATAATCCTCAGATTCCAGTTATGTTTTCAAGAGGTGAATTAGCTTAAATGCAATTTGTATAATTTAATGCATGGGTGATATAAATTGGACTATAAATTCAACAGCCTTAGAAACCTGCGCCTTCCTCTATAAACATGGCTTAATTTAAATTAATTTTTTTGTTTTAAGTATTAGGAGAAACAAAAGTCCGGCGTACAAATTTATACTGAAATTCTCATTTATTTTAATTTATAAAACACTCACCTTTCCTTCGCCAAAATGAAAATTAAAATTTCATTGCATTTTATTTGCAATTATAAGTACTATAATGGTATACATTCGACCAATGGAGATCACTACAATAAAGCCTCGTGTCTGCTGGAGAGAGTAATAATAAATGCAGCTAAATTGAAACTTCTTTCTTGGTATTAATCATAATTATTCATGTAATTCATGGCGTTGTTGTAAGTTTTAACTTTGAGGTTCTTCAATTTGGGCACACAATTTAATTATTTTCCCTTGGCAGCTGCGAACATTGCAATCAGCAAAATGATATTTGGAAGCTGATGTAGGTGGCTTACTTCATAATAAATAATGCAACCATTTCTGCACTATATGCTGTATTTCGATCAAATAACGAAATCAGTCATATTATAATTTTGTAGCCTTATTTCAATAAGTGGTCTTCGAAATTCACTCCAACCAGTATTCACTTTCAAGCATTCAGAATTTCAACTCCATGTTCAGAATGACACATTTTTTTAAATATGAGATATCAAAAATTGGTTGCAGACGTTCAAAATTTCGCGTTTAATTAGTATTAAAACTTTTAAACCATAAAGTAGCATAATGTATCTTTAATTTAATGCATTAATCATCGGCGTTTGTCTGGACGAACGATTGTCGCGCCAGTTCGTTCGCATTTTCTTCGTCTTTTTTCTCGTTTGTACGCAGTCTCAACATTCTCTGCTTTCAGGTAACGCTGCATCTCAAATATCCATTTTTTGACCTCGCTAGCCCGCATTTAATTCATAATATCAAAAGAAATACAGTTGTTGTTGACAGGAGCATCGGAGTTTGCCTAACATTTGATTATGGTTTCTTGCGAAACACTAGGCGCTGCTTTTGCCGTATTATGCGTAAAGTGAAGGTGAAATGGTCACCGTTTTCTTGGTACAATGCTACTGTTTAGGATACAGATTTTAGTTACCATTTTCAGGCTCTTACGTTTATGGGAAAAATGTTTGCTTTGCGGCGTATGCTGTTGTATGCATTTCCCCAACGATATTATCTGTTTTTAATATTTTTAGAGTAGATGTCTGCGAAGCAGAAGTTGCAGCTAGTTGACAAGATCACTGCATCGTTTACGAATCTTGAACAGATATTTGACAACATTCATGCACATGTTTCGAATCTTCTTTCGATTCGGCGCCGGGCATTCAAAGTTGGTGGTGCCTTTTCATGCGCTGACTCATGCGCCACTACCTCTTTTGACGACGAGCTCGCTGCGTATTTCGACTCGAAGGTGTTGGCACGAGTTCAATCTAGTTTCGGTGTTTCAATGGGGATTGAGGTTGAACGAGTTTCCGAAGAGACGACTCTTCTTCGCTTAAAAACCACACAAATTTTATGCCTTTGTGCATCCTTGACAGAGCTACTGCAGGCAGCATGTGGAAATGAAATAGAAAAATTCCTGGCATTCAACGAGGCCTTCTCTGCTTTGAGACAGCTCAGGGATTGTCTCCTTGAGGAAATTGATCTCGTGTCTTATTGGGCCTACTCAAGTATTTCTCCAGATCTAGTTCCCGTACATGTCTCGCCTTCATTTTCATTCGCCTCTACGTGCCTTTCAGGCAAAAGTATGGCATTTTCCCTATGGAAACGAGCAATATGTCCCCTGTTGACTGAAGTAAAGCTGTAGTGGATAATTCAATTTGTACATATTACTTAAAAGTCCTATTTGTATCCCACTGTCGCCTATTTTCCACAATTCGTTAGTATTACCTTTTTATTTTTATCCAAAAAAATGCTAAAATTTTGATAAGCAAACGTTCTTTTTAATCACACAAGAGTGTAGTCATTTTGAATCAAACTCACTTATTCTGTTTAACCTTACCGAATCACACCATTTTCGGCTACTTTTTAAAGATCTGATCTGTGTGCAGTAAATTAGAAAGTCGGTTACGTGACGTGCCGTATGGTTGTGTTTGTCCGTCTTCTTTGTTTCCACGTATGTTTCTCCAGGTCAAATGTCTCCGTGAGAGCCTGGAAGAAGGATACACCCGTTTGATATTTAATCGGAAGGATTCTCTCGTGTCTGGCTTCGCCTTTAGTTTCTGTTGTCATTACCCAAATTCCGTCGGATTTTTTTCGATAGGTGCAGCAGAGGGATCGGCTGCAGCCAAATTAGAACTTTTGTGCATGAAATATAACTAATGTTTTAACAAGTCACGCTAGGTGGTCCTCTAATCTCAGTGGAGTCATGGAGTTAAAGTGTTCAGCTCGAACGGAACCTCGTACAATGCAGAATCGCGCAGTGCGGTTGGGCTTTGCCAACTAAGTGATTTTGTGATATTTTGGTCAGTCGATTCTCCTCAGGACACGGTAACCTCGGGCACTTTAATTTTAGGTCAATCTATAGAAGACGTAAGTTGTAAATTATTTGATATCTCGAGCGCGTGCTTTGTTATTCCATATTTCTGACTTAGAATTTGGTGTCTCCAAACTTAAACTGTATAGTTGAAACATGTCACGTGTTCACCCTGCATGAGTTTTAAATTACGTCGTGCTGATTTTGTTCGCCACAGAGTTTACAAGAGGCGACAAACAGCTGCCAGCAGGTGCCCGTGGATAAATTGGGTTGCATTCACGCTAATATTCAACTTCCAGTGTAAAGAAAACGTTTTAAAAATCACTCTCAATCTCCCAAAATCCAAAAGTCTCTTAAACAACTTGAAAATGAACAGCCTTGTAAGGCACGTAAGTACATTCAGAGTTGTTCCTAAGGCCAATGTGGATTCTTTAGGTTAGTGAAATAAACAAAAGTGGTAGTGAAGAAAATGCAAGCATTTGTGTGAAAAAGTAAATTGATGTCGTGTGGTTGGTCATATGTGGTTGTTTTCTGGTTTGTCTTCAATATTAGCCCAACTCGGGGGAACGAATCACATGCTTTAATCAACCTGGGCTTCGAATGACCTACATATTATGGTGGAAACTCAAATTATTGGTTGATAAACGCAGGTGCGATTTAGGTAAGAATTCGTAGTCCCCACACGTCCAAGACAATGTCTATTTCAGTCGCTATGCTTGCTTTGTCCTGGTTAACTCAAACCACGGGAATCAAGAACATAATCAATCGAAAGATATTTTATTAGACTTGAAATGTTCCTTTTTTGCTTTTCCCAAAACAAGTAAAAACCAAGCAAGCAGCAGTGCCACTGGGAACCGTTGTCAGTGAACAATCGGAAATGCTTCCTATGGAGATTTAACACGTGCCTTCCTTAATTTCACTGCAATTTTTTGGGGAGGGATTTAAAACACTTTCAAAGCCGAAACTTCCTAGCATACCACGCACAAAGAGATACGTGCGTATAATACAAGCGCCTATTTTGTAACTATGTTTATGAGCAAGACGTTTAGATTTAAAATAGTTACCTTTATTGAATCATCACACTAGACATCAGATTGTTTGATGACAACAGTTTAAAGTTGATTTTACTGGGGAGCTGCCTTATAGAAATAATCAACGCATAACAGCTCTCAAATGTAAGGCTTATAAGCGAGCACTTTGAGTGATTCCAAACCTTTGTCCCTGCAATCTTAAGCAAACTTCTATGTGTACAAGCAGGGGCCCCGAAATCCAACGCAAACTGGTGAAAAGTAAGTCACTGGGATAAATGGAAAATGGTAAGAAGAAGAAAACTAAAAGTTAAAGTTTAAAGATGCATCAGAAAGCCATCGCCAGCGAGTCCAGTGTCCAAAGAAGCAATGATTTGAAACGCCGGAGCAACATTTACAGGGGATAGGATCACAGAAGCTGATTACGCGAGTTCATTCGCAAAAGGGGACCGCCTTCTAGCGATATTTGTGAGGTCTTATCTGACTGGTGGCTGCACAGTTGAGAGCTAACACCGGTAATTTTGAACTTGATGTGAAAATAATTTACTAAGCTCATCAATCTGCTTAGTTAGTCCATTGGTCTAGCGGTTGCGGCTGTTATAGGCTAAAAACCGAAAGGAGAATTATACCTCCTTGACGGTAAATGGCGATCATGGAGGCCGAGAAAAAGTATAATTTATTTCCGTCCCATGATATGACGCTGGTTTTTTTCCATACTGGAAGAGGACTAGTGGAATGCCGGACTTTACTAAGACAGACTTTCGTTCTAATAGTTTTTTCATAACACAAATTGCGTTTTACCAAGAAAACACCTTAAATAATAGACAGCTTTCTGATTTATGAGAATTTAATCGGGGAACTAATTCGCGGAGTCCATCATAGTGATTTTAAGACAAAATTATTCTTAGAAAATATTAATGAAAGTTTTGAGGATTCACCACCTTTCTTTGCATTTGAAGCATCACAAAGTGTGCTTCGTCTAAGCAAACTGCATAGACTTCATGGAAATGTTGATGGGTGCTCGTGGTTGCATTTGTGGAGTACAAGTTTAAAAAAAACAGAAACCTTTATATTTTGTTTTAGTTTGAAGCCATCTGGAAATCCCACAATTCACTTTATAATGCTCCCTTTAAGCTATTTTAGCAAACAATCATCCTCAGTGTCCGCAGATTATTCCTGACCTTACATGATTTAAAGGCCTCAGATAGTTAGGTCCCATTTCCAAAAATTAACTTGATTATGCTTAATATTCAATTTCAGAAATGTCTAATGCAAGTGCTGGATTTCTACACTTTGACTTATAGAACCAATTAAGACACAAAATACTTCATGAGCGCACATCTCCATGTGACAGACATGGCCTTCAGCACAGCTTACACATTTATGGCTTAGTTATCCTGACAAACTTCCATTCGTGACCTTTGAATAGTCGATTATCAAGTATAAGAGTTGGTAACGAAACTACATATCACATTACTGTCGTCTTCACGGTCCATGAAGATGTTGCTATATTTTTAGCTTTCTACTCATTTTGTCAGTCTCAAACTGTTCGCGTCACTACACAAGGTTTAATATTTCTTAGAACATTTCAGCACAGAAAACATACCATTGTTATTAATTTGTCAAAAGGAATTCTAACCTAAACAATTGCGATAAAATCCGATAAGGTATACAATCAGATGGAATCCCAACTAACATTATGGGCAATATTTTGTGTTTTTGATAGAAATTGTTTCCTTCATCCACCGCCTGTCTTATCACCATACTGATCAAAGAAGGCAGTGCGTGAAAATATTCCAGCATTTCCGGCAATACACCTCCTGAAATAAACAAGGCTCCGTTAGCACTATACACGAGCTGCCTTTTATATAAATTTATTGCAGCAGCGGTTTGCTTTAATTAAACTCAAGTTAAGGGTTACAGCGAACCAAGATGACAACTCAGACGCCAAAAATAATGAGAAATATTTAATTTGCCTCTATTTTTTCCTCGGATCGCGGAATCCATTAAAAACGGCGCCATATAATTTAACTTCAGATCTTCTGAATTTACACCCCTTAATTCACAACAGAGAATCATTTTGAGTGGTTGTAGAAAAATTGTCCTTTCGAACTTGATGAGGAAATGTGCGTCAGTCATGAAAATCCAAAATTGATTCACGCATAACGTTAAAATCAAAAGTCACTATTCCAGTTATTATAAGATTTATTTTAAAAGTAATGTCTTAAACAAGATTGCTAACGTCGTACTATAATAGAACTTACAATCCCCATAATTCTGCGAACTATGCAAAGTACGAATTTGTGCAGATAACACAAAAACAGTAAATGACAATTTGTAGAGAATGCACGTTGCCACCACCTTGGTAAATCTAGTTTCTTTGCATGCTACTCACTATTTTGAGGCTTGGGTCGAAGTAAGGAAAATGCGTGATTCAGAAAGTCATTTTACACTGAGAGGAACCATAACTATATTTGAATACATACTTATAAAGATTATGCAAGCCATTATCTACTGACTGCTTTAAGGCTTCATTTTACTTGTATCAGAATTAATACAAACTAATGCTGCAAAGTTAGAATATGTTATATAGAAAGGTTGAAATAATTCCCAAAACATAAGAACCGAGGTCCTAACCAGAAACACCTACCAGGATTTTGCGACAACGTGAAAATTACAGTTGAGATTACATCAAAACCCAAACCATAGCCAAGCAAGCATGAAAAACCTTTTAAATATGTGCTGGAAACATATAATATGTAAACGCAATTCCTTAACGCCCTAACTGTAAATCGAAATATGTGTGGCATATTTTTATCTATATCTTAACCAGGTAAATTTGTAATTACAATCAAGGTCGAGAGAATACAAAGTTATTCTGGGACTAGCCGCTACGCCTAACAGACACTCCAATTCCCTCAAATCTACTGACATATGCTTTGGATGTTTACAGTAGTTCCAAGTACCGCAGTAGACGACTTGAGAAACTGCCGCATAAGCAATGATTCACGCATTTACAATCATCTCTCATAAGGCAAATCAAAAATGAGTCCAATTTTTATGAAAGTCACACGGTTCCGCAGACTATTTCTCCTCAAAATTGTAACCAACGCATTGACTAGTTCATTTGGCTACCAGTACCAATGTTTGACAGCACTGGATGCATTTAACCTGTAGAGCCTGAGTCTGTTCCATCGTGGGTGCACTACAATAAAGGAGCGAGCGAAATCGGCTTATTACAAACTATTTTGAGAAAAGACCTTCGAATGCACAAATTGTTGATAAGGTCATTTGAGTGTAAAAGGTGAACGCCGGAGAAAACACATTCAGTTGAGAAGTATTTTGGGTGTCGAAAATTAGCAAAGCCTTGCACTCGTCCTATTTTTGTATCAGTTGGTTTAAATACCATTTTGCACATTCTATAGTTTGTACGCAGATGTTTTTTTGTAGATTTTTTTGTCTAGTAGGTTTTTGATAGATGAAGTCTGACCAAAGTGTTGCTGATTTAAAAAAAAAAGTTGCAAGCTTGTTCTGTTTGATTCTCTCAATATCAGGGAATTGGACCCAGCTCTGTTTAGTTTTGTGCGCATTTGGTAGATTTTAAATAACTTTAAACTCATAAAATCGAGGTTCTTGTTGTAACAGAATTCCCTTATCAAAGTGCGTGCATCGAGCCACGAGGAGACAGGTGCCACCAGTCCATTCTGTCACCACGCTATTCAGAGCCACTGGACCGACTACCTGGTAAAAAAACACTAGCTTTTAAAGAAATATCTTCATGACGTTGTCATAGGAAAAGCTATTCCCAAAACATCCATTAGAAGGCCATTAGCATAAAAGATTTTAAAAAAACACTGCGTCCGATGAGGTTCAGCTGCTCAAACAGTGGTAATTTTCTTACGATGCCTTCAATGCATTTTCCCTTTCAGAGTATAAATATGCAAATGGCAGCCTCTGATTGGCTAGGACAGCGTGCTCGTGACTACCACTGCCAGCCTCCCAGTCGAAGCCACCTTATAAGCACACTGGCGGTGACTAAGGCATGTCCACGCACACTACGAAGGCTTGGAAGATCTCCGCGTAAGTAGACTCTAGGACGCAGTTGTAATGAGGGGGTTCAGTGACAACGTTGCCAGTCGTCCGACGGGTTTATTCAAAGCACACAAATTTTCCGCCCGAACAGAAAAGCAAAGTATTCCGATTTGTTGTTGTATTATCGAATAAAATACGAAATGCGCTATTCTGAAGATTTGGCTACAAACAAAAGTATCCTGTTAATCTACATTGTCTTAAGTAGGAATGATATGCTTGACAATTTACTCAATTTTGCCTGCATACGCAGTCATATGTTGACTAATTTTCTGTTTGCAGATTTAGCATTGGAAATGAGGGCCATTGCGTGTTAAACTTTAAGTGTACATGTCACGTATAATGTAGGACTTATTTGTCTGCTTAAGTGGGATCTGAGCGCCAATAAGACGTTTCTTTTAATTGGTTCCATTATTAAGTAATTGTTCCCAGCAAAAATCGAAATTTGATTTGCATGGCACAGCGTACCTTACTGAATATTGATTCAAGCCAATCCCCCCTTCATTTATCTTTTTTTTTCGTTGCATTATCGGACACTATTTTTACGGACAAACGATGCTTGGTCCAATCTAATATGGGCAGAATTTAAGTGCTTTCCGGGCCTAATGTCTTTCCTTACAAAAGAAAGGTAGATTTCATATTTGGCACAAACTCAAACAATAGAAATGGCGTTGGTTTCTATAACAACATTGTGTCGTTACATATCCCCGGTACAGGGTGACATTTTTGAGATATTCTGGACTGTTTTATGTGTCTAAAATGTACTAAGAAGGCAACTTAAATAAATTTATCGTAGTGGCTTAAAAAGAGTGAAAATGTTGACGGAAATGGTATTGTACTTTTAAGTGCAAACTAAAACATCAAGTTCCTCGAAAACAATAAATTATCCAGCTCTGATGAGAATGGGTAAAGTTTAAATTTGTAGGCAAAACAAACTCAAGCTACTTTAATGCTAGGGGACACGTAATTTGAAGTAGTTATCGGATAATATGGGAGTAAAATGTGGAGTTCCACTGACTTATTCTTCAAAACATTGGACAGTAAATGTATCTTGTTGGCAGCAAATGTTATTACTTGGGAAGTTAATCCACTGGGGTTTATTGGCATTTGTATTAAGATTGTAGTAAGATGCAAATACGCTACCTAAAGTATACCCCTTCTATTGTGAATGATGTGCCTTCGAATATGCCATTTTGAGTGCTTTGTTGACAAAGGAGAGCATTTCGTTTTTGTATTGCATTGAGTCTGGACCATGTTTTAGTTTAGTTTATTGTAATGAATTAAGGCCTTACAAATAATCATGTGAATTTCAAAGGTTCCTTTCCTGTTAACAGTTGCGTGTCACTGAAAGATACACCTGCTAATTTAGAGACAGATCTCCATTTCCGAAAAAAGTGTGAATGAAATCTAAGTTGGTTCCTATGCTGATTCTCACTTTAAAAACGCAACTCTAATGATACGACCTGCTTTTTATTATGTTCAAACAGAAGATATAGAATCAGGCAATTGTGTCTCTCCATATTTATGAAGAAGTGTATCATGGGTGTCCTTAGAATAAAACTTCGAAAAATCTCAGTTTTCCAACCTCTCGTACGCACACAGCAAACTACCAGAATCCCTCTACTGCGTTTAAGAAATCGACTTCATTTGCCAATGAGTCTGTTCGTAGTCGCTATTTGTATACTCCTCAGTCTCTTCTGCATCACAATTTGGGTCCACACAAGTTTACATGTGGCTCAAAACTCGACACTTGGATGTATTCTAGGCGATCGATTTGCAAGCGTAAAAATGGTAAGTTACGTGCTAATTTCAATTTTCAGTGCTGTGAATACTTTAAGCAACTTTCATGCACATCTAATACATCTTTTTGTAGTAAAGTCCACAAGCTATATTTGTTAATTTAAACTGTCATGGCTCTATGTTCATGAAAGTCTGCCTTCATAGTATTTACAGTAACTTTGTATTGAGCCTATTTATGTTATTGTCATTGTTTTACTCTGAGTCGCTTCAGTAACTGTGACGTTCATACACTATTTGATAGACATCTAGGCTAGAATAAGCCGCTTATAGAAACTAGTGTGAATACTTATATTCCAATTAAAGTTCCTTTTTTGTTAAACCAGTGCCGTAAATCAACAAACGATATCGTCCAATCGATCATGATATGAGGATCCAATTTTTAAAGCAATATTTCCCATAGCAACTTAATGACTATTTTTCTTAGATTAGAAATGAGTACATTGCCCAAGAGCCGACCCCCACAGTGGCAATCGACATCGTTATCTTTGTTGGTGGAGGAGCTGCTACTAGAAAGGTGCCGTTATTAGTAAAAAGCGTATTTCACCACCGTCTTTTTAAGCGACGCTGCATGGACCCACTGCCCCTTTACCGGTTTCACGTCATTTGCGATGCGCTCGCTTGCAAAGGGATTTCTGTCCTCTTTAAGACTTGGAGAATTTCGGGACTAACGCAATCTTATTTCTACAACGCCTCAGAATACATGGTAGCAATTTACAATTTTTGTAATGCAATGTTTTCAACAGCGATTGAGAATTTGGATTTCTCGCGATTAGTCTGAAAACGCTGTCATTAACACTGTAGAATACTAACCATAAAAATGTAACTTAACGAATTAATTGGAAGCTGTTATGTGAAAAGGAATGAGGAAAACCGAGCAGGCCCAGCAACGCGACTTGATGGAATCCAAGCGAGCACTTTTGATTTAACATATTATAACAACTCTAAAGTAGAAGATTTACGTGATTCAAATTAGAGGTCATTTTTTACATTTAAAATACTCTTGCCTTGGGATCTAGTGAAGGATAAAATATAGCAGTAAAAAATTCAGATTTCGAAGGTATTAAGACAGTTTTATCTATCAGAAGAAAACCACAGATTAAGGCAACCCTATTTTTCATTTAAAAGACAACTGCTTTTAGCACACTTTGCCTCAGGTGTAAGACAATAAATGGCAGATCGGCCAAAATATGCTTTTTTTGTTTTTGATGTTTCTGCCAGAAATTTTTCCAATGGTTTCATTGAAAAAAAGCTTTTAAGGAATTTGATGTTCAAAAGAGCTCATAAAACTATTGCTACACGTATCTCGTGGTGGAAATGGATAGAATATGAAAACTTGTTATAAAAACGCATAGTCAAGATATGCATAACATTTAGTGTTCGGAATTGGGCAGTTTGAAGACAATCACAAAGAGCTTGAGTGCCTAGATTTATCGTATTTACAGTATGACCAAGTGTAATGCAAGGTAATTATTTGCATTGTTCGAAATTTGTTGTAACCATTTGGCAGGTTTGCTTGTCTTATCAAATCAAGCACTTATTTGTTTGAACTAATTACCCGGTCAAAAAAGCAACAATTATGAGGAGTGTATCAGAATTCTCTGGTCGTTGAATTCTCTAAAAGTCATCATTAGGGGAAATAACACAACAGTAAAGCAAGCGACCTAGTTGATTTGGATTTTTCGTTGTGGAACAGGACAAGTTCCATTTTGCTAGACAAACCAGCACTAAGTGTGTTCAGACTTAAAAAGTCAAATTGCTAAGGAGTACATACCTTAAGTAATGAACAGTAACCTCGTCAATGGCAACAACGATGAAATCATACATAACCATGCTTTCCCTTATATAATATTTTAAAATTAATTTCTAATTAAGTAACTATGGTAACAGAATCCATTCAGGTTGGAAACCACATAATATTTTAACTTAATTATCCGTAATTTATACGAGTAGATGGTGCACTTTGTTTCAACCAGCACGGTGCAGTCGAACAGCACTTGCAATGGTTTGCAACTCGTGCATGAATTACTGCTCAAGCGGCAGTTTCTCAAGTCGCCTATTGCGGTACCTGGAACTACTGTAAACATCCAAAGTATATATCAGTAGATTGGAGGGAATCGGAGTGTCTGTTGGACGTAGCAGCTAGTCCCAGAATAACTTTGCACTGCGCATGACTCTCTCGACCGAGGTTGATCAATCAGATCGAAAAAAATCGTTAAAACAAACAGACGTCTTAGAACTCGAAATGTGGACGATGTCATTTTACATGAATGCCGACAAAGTCTGTATCCTCGGTTGATTCACTTGTAGGGATTCGCGTTGACTCATGTGCAATAACCCAGTCCTCGCAGCTCCCAGCACACGTCCCCCCTTTTCACGAATTGCCCGTTTGTCACGTGAGGCCATTGGTGCATTAGCCACTCTGCATGTCCCACCACCACCCGTTTTAGTCATATGACCTTACAGACATCTGTGCTTGCTTTTGTGCTTGTCCACTGATCCGTAATTGTACACGACACAACTTGGTTGAGCTGTCTAGTAAAACGGTTGTGCCTTCTCCAATCCGGTCCTCTTTATTTTCGCGCGAACACGGCAACGTAGATTGTCGCAGTGGCCCCGGCGTGGTTCAAGACGACATGCCGGGGTCCTCAACACACTTTTTGTACAAGATTTCCTTTTCTTGTTTATTATCTCACTTGATTTTAATTACTTTTCAGAGTATTGTTAATTGGATTCCCAACATGCACTATTCTGGCGGTTTTGGACTTCTAAAGTTAGCCGTAGCTGATATTCTACCGCAAACCGTTAAAAGGGTGAGTATTTTCTTCCTCATTTTCTGTCTTCGATTGTGACTTTAAAAATGCCAAGATGAAAAACTGGTTAGTTTCCTTTTTTGCAGTGTTTTATCTTAGGCACATGATGCTACTCTAATTATTTATAATTTAAAATCCGGGTGTCCGTTGTGGGACCTATTTAGACATAATGATGCATAAAAGGCAAAAATTCATGTTTACTTTCTAATTAACTTAGCGCTGTATTTGCCCTCTATTTTAAAGGTAATTTTACTCGACGTAGACATTTTGGTGGAAGGCAGCCTGGTACCTATGTGGAATTCGGCTGACACATTTCAAAAAAATGAGGTTTGTTTTGTGTGTAATAGCTATTTGGTTGACGATTTTAGAATTTTTACTATTTTACCTAACTTAGGGCCCCTAGACCGGTCTTCCTGATTGATTTTACTTTGAATGAATCTGAGATTAACATTAGAAACGATTTTGAAGAGGCATGAATTGATTCCATAAGATGATTTACCTTCTGTGAATGACGGTTAACACACTTAAAGGATGCATTCTCCACTTGCACATATTAAAAATTGAATTAAAAAATGTTGGTGGGCCTATTACGTGTATTTTCGGTGACTCTGGTCATGGTGATTAAGGGGTAAGGGATGTTTGCTTATCATATTTTTGATTGACTATACCTTGAATTTACACGAATTAGACCTATTTCTGCTTCTATGCATCACTAGACAATTAATCCCTCTTTCTTCGTGAAAGACATGGTTTTACTAAAAATTGTCCAGGCGTATTAGTATTTCGCTGAGTAATTAATTTACCTAATTTTTTTGCCTTTTTAAGGTAATTGGTCTGGTTGAAAACCAAAGTGACTGGTACCTTGTGGAACACGGAACTTCCACATGGCCGGCCTTGGTAAGTGGGCTACTCATTTAACGCAGTCATAATAAGAAGATTTAGCAAAGCGTACTTCCTCATCGGCGTAGAACTTAGGGTTTGTGATGTTTGAGAAAAATGTTGGCATGCTTTAAGCTCAATTAAAGCATTCCTCTGATACTATTTTACTAGGGCCGGGGATATAACACGGGTATAATGCTGATGGATTTGAAAAAGATGAGGAGCGTTGGCTGGGATGACCACTGGAGGAGGGTAGCACGACAGCTCTTAAAGAAGATTTCCCACACAGCTCTTGGTGATCAGGTTTGTTTTAACGGTTTGAAGCATTTTGCATTTTAGTTTTTGATTCATTAGTGATTGCGCAGCTCAAAAGATTTTGTTAAGAGTAGTTTTTAAGCAAAAACAATGTTAGGCGATCAGGAAGAAAAGGGTTGTGGCACACTAACAGCTTTTAATTGTTTCAGCAAGCATGTTAGATCATTTCGCCCCTCTGCGACTTAGATGAATAAATCAGCAACGAATGGCACCGTAAACTTAGACATCAATGCCCTTGTAGACCGGCTGCATAACCAATCCACTTGGTTTTTTTTTATAAACAACATATTCGTTTTTTAATGTAATTATGCAAATGTAACTCAGGTTTTCAGGCCTTTTTGATTATGCACCAAGTTTTATCGAAAAAATGACATTTTGAATGGATGTGGTGGACTTTCTCAGGACAAAGTGTTTAAGGGAAGCGCCTAATTGGTTTACTTGCCACTTCTCTTGCCAGGATATTATAAATTCTGCCCTCTACTTCAACAGCACTCGTGTCCACAGACTACCCTGTGCTTGGAATTTCCAGTTAGCAGACAGCGCCAACTACTCCACTTGTCTGCAAAACGATCGCGTAAACAGAGTTTGGTAATGTGTTCGATTTCAGTAACTGGCTGTCTAAAGGTCACATGGTGGTGGTCTGCGAATCTTGCACTGGAATAGACCTTCAAAAACCCTATCGTCGATCGAAGCGGAGGCATTATTTAATTATGGAGAAACGGAACCAACCTATCACAGTGACACAGCACCAACACGTAAATTTGCAACTTATTAGTAAAACAGACATTAACTGTCCATTTTTGGTTGCAAAAGTAGTTCCTTAGCTCTGATTTTTAACTTAAGACTCAACAATGAGTCAAGAATCGACAATTGCTTGCGCACATTTTGTCTGACTCATCCGCTTCTTTAAATAAGCATCTGGGCGTTTTTATGCATTTTGCAGCCTCGGAGTTTAGAATGCAGTTCGCTAAAATCTCGGATCGGCTTTCGAACTTGGATGGAAGTCTATTCAGAGACACCGGGGACTCATATGTGAGTACAGTATTAATGGATTTCCGCAAAAACCGTGTTGTTTGGCAACACGTGAGTCTCTTAGTTGGGTGAAAGCATCTCATTCGAAGCTAATAAATTTAACAACTCTTCGTGGTTAAATGAAACGTTTACAGCTATATTTTACCAATAACTTCAAATAAGATAAGTTCAAAAATGCATTTGTAGCACACTGTTAGCCATGAACCATTTTTTAGAGACAAGCATGCTTCTTAGTGCATCCAGATTTCTTGGGTAAATAAAGGCTTCTTTATTCTATTTTGACAAATGCTTATTTTTTCAATGAAGTCATTTTCACAGAATTCGGAACCAATATCCATTGAGCGATTTTAAGTGCTTTGATGCGAGCATTATTTACTAATGCTTACTTCATGATTCAAATAGCACTTAAAAGCAATATATCCTAGATGTCACAGAAGACAGAATCCGAGAAACGTCACAGTGGTGCATTGCAACCTTGCCCGCTTCTGCAAATGGAAAAAAGCCTCCGAAGACGCATTTTCCCATATTTCTTTGGGACTAAGACCAAACGTTCTGGAAAAGTGACACTTGTGAGCCAGCTTACATTGGATAGGTAAATGTGTTTTACTTTTTCTATAATTAACTCAGCCTGGTCAAACAGTTAAAAACCGGAACCATTGTCGTTTTCTTAAATTAAAGGAATCAGACTAAAATCGTCCTAACTCTCTGCTTTAAAATTAGTCGTGTGAAGTTGGAAGGCAGATACAAAAGCCTATCCATGAATTGGCAAAACTGTTCAGGTCATTTGGAATTATGGCATTTGACTTAGTTGGACCTTGACATTCAAGCCCTTTCTTAAATCACCTCTACATCTTTTGACGGGTAACTACTTGTTTTGCCGCTATTTTTTTCCCAGAATCTAGTTAAAGAGCTGGATTTTGCGGCAAACTCTTGCAACACAGGCAATTTAAATTGTCTGGAAGTTTTAATTTGACTATCCCATTTTTCTTGTTTAAACCACGTCATGTACATCAATTTCTGTTATCAGATTGCGTGCTTACGTATTGTATAGGCTTCATCGTTTAGAGGAGATTTCAGGCAGTTGGGAGGGCCCAATGAGTCTAGCTGTTTACCTGACCGACAGAGAATTAACGGTACTGACTGAATATCTCGATTCTTCGTCGTTTCTCGCCCTGCGGTCAAATATATACATTCACTTAGTCTTTCAAGAGGGAGTAAGTTGTGTTTGCGCACACTTGCCAGTGTTTTGCTTCCGAAATATAACGTCCTCAAAAACTCATTTCTGTGTTTTGTAGAGCTATTTCCCCATTAACACACTTCGAAATACAGCCCTGGAGTATGCTGATACAGAATTTGTGTTTATCATTGACTTCGACTTCATTCCGAATCCCGGTTTATATAGTTACCTTCAGGCCATGCTAACAGCAGTATGTTTCTCTGAATAATTTGTCTAAATGCAAAAACACTTAGTATTGTGGCTACGTGCATCTAACCACAAAATAGTCCCAATACTTGATTTCCTAGATTGATTCATTTATGTCAAGATTGCTGTTCAGCCCACGAACAAATGTGCATTGCTATGTGAATTGATCGAAAATGTTGCCGATATTATCTTTATTACAAGCTAAGCTTTACTTTTTTTTACAAAATTTGTGTTTAAGGAACCTTTTTAACTAACTGAGCCTCTGAATTTTGAAAGAAACTCATTACGCTAAGAATGGGACAACCGATGTCTTACTGTAAGGGGATTTCAAAGGGAACATTACATTGAAACACCAGGAATTCCTATCATGTGGCCAGAACATCACTGTCTGCTTGACTTTCCTTATATTGCAAAATAATTTCTCACTTCCTTTAAAATTTCAAATCCGTTACATCCTCCTGAATGTTAATGTAACTCTTATAACTGGATTTTCAGCCAAAACTTACACCAAAAAGGTGAAATTAGCTAATGATTGAGAGCATGAAACAAGGCACGTACCGATGTCCACTGACTAGAATAAACCAACACAATGAATTAAGAATAATATTTTTGAGTTTAATCCAGTTATAAAAAAATGATGCGTGTTCCACAGAACAATACCTAGAATATCTAATAATACGGTTTTTTCCGAAGACCTTTGTCGAATTTTTACAAAAATGCCCTTGATCAAAAAAACGGTTAGAGGCAGATTAACTTTCAATCCATTTTTGACGTGCACGAAGATGATACCACGTGCTGAGCATTTTTAAGACGAAGAGGTTCTGTGTTTTTAAATCACTCTAACCTAGCTGTCTCAGCCGATACTAGTAAATAAGTTTTCGGTACCACAAAAGTATTTATCGCTCACATTTGCATTACTCATTGAAAATCTCAGAACCAAAGGTCTCATAAAACAGGACACTTTCGTTCCTTCGTTGAAATTTTGAAAGTTGGAACAACTTTCGCACGACCCAATTTCCGGTTATTCAGATTGCATGCCAATGGCAGTGTTGCATGGTTTCCGGAAGTCTTCAGTGCGAACTTTTAATAGCAAAAAGTGCTAAGGTAGGATTTACCCCCCAAAATTAGGCTAACAAAAATTAAAACATGATTTCCAAGCAGAATATATATACATATTATCGTAAGCATTTCCTTTCAAGAAAATAACTAAGCAGAGTGTTCATTTTAACAGCTTTTGTTGTTGTCTTGTCAACAGGATTTATACCATCTATCCAAAGCCTTAGAATAAAAGGTGTTGAATGGCCAAAAATCAAAGGTTATTTTACCGACATTAGTGTACAATACCTTTCAACAAACCATTTTATCGTCATTGTTCTGTGTTTTAAGGAATACAATGTTGTAAAGGTGGCCTACATAATTCCCGCATTTGAGACCTTCAACACACAACTGGGATTCCCGGAAACTAAAGAACATTTACTCAAAACAATTTCTTCTGGAACAGTAAAGCCTTTTCGGATTGATGTTTGGAAAGCTGGACACATGGCCACAAATTATTCCCGTTGGTACACAACCGATAAGCCATATGAGGTATTAGGTTTTCAGCATTACTCACCATCACATCAATTTAGATTTACCCTCACATTTCAGGGATCGCCTGTTTAATAAGTCAATATTCCTCTACCCTTCTAGTCAAAGACTAACATGTCACAAACTACTTTTGACTAAAATCATTTCAAGTACCCTGACGTGGATACAGGTACGACCCTCAAAATCCACATTAGTATTTAATTTAAACCTTAACTCAGTAGGTGCTGAGAATGCATGGGAGAGTTCGAGGTATGGGAAATCGAAAGGAGCACCGATAATTTGGCTGATATCTTTTGTTCGACCCCAACAAACCAAAGTGGCGCTAAATTTTCTCTCTACCAGTCAAATTCATCTGACTGATATTTTAAGAAATAGTGTGTTCCGGTTACATTGACATCACCACAAATCTATTGTTATAAGGAAACTTGGGGGATGCAGTAAATATCGTCCTCTATGCGCATACACGAATTCACACAAAATTTTGACTTGTCAAAAATCAGCCATGTGACAAGAGTCTTTAATATTGTAACATTAGTGAAATCCGTAAAAGTCATTGACTGAGATTAATTTGCACGAAGGCATTGATACATTTGGTGAGCTCTGCTCTGTTTACTTCGCCGAGTAAGAGAATATGTGCATTTTATTTAAAAATTAAGGTTCAATTACCATAGACTAGTAACTGCCTAAGCCTCTATTGCATAAATACTCCACTTGGAATGCTCATTCTAAGTAATGCATTTATTTAGGTGAGTTGGGACGCCGACTTCGAGCCCTATGTTTTGATTCGACGCGAAGAAGGCCGTTTCGATGAGCATTTCGTTGGTTTTGGCTGGAACAAGGTGTCATTCTTCATGCTTTTGGATGCACTTGGCTTCAAGTTCGTCGTTCTCCCAAAGGCTTTCATAATTCACTTTCCCCACGCTCCTAGCATTGAATCCAACCGTTTTCGAAATTCCCCATTCCTTCGGTCAGTTTATAAAATTTTACATAGAGGTCTTGCATTTGTTATTACGTTTCCAATATCCCAGTAAGTGCACATTTGTAGAGTGTGAATTCTTTAAATAGAAACTGCCTTGTGTGCGTCCAGAGCACTAGCACAAGTATGTAAATAACATCAATGTAGCCAGGTTTAGCTATCAATTCAAGCAGTGCTCGTTTTGCATTAAAAAAGCAGAAATACAAGGTATCAAGCACAGTAGTTATCTTCTGTAATTGAATAAGCCTCAGTCTAGCATACATTAAGAAAACTATTGTAACGAGAACTTAACTGCTAATTTTCTGCGCTTTTTTAGCAATTGCCTTGAATATTTCAAAGTAAAGTACATAAAGGAGCTCGCCAGGCACTTTGGTGTAAAGTCTTTGAAGTACCTGCGATTTCGTCGTCGGACAAACAGAACATAATACTTAACCTGCTAAAACATTTTGTATTGCCATTTTTTACTTTGAAGAGGTCAGTTACTTTGAGAAATAAATTGGTATACCTTTCTTGCCTTGCCAATGTCATATATTCAACCAAGGTAATTTAGAAAGTCCTAGAGTGCGAAAGGATAAATCCTAGAAGCCGATGAATGGCAAAGATGGCATTAAGAACAACAGAAAACACATTATTTTTAGCAAATAAATTTTCGCTTTAATCATGTGTACATGGAATTTAGCGTTGACTCAGGTGGAAAAGTGAATTCATTTTTGGTATTTTCAATTTTGTAATGATCTTTATTTGACAAAGTTCAAAATTCTTGCACATCCCTCTTGATAGACACATGATAGAGTACCAAGAGTTTTTGCTACATCGCATTATTTATTGCTTGGGACAAAGTAAACAGAATCTGGATTTTTAAGCTTAAGATTGACGACACGCTATATTATGCACAAAGTTACACAAAAATAACATTTCAATAACTTCGATACACTGGTTAAAATCTAGGCTGATTTTTTCACTATTTTGCTGCTAGTTATTCTTTCCAAAATAATACCTTCCTTGAACGAAACTAAGGCAGCGAAATCCTATGTACTCACAAGAACTAAGCACTATCTTAATTCAGAATTAGGTGATTATGTCGCAATGACGTGGAATTTTGCTTTTACTAAATAGCGTGAATGTAGTACACGCTCCTCAGTCTTAGAGATAATTCTGAATAGCTGATTCACAATTACGCCAAAAAACACTGACAGTACGGATTCAAATGCACAAATCAATGTACTTGGACAAATTTAACTGGTGTCTAGGTTTTTAAGCTAATCTATATTGGTGCTTGAATACTTATCGAGATTGTTTCAGTCGCATTTCATAATACAACCCTAAAGCGTTTGCAAAGACTTATACCTGACCAATGGGATCATCATAAATTGCACATCTTTGCAGAACGCATCTTGAATTGTAATATTAAGGGCACAAAACAGTCGTCAACATCATTTCTTTGATCAGCCTAACTGGTTTTAAAAGTTGAAAACCATTTGGACTTGTACCAGTTATGACTACCCATCTGATACCTCATAAAAAAATTTGATAATCGAAACAATAAATACAAGGAAACACAGTAAATGCTCTTAGAAGAGCGTCTCTGCTTCCTTGACGTATAAGTACCTGGGTCTTAAATCAAATTTTGTGCACAATTCTATTCAACTTGCCAACAAGAGACAGGCAACTCTAACTAAAACAGAACCGTGAATAAACGGTAATAAACACTTAATGTAAGCACACCGAATCATGCATAATGTGCACTCATGTTCATACGAAAAATGATGGTTAAATAAAAATTTATAACTACTTGATCTTGTGTGCAAATAGTATTGTCGCCACAAAGTTACAGATCTTGACTAGAACATGGCACGAAACGCACGTCTTTGCTGATTCATTGGGACAGTAAATTAATCAAAATTCAGCAGCACCAGTTCTTTAACTACACTAAGGCTATTTTCGGCAAAAGGCTATACGTGTTGACAATCCTAACCCCGTAGACGGACATGATAAGCGAATATGTTTAACATAAAGCATTTAAACCATTCTATTACTCAGGCTCAAATATCAGTAAATTCACTGAATGTGGCGCTTCTACTGATTCAAAACTGAGGCATTTAGAAAGAGACGCCCTTGGGTCATTGATAAGCCAGTGAATATACTTACTCGTCACTAAGCCACTATTATTCAGAGCCTCTGTATTGTGCTATGTCCTACTTCTTCGCAAATCAGTAAAAAAGATAAAAGCTAGATTTGGAACACTACTTTAAACAAGTTTTGCATTATCAAGCATTAAAAACACAGCTGCACTCCACATTCCAGCCATGAAGTCCTCCTAATTCCAATGATGAATGTCCAGCTAGAACACACTTTTCAGGTTGACAAAGTTATAATTACGAAAGGTTTACATTACTGTCTTTAAGTGAAAGTACTTCTTAGGAAATAGAGGTGTAGCAAAACATAGGTATATTTCAATGCTTCAAGATCAAATAATGTTCCTGAAGAAATAATTTGCAGTTTATCAAAAATTAAATTACATCGACAGAAAAATACGGTGCGAAATACAAAGAGTTCAGTGTACTTGCTTATTTAGATGAGAGGTGAATATTTTCAGTCTTGATACCATACCGTAACAAAACGCAGGCTCATCCGAGCAAAATAAAACACTCCCGAAACACATAAATTGCTAAAATTATATCAAAATGGAAACGTTTTTGGGCTTAACACACATCTTGAGTGGTCCATCGATTCCTTTTTCCAAATTGTCCCACCAACTATTCTGAAATAAAGCCAGCTTTTTGAAAGTGAAACGTTGCTTTGTAAAATCGGACAAATACAACAACATAATGATTAAATTTCAGAATAGTTTTCCATGCGTTCCAATTAGTAACTTCAGGATATTTCAAGTTTATTTTGTGTGAGAAGCCTTCTAACGAAATAATGCGCATTGGTATTCATGACGTTCTCACGTAACTAACAAGATTCTGCTTCGATTATTGTGCAGCATGGGTCACAATAAGAGATTCTCCATTTTGTATTTACTTGTTTACTAATATTATATATCACTAACAAATTTCAGCGAAATTTAATAATACTAAATCGTTTGGATTTTGACTTCACTTTTTAAATTTTAGCAGTTACTTTTTGGGCATATATGAATGCATCGGCATAATTTTTCCCTTTCAAAACTTCGTCTATTGTACAAATTCCAAAATCCAGTTCGGCGCCCACGTTTGCGTGCACGAGCTCCACTCAGCCCGTAAAAAAGTCTTCTGGCGCAATCTGCACTCGCAAGCCAAGTCTTTCGGTGCATGGGTTCCGAGTTTTACGGTTGGTGGTGACGAATTTAGGGACAAATGGTAAGACATTGTGTTAACCCAGGGAAAAGTCCGAAAGTCTCACGGGCTAACCAATCGTGTGAAGCTTTGATTGTCACCCTCGTTTGTAAATCGCGCTTGTAAGTATATGCTTGTTAACTAAGAATTTTGAGGAATGTGGCGAGATTTTGAGTACTTTACTTTGCAAGTAAACGTTGACAAAGCAATGGTTCGATTCTGTCCGCAGACTAATGCACCAACTTAATATGCGAAATCCGAATTCACATCTGTATTTACACAATTTGCCATTAAGTGGTCCGTCTACTCAATTATGATTTATAAATAGAAATTGAGCGTTTTCATTAAAAAAAATGGATGCTGGATATTCCAGAAGCTTTTCTGCTCGTTTCAGAAAAACTAAGTGGCGATAATCACGTAATATTTCCGGACTGTCAAGTACAATTTATCAAAATAACCCACGAAAAACTAACCCCTAAAGGCGTCATCTTAAATTCCCTCATGTGAATGAAATTATTGTGTGCTTCGTAGAAATAAAATTTACGATAGTAGTTTTGTCGTTCGCCGTTGCTAGAAATAGCAAGAATTACTGTTACATCCGCCAAAAGAATGAAAATATTTACTAGATAGGCAGTCTCGCACATCATGAAGTTTAACACCAACAAAAGGCATTTGTGCTCAAAAATGCATACGATGTGATCTTTAAAATTAGTTTTAATGAGACTGAGTAGTAAAGTCGAATAGTCACTTCGGCGGAATTTATTGAGGTAGTGCTTACCCACCACATTACAATTCAAGTATTTAATCAGAAATGTTAAAAGGATTTAGTCTAATATATCATACCTATTAATTAGCTAACAAATTAAATTTTGCTAATTAAAATATATCCCAAATAAACACTTTTGGTGTCGTTATATTACCTTACTACGTTATAAATTGACACTATTATTATACATCCAATGCGCAACAGTGCAATTTACGCATTCAATTTACGCCTATTTTTACACACTTCCTTTATTTTAGGTGTCTGTTACGCCGTCTCCCTTTGCGCCAACTTTTGGAAGGCAACCTAACACCGACGATTTTTTAATGTGAATACCCAAGGCATTTGTCAGAAGTAACCATAAATTTTTAAGACGAATGGGTTTTTTTTTATAAAAGCAAATAGGTGGCAAAATGCTACTTCGATATCACTGAATATTATTAGTCCAACATTAGATTTAACGAGTGAAGTGCAATTAAAAACTTATACATACAAACAAATGACACATGCGACTGTTTTGGGGAGACATTTGCTTAACTTTTGGGCGAAATACCTAAAAGATCGACACTGCTACACTTTGTTTCAAGAGGCACCATGGGGAGATATGTTGTCCTTCAGGATCGAATGCACAGGAAGACAATTTGTGGTTTGCATGGCTTTTTAAGCCAAATTAATCAGTGTGTATTTCCTCATTTCTGAATGCGCCAAAAAATCGAAAATAATTTCGTGCTGGCCAAGAAGCCAAATTTCCTTCATTCCTTGGTAAATGTAAATCAATCTGAAAAGTGCGTAAGCAAAAAGCATAAACATCATTCAATGAGGTCTAACAGAACTAACTGTGTGTACTGAAACGTTATAAGTAAGAATTAATTTAGTTTATTCTTTTTATACTTCATGACGAACTATGGGCACTAAAAGGAAATACATCATGGCCCGAAATTCAGTGATATAAATAAGCACTTGAATTACTATTTTGTACAAAAAAATTTGTTTTGAAGTATTCCTTTAATTTATCCTATTTAAATCAGTCAAATGGCCGACTTAGCATTCGCAGGATGGCAGCAAAGTTTTCCTGGTATTACTTACTCCAAATTTTGTACTCAATCGACTTTAACCTAGTACCTTTAAAAACGTGAGATGGTTAACAATCATGCTTTTGTAAAAGCAATCTACTAGTTTAAAAGCAGATTATTTCCATGAGGAGTCACACGTTAATTCCTAAAATCAATTTAAAATTTTCATGATGTAGGGGGCAATAAACTACCACAATTGCTACCACATATTATAATGAATAATTATTGAGACAGGAACAAATTTGCCTATCTGAAAGCATGTCATTTTGCAAGTATACCGCATGAAGCCCAAACCATTAAGTGAATTCAACTGCATGGTATATTGCCTCAGTTATTCGGGCGCAACTTATACGGTCAGTAGGAGAATTTTTTATTCAATGTTTTAATATATTTCAGGTTGCAAAATTAAACATGCAAAAATTAGCTGTAGTATTTACTTGGACGATGTCCATTAGTGGTGCTTCATTAATGAAAATAAACTTTTAATCAGCAGCAAATATTGACAGAATTAAACACGCACTTTGTGACATGAATAAGCCAATCTATGCCAACATTTTTCTTGGGGAAAGTACGTTGTTACTACTTTAACAGTAACAAGAATACCGAGATGAATGACTTTCAGGAAGTCTTGCAGATTAGGCGAGAAACTATACATATATACCGTCGTCATTATTGGCATTCCAATGTTATATATTTTAAAAGCAAATATGAATCTATATATCTGCATTGAACCAGTAAGTGAGGGGGCAAATGACTTCAAATATTTTACTAACAAAGCATTAAATAAGCTCACATTATAATCAATACGCATAAACCGAACATTTCAAATGCAAGTTGCAGTGCCTCTTACAATATCTGATTCAATCTATTATTAGGGATCTAATATTTTCATTTTAAGAAATGAAAACCTGGACAAATGCAAAAACAACAAAAAACTGAGTAATTACCATTTACTAGAATGTAATGAAGATTTCTAACTTCATTTTATACTCATCAATAGTAAATATAAAGGATAAAACATTCTGCGTTTTAATTCATCAAAGTTAATACTACTCTGGATCACCTTGGAGTCTTTATGTTCGGGTCTTCGTCAAAAATTATCTCGAGCAGGCGGGCCGTCAGCTGCGGAATAAGAGGCTTTCCCCCGCAACTACTGATCAAGTATCTTGAGGATGGAAAGAAAAAATTGAGAGTAATACATCTTCGAAACATCGACAAGATCGAATCTGCCTGGGATTGTGTCAATGAACTGTACAAAAAACCGGAACACTTCGAATTACTCAGCCAACTTCCCAGACCTCAAGCCATGCGTCTTATATTCATTTTGAAAGATCTCAGAAGGGGAATATCCCTCCAGCAATCACTGAGAGCTAATGAGGCCTTGGACAGAATCTCCCCGAATGAAGATCTTAACAAAGTTGCTGACGAAATCGTCGAGCGGTAAGCTAACACGTTGCTTACAATTTTCATTTCTAAATTGTGTTATACGACCCCAAAATATACATTTGGTCATTTTAGGAAGAAGCTTATGATGAACGAATTATTCGAGAGCAACAGAATTCGTCCAGGTGATCCTGATTTCCAGTATGACATTTCAATCGACTTCCCTGAGCAAGCGAACTCAAATGATTGGGACTCTGATTTGTCTGACTTCTGGCCAAGACATTGTTATATATAAAGAAATTGTAAATAATACAATACGTCTAAATTTATTAGTTCCATGTGCCTAAAATGAATGGCTGAAAAAAGCTTCATGATAAAATGCATGTGTTGTAAAGGTGTGAGGCGCTGTCTTCAGCTGTTCTTCCCAGACGAAGAAAACTGGGCAAACGGAGCTCGAGCCATCGGGTTGGCGTCCTCAGCTTCTGCCCCCTCCGCTTGTTCTCTAGGCTCATCAGGAACCAATAGCATGCTTTGCTGACGGATCGTCTCGGGTCCAGCCATTTCTTGCATACATTCGCTTTCTTCAGAAGACGAGAGTGAACAATCGGAGCTACTATTACAGCATTGATGTCGCTGTTCCTTGTTTGAGGTAACTATGACCACGTGAACATTTTGGATGGTAGTAGTGGTCTTGGTCGCTCCCGCAGTAGCAGCCGCCATCGCAGCGTTTAGTTCGTTATTCTGGTAGTGAAGGTGGTGCCGATGACGATAAGATGTAGACGCGGAAGCTGCGATGCACCTTGCGGCTGTGGGCGAAAACTGCATTTGTGAAGGGAGATTGAAGACAACTTCACCGGGTGGACGAATGAACGGTGTTTTGGAAGAAGCGACTCCAGATCTCCCAAGATTTCCAACTAGAACAAGAAAATCTTACTTACAAATACCCAGGCTGCCAAACCATTCAGAGCTACATCGATGTAGTTAAATGTGCCTAGGCTCTTGGGGTGATAAAGCGACAAACCTGTTGCGATAATTCGTTGGTCCACTTCCTTGTCGTTACCCAGGGTTTCAAAAGAAAGCGAACTTAAATGCTCGTTGCAAACGACCGCGCTGGAACCACACGAGTTCGAGACACTGCCAGCCTGAGACAGGGATCCCGGTTGTTTCAAGACAGCAAGTGGAAGTGGGGCGTAGGTTGATTCTGTTATCGGACTGGGAGGTGGGTTTACAGTTTCCTGGAAGTTATTAAGTGACATCATTAGAAAATAACGGGACTAAAAAGTTATTTTATAAACCGGCGATTGGTAAGGCACAAATATTTCTGCTACGATCACAAATCTGTCTTTTCAAACCCTGACAACGGGTACCAGATAACCAAACGTTGTCATCGGAGTCAATTATAAATACAGACACGAAAAACCAAGTTTTTAAACAATAACCTCGGGCAAAATCACAACGGGCACAATTAGCACACCATAGGATATATTGGTATAAAGAGTAGTTAGCAAATAAACAAAAACCATTACATATAAAATGCGCGGCAAAAGGACTAACGAATTATAAACAGCGATAAACGAGTGCAATTTGTGGGTTAGGTTCACAATACCAAATGGTTTGATACCTGTCAATCCAAACCATGCTGATTGGTGTAAAGATACAAAAAGAGGGGGCTTAAAATATAAAAATTGCCTTGTGGTTGGCTTGCTAGAGTTTTGCATTACCTTTGTAATGGCACCGAAGCTGGCACAACATTGTACTGATATACACAGCAACAAATTCGATAAACTGAGGCTGAAACTTACGTCCATATCGATTCCTAATTTAAAGTGTTTGGTCTCAATAGAATTCGGTTGATCAAAAGAGTTTTGGGAATTCTAAGCCTATTCCCACTGTCTAGCCACTTTAAACAGCCAAAAGGACGCATATTTAATAATCAATTTAGGACTCCGTAGACTCACTCGGGGGTAGTACTCAGATGAAAGGTTTGAATATGTTTTTTGACCTGCTGACGATGAGGCACTGCTTTCAATCGTGTTGGCTACAACCGAGGACGGTTCGACCCGACTGAATGTGGCCACTGCTGTATGGTGTTCGACGGTGGCTGCTACAGCAGCATAGGTGTTTCTCCGCATCACCCGCTTGTGAGAATGCTGCTGTTGCCTCGACCCACACTGCGGACAATGCAGACATGCCGGCTGAACTATTTCTTCCAGATCCGAGTGGAAGCTCACCTTCCTGGGACGTCTCTTTCCCAGGCTGCAACTTTTCTTCCTTCGATTACTATGATTATGGTGACTGTTATGGTTGTTGTCTGTTGAGGCAGTTGAGGAGACGGAGACCACATGTCGTTGCGGTCGAAGTTTGTGCCGACGCAAGTGAAGCCTGCGTCGCTGGCGGACGTGAACGTGTTGACAAGGTGTGGGTGAAGCAGTCACACTGGAGGACTCGCTAAACTCGGACGTTGTGCCTCCCTCACGAACTTCATCATCGTCATAATCCTCATGCAGCTTTGATGGGGGAGGGGCGGGTGGAAGAGACGTGGTGACCGATTCAAAGAGACAAGTGGTGGTGGGAGAAGGTGGAGGGGATGGCAGAAACGAGGGTGGAGGGGCGGGTGGGCACTTTGAGGGTGCACTGGTCCAGTAAACGGTGGAACCACTTTCAGGGCCCTTACCATCACCCACTCTGGCTCCGCAGCGGCAAGGCGAACGTGAGTGAACTGTCGACCCTAAATAAGGAGAAGTGATGTCACATTTGCTGACAAAGTTACTGAAAGCATGAATCTTGACGTACTCTGGTTTTTGGAGTGGTAGTGGTGATGTCTACGACAACGTTTGCAAGAGGTTCTGGAAAAGGCAGCAGATGGGGGCTGACCCCCACGAGAGGAGCAAGAATGGCAATACCAACTGGAAGGGTCAGTAGCCGGATGAGGTAGGACAGAGACTTTGGAAGTGACCTTCCGACTACCCTCAACACCACGTCGCCGACGCGAAGCAGACGTTGAAACATGTTCGGTTACTGTTGCAGTGGTCTTGATTGTGGCTGTATGTGCGACCAGTGGCCCGTGGCAATCATCACGGCCCTTGCGCTGGAGGTCTGCACACTTCGATCCTCCCACATCGCTTTCGCCTCCGCCCTTGCCCGTGGGGATTAGAAGAACATCGAGCTGCTCGGCATGAACGGTGTATGAGGATTTGGACCACCTGTAAAGTATGCAAATTTACATCGCATATATTTAATCCCCAGATTAAACACAAAACATTAGCTACCGACACAAACGTCGCCCAAGGCCGTGTGTGTTAGTGTAAACGATTAAAAAAGGACTTAATTCGCCCCTATTTCACTACGTAAAAGTGGATACATTTGTAACTCGCATATACCCCAGCTAACCACTCCTAACCAACACTATAGAAGTAACGAGAGGGCGTGAAAGGGCGGTAACCCAGCATCTGGAGGATTGCTAGTAGCACAGGAAACATTATAAACGTAAATATTAGAACAGTCGAGAGTGATTAATGAAGGGATCTAAAATAGACGCCGACCCGACGGTTAAGAGGGCCCACACTAAACATGAGAACTTGATTTGATTACCTGCAGGCCATGCTTACGATTTCAGCTAGGAAACGTTCACTTGCTTAGAGACAAGTCCACATCTACGGTATCATAGATACTAGCGTCGATGTAGTGAAATACCCAATGGTTTTCTTAAGCAATTCCACCTATTTGTAAAATCTTTGCCACTTTATGAAATATTCCCGTACTTTTTAGAGCACACATAAGCAACAAGGCTGACGAGTAGAAGGACGATGATAATCGCTGAAACGATGACCACAGCATAGACGGAGGGGAATTCACCAGATCCCCTGGCTCTTTTGTCTGAGACGATCGCTTCAAATGTCGCCGTGCTTCCATTCGCCGTTACCAAGGCCTTGGTGATGCCGTCGTTCCCCGAATCGTGGCTAGTCGCATTGCATGAAGCCTCGTCCCAGCCGTCGGAGCAGTCAGGTCGCCCGTTGCAGACGAACTCCTGAGGCAGACAGCGACTTGGAGGGACTAGCGAGTGCTGATGATAGAGGAAGAGGGAATGCCGCGGGCGACGACACTCAAACTGGTCCCTGCCACAGCACGACTCGTCTGAGTCACACTCTATGACGTCATTGCAACGCGACGAAAATGGAAGGCAGCGCCCATTGTTGCACTCATATTCAGGACAGGTCTTCGGACAATTTACCTCATCACTTCCGTCCTAAGTAGTAAAAAAAACTTTAAACGTTTTGGGAATTATGGGAATACCATCAAACAGGTTCCGCAATCATGATAGAATTCACAAGATAAAAAGTTGTATGGACCAACGCTTACTTCAATTAAGGATAGTTTTTATGCGGGGAGACGGAATTCTGTGCTGGAAAATGAAAGTTGTTTAAGTGTTCTAAATAGGCCTGATCTGTTTTGAATCTTGCCATTGTGTGATAATACTGGAATGAGTATTTATGAATGTTGAGTGTTCCCCACATGGAGTCGCATATTTACCAGATCCGGATTAATGAAGCAATGAGTCGAAAAGGCTTAAAATATTACCCAAATTAGTTTTATCAATAGAACTACTCACACTTACCGACAAACTAAGGGAGACTAATTAGGAAACTCAACTCAACCGACGAATTAGAGGACAGAAACACGTAAAGCAATATTTGACGAGTCTACATGAACGCGATTCTAAGTTTTGCATACTCATGCAGCCTCCTTTTCAACATGCCAAATCATCTTTCCGATATGCCGACAAACCACTTTAACAAGAAAGTGCAAGCTGGAGAAGTCGGCATTCATGAAGAAATTGAGATTACTAAGTTGCTCTATTCACATCATTTCTTTGTATCCATTAGTTACGGCATTTCCATGTTCACACTAACAACTTTTCATAGAATTTAAGCACTACCAAATCGTCCGACCAAGGTCGCCCAGTGCACACCGAGGCTTGATTCCTGTCTTAGAACTGGGACGGTGAAGCTTGCGCTGGGGAGGGAACCCGTGTGTTAGTTATTTGGACGTGTCAACAGTAAATGGGAAGTTCATTCCTAGACAGTCCTAAAGTTAACTAAAAACTTTGTTTTTTAAAACCCCATTTCACATTTATCGTGTTTAATGGTAACGGTTGTCTTAAACGTGCACGGGCTAACATTGAAGTCAGGTTAGGCGGAGGTTTATAAGACATGGAGGTAGGACCGTAAAAGACCGTATCATTAGTAAGAAACACACCTTGCAGTCAACTACTCCGTCGCAGACCTTGTGAGCCGGAATACAAAACCCTCGTTGCGGGAATGGCTCGCCACTGAGGAAATAGCTCCCTCCAGGACCCCCGCGTCCCCCCTTGTCGTCCGTGGTTAAGCCCGCCCGGCACAGCATATTCGGTGGGAGGCAGTAGGGTATTTGGCTGCACACGTTGCCCTCGTCGCCCTGTGCTCCCGGGTCCATCAAGTGTGAGCCGAGGGCACAGGCACACCGACGCACAGTCCGCCAGAGCGACTGTGGCTGTGGCGACGACAGCGGCGGATGAGGGGTAAGCGGACCCGGATATAGGGGCAGGCTTGGTGACGATGCAGTCACCTTTGGCAAGCAAAATTGCGAGCATTCGCCGTGAGATGGCCCGGCACACGGATGCCAAGAAAGGTCTCCTAACCCTCCACCACGCACAGGAAGCAAAAATAATTCACTTTCACTGTTCCGCACGTAAGAGTGGAGTCCCGAGGGCGGAACAAGGGGCTTTTGGGGTGACGGCTGAACACCACCTGTGTGGGGGGCATCTAGTGGAACGTATAGAAGGCGTACAGGATGGTTGTCAATGCCAGATGCGACGCCGTGGTGGATTGGTTCAAACCAAGTCAGCCAGAGAGGTTTTCCGGATGACGCAACTCCGCGAGTGCTCTCAGGTAGAACAGCGAGGGATTTTGGGAGGGGTGAAGCACTAACAACGACCGTCTCAGGCTTTGATGTACTGATTCCAGCACCACTGGCTACAGCGAGTGACTGGATCAGCCTTTTCGTTGGATCAGCCCAAAAGAGTTTAGCGAACTTGGCGGAATAAGCGAGGGAATGCGGGCAACTGGAATGAGTCGAAGCATCGTACAGCACACGACGATCGCTACCATCCAGATAGGTGACTTCAATGCGACAGTCAGATGGACGACCTCCTGGCTCTTCCAGGCTGCCAGTTAGCTGGAAAAGCTGGCCCGATCGTGGCTCGACGACAATTTCAAAGATAGTGCGAGAAACCTTCAAAAAGGCACACATATAGTTACAACCAAGGTAGCATTTACTCAACCAGAAAGTGTTTATTATACCTCGCTGAGATTAGCCACTAGACCGACTGTGCGTCCGGATCGGCTGTTCTCTGCTCCGATCAAACCGGTGATGGCGTCACTCCAAAAGACGATCTGATTGATTGGATCGAATGTAAGACTCCAACGAGGACGATCAGGTGCCAGAAGATTTCTTTTACGATTCAAGTTACCGTCCCTCTTTCCGATATGCGATTGCCACGGCTGATCAGGCATCGCAACCACTGTTAGTGAAAGCAAGCCAAACAGGCCGTAGAATAACTGCCAGTACACAATTAAGCAGACAAATTCACCATTTTAGAAGAAAGCGGGCTTGCTGATTTGAAGATGTCATTAGCTACTCAATCTACACGAGCTGATGCAATTAATTCGTTCAAGTTCCAGAAATGGATTGTCCAGACACAATTTTAATGACAATCTCTGGGTTGGGAAGAAAACACACGATGACTTGAATTAGCTTCCTTGTGATTTAGAATGATAGCTACAGAGGTAATGTGATTTAATTCAACTAAACTATTTCAACTAGACGACAGGAGATCGCAGCTAGGAAAATACACACGAATTGCAATCGCCCCGATTATGGTGCAAAGATGACCTAGTGAGCTAAAGAAATATCTTACACAAATTCTTTTTTCCATAAAATGAAAAAAAAGAAACCGTTTATGAGAAGGATAATGTTCAATGAATCATAGTCGTGCATTTTTTTGCAAGATACATTAAAGCAGCCATGATGGTTTTACGAAAAGTCAGCAACATTTGGTTATAACACATAAGAATAGTCAAACCACTTTGAGAATTTTTCAGCTCATGGAACAGCCAATTATCCAATCGAAAAACCACCAGCCTGATTGACATTCCTGTAAGGTTAGGCATTAAAAAGGCAAGCGTATAATGGTTGAATTTTTTGTGTAGATTTGGTTTGCTTGAGTTGGGATTATGAAATGACGTACAAGGGCCACCTTCCCACAGTGCCACTTCGCCTGTTGCAAACTCGAGGAACCCCAGGCGCATGAACGCAGGAGCGAAGTTGTTACTGCCAACAAGTGGATCGTGCGGCTGATCTCTGTTGCTGCCTCTGCCTCCGCCGCCGCCGCCGCCGCCGCCGCCGTCTGTGCCCTGTCGAAAACTCCTTCCGCGTGAGGGTAGTGGAGATGCTCGATCGCGTTTCACGGGTTGCAGCAGAAAGAAGAGGCCCGAGTTGGTCAGTTCGTCCAGCGCTACGGCAGCCACTCGGTGGTGGGCAGCCCAGCGCCGTGCGAAAACGAGGGGGTCCGACAGACGATCGGGATTTCCGCCGTGTGCTCCTACATCCGCGTACAGTGGAAACTGTCCAACAGGATGCCAGGGAGGCGAGTTGATCCAGTCTGTGGAAAGCTGATCGTACATGGGGAGGGAGAGGAGGGACAGGGAGAGGAGGTTCGTGGCGGGCTGGTCGTCAGGAGTGTAACGAGTGATCGAGCCATCGCTTGTGACCATTAGAAGGCTGCGTTGGGGCTCTTTGAGGCAATGCAAAATGAGATAATTGCCCATGTGCTAACTCGAACAGTGTAATTGAAATAACCACAACAAATGAGCATTGAAAAACAAAATGTGACAATCGGTACGCATCAGCATAGCCATAAAAGGCAGGAAAAACATAACATTTACGGTAAAACATATTTAGAGAATATTGACTCAGTGAAACTAGTATCGACACGGGCTTATAAAACCAAGTTTTGACTCATTAGGTAAAGCGCGGAATGGTGCAAGTTTCCGTGCCACCAAATTTGGTTGTCAGCATTTTTAGTTGAGACCCACCTGCACCGCCGAAATGTCATTTAGGAGCAACATTTACGGACCAAAGCGACAGCCACTGATCCTGCTGGCCGGAAAGTCGATGAAGGGGAAAATCAGTGTGCCTAGACGGGTGTGACATTTCTTGAAGGCCAGTACCGCGTTGCCGTCGGTTACGGGATTTATGAAGACCATATATATATGGGAAAGTTTATAACTCCACTAGGAACTACTAACACGACAGTGCAAGGGCAGTTCTAACGCACAGGAAAAAAACTCTAAGACATCCACATACTTGCACCTTAAGGAAGTTTCAGCAAATCTATTGGAAATAGCCTCGTGCTGCTGCCACAGAGGAATAATGCTGTGTGCATTTGCTTGCCTTTGGTGCCTGAACGTTAGAGGGATATCAACATCCTCGAGAATTGGACCTAACTTTGAACTAACAGCGCAGAACCTCTACATCTACTAAAATAATATCTGACAAAACGAAGTGCCTAGTTCGATTAGCAATGTTTTGTTTTAAGCACGCTGTAGCGAGCTAAAAGTGTCGAAAATCAGTATTCAATGAGCTGCAGCACATAATGAAGGATCATAAAAGAGCAAAACCGACGGGCAAATGTGAAAGAAGACACCTACCGAGGCAGCTGTAGCCATCAGAGGCCAGGGTGAATTGCGTGGGGCAGGCGCAGGTAAAACGAGGTGACCGGTCATCGAGCAACGACGGGTGATTGGCACTGGTACCACCCCGTCCCCTGAATACAGATGCGTGCGTGCCACCACGACCGCCCAGCACAGAGTGCGGTGGTAGTGCGCCCAGACACAACGCCTGCATAACAAAAAGCATCAACGAACAGAAAACCGCGAAACAACTCTGGATTAAATCAACCAAAATTGCTCATGGCACAAAGTCATGCCAAGTAATAAAGGTGACTGCTTCAAGGTAGAGGTTACAGCTGACAGTTAAAGGTGTAAACGATTTTGTGCAACCAAGTAGTTACATTATAACCTCAAAAGAGAACGGAACTTGAGCATACTTGACAGATGGGCCCAGACTGTTGTTGTAGTTGATGGGGTAGATTGTGCGAGCCGTAACGATGGGCCCACATTGGCGCCTGTGGCTGGAGGGTTGATGCAGAGGAGGGTGGAGCACACTGGTGGCCCGGCTCCGGCGCCTGTCGATCGAAACCGGCCAGAAATAAACCAAGAACGAGGAAATTGGCTCCACTGGAGGGCGTCGACGACGGACCGCGGAGTAGAATGTCAGCTGGTAGATTCAGCTGACTGCCAATTGTGAAGCCGGATCGCGATTTCGGAATCTGCACCCTGTAGACACTTTGGGTGGTCAGCTAAAGACAGAAAACGCCTTTCTAACCTATTCATGACAACGTCTCCTCTGAATACCCGTAGGCCAAAAGGACCTCTTAGCCCAATCAGTTCCACAATCTCGGCTTACATGCGTGCGACCAACCAAGACGTCAATCTACATAATCTAAAGGGGAGTATGTCCTTTCCACCTAACATAAATAGAAGAGGTAAAGCATTTCACTATTCATCAAGTATCATCTTTATTTTGGAATTACTAGTTTTCTAAGCAAGCCAGAATGGCAAAGCAACTGACTGTGAGCACAAAACTGGGCGCTTCCGGTACGAAGGACCGCTAGTCAGCCTTAAGAAAGGCACTATTAATGCCTGAGGAATTCCCCCATACTGCGCGCTGGTGGCCGATAGACGCGCGACGACAACGCGGCCGCTACGTCTGCACCAACGCCCTCACCTTTAGACAGGCCTCGCTCCGGAGGCAGCAGTCAATTTGGCGAGGCCCGAAGGATTTTTCTAATTAACACTTATGAAGGCCGTGAACAGCAGAATAGTCTCGATAAGTTTAGTGAGACGGAGATGTCCACCTTCGAGTTTTCGTGTTATGCATTCCAGTATAAATAAATGACCGATTCGACAATTCAGCAGAATTTGCTGCACTGAATTCTTTGCATTTTCTATTTATTCAACCACACGGAGGAAAAAAAATTAGGAGTCCCAAGGCGGCAACGAAAGCGCGAATACAAAGGAAGAGCGTAGAGAAAACCATGAGGTGGGGAAGGATGGATCAAGACGCCTGAGATTTGACTATAGTGAGCCAATGATTTCCCAAAGTGAAGGGTGCTAAGCACTACGATCTGGTCTACGTACAAGACACTATACAACTATTCTGCTGGATTATGAAGCATCACGCCTTTCTTTAATTTTTCATACAATAACCCTGGTTCTTTGACAAGTACATGCTAGGGGACCTGATTCTCAGGTATGGTGAAGATGGATTAAATAAATTCCATGGTGACAAGATCTCCCCAAATAGGCCATTTTTTTATACACATTTGGCAATCGGGAGAGAGCGACGCGTGAGGAGAGGCTTGTGGGCGGCCCGTTTTCAAGTCACACCGCTGCAGATTCTTTTATTTACTTATCTGGACGGTGATTATTGACATTTCGTCTGACAGGATAAATAAACGGGAAATAGAGAAGAGAAGGGCGGAAATTGAGCACTAGAGCAAATTTACTGGTAATGTTAGCCATGCGTCAAACCGTAGGATTGCTTCCCCTTCAATATGCCTGAGAGACCAAAGTCTGTTCGCGACAAAGGTGACAATCCCCCAGTTAGAACGAAACTTGATTTGACCAGGTTGTATTTAGTTTGGGAGCTGATCTAAAAGTTTTAATTTTATGATCTTGCATGAATTCCTACCCACATTGTTGAGTCTTTGCTGGAGTCACCATGGTCGAATGTGACAGGCGCAACAGCCTTCTGTTTTACCTGATTTATTCGTTGTCACGAGATCAAAGTGCGGATATGCCTATGAGAATCCTGAAGCTGGCTTGGCCAAATAGCAATTCTGCCTTCCATACATGTACCTGAGGCGTGTCTGTGCATATTTTAGAGCTTCTTGATCTATACAAAAGGTTTAATAACGCCTATAATCACTCAACGCACTGTCTACTTCCTCTTTGACTGTTTCCACTAAAAATTATTCTTGGCGAGAGGTCGTCTCGACTCGGTTGCTATTCTTCAGGGAGTTTGTTGTCGAATACGACTTCTGGCCCTGAATGTGGAACGCAAATTCATTCGCATTTCTGTTAACTGCGCACACCCATTTATTTTAATTTTACTGATATTGAGTCATGTAATAAACTTGTATGAATAGATTTTCGGGAGTTTCTGAAGCTCCATATCTATTTTTAACTGTTATCATTCGAAAAATCTGGATCAAAAGTCTAATTTCCGTCATTCAAACACAGATCAAAGTACGTATTATAAGGTTTTTCACGGATGACCAATAAAAATAAGATTTATAAAAAAGTCCAACCTCAGAAAAGAGGACAGCTCCTTGAAAAGCGTCGATGGCATAAGGATGAAAATCAGTAGATGAGGCAGCTGAGGGAGGGCCTGCGGTGTCACCATTAGTGCTGCCCGAGTTCCTCAACGAGGAACGGGCTGCCTGATCCGACGGGAGCACTGGGTTCACAGCAAACCAGTCCTCCCCGTTCAGAGACACGGACTCGATGCACCTGGTCACCCAATTCATCCAGTAGAGTCTGTCGGCTAAACGGTCGAATTGGAGAATGTAACAAAAACTAGCAAGGCATCTTGAACAAATATCCAGGACTTCTTAAACAGGTCTGGAGAACGACCGGAACTAATAAAGGCAAATATTCCAATATTATCCAACACGCATTAAAACGCGTGGTTCGTTAATTCTACATGGTTGCTAAAGTGCGCATTACTGCATATTGAAGTATTCTCATGCCTATCTCAACCAATAACTACCTACTTGGTGGCTGGAAATAGGGATGCTTAACTTTCCTCTGAAGTTATTTGAAATTTGTGGGGCTGCCATTACGTTACAGAAGTAACTCGATTAGAGTTCACTCAGAAAACCACGTGGATACAACTTGATACGAAGTCTTGGTTAATGCTTGTCTTAATTCCATCTTAAGGTGCTGCCAACGCTTTTGTGCAGGACACCGAAAAGCAAGACACAACCGAGGATTGACAACCCAGACAAACCGAATGAGGGAGCAGTCAGTGTGATTTGCATCGTCTGATTTAACTCCAACAAAATTGCCTTCAAGTTTTTAGACATTGTAGCACGTAAAATGCACAAGTCGTCGATGCTGGCAGGCGCAAGTCGATTAAGATAAACCGACCTACTGTCATAATCAATGGCCAGGCTCATGACCATGCCAACGCCATTCCATACCAAACGATGGTTTCGTCCGTCGAGTCCAGCTGAGAAAATGTTGAAGCGAGCGTTGTGTGATCCATCTAGCCAAAAGAGTAGGCTAAATAGAAAAAAACGGACGAAAATAAATTTTGTGACTGAGTGGAAATACTTATGCATAAACCAAATTGAATCTCTTAGTGTTGAACTTCTTTAAACGAAGTAATTGATCAACAACCCAAATCTAATTGGCGACATAAGATTTCCATCAACCACAAAACGTACACAAAAAGCAGCTAGAAATGGCATGTGTACTTAATGTGGAATATTTTACTAAGACTGAAACCCTACTCAAAGTCAGTCTGCCTGCCTCACGATTGCAGTAATTCGAGACAATTGGTAACGTTAAAATTGTGCAAACACGAGTAAGGAAATTAAATACCGAAGTGGGGCGAGCGCATTCCGTCTGCTACAGTTAGGGCATGATAGTTCAAAAACCACATGATCTAGATGGTGATGTAAAACACAGTATTAAAGAACAAGCAGGCACTGGAATCAAAAGCGCATTCTTTACCGTTTTCTCGGATGCACTACAATGTCACGCGGAGATGAAAGGTTGTTCAAAAGCACAAGGCGGTAGTTGTCCACAATGTTGGCCAAGCGATCTGTCACTGAATTCAAGTCATATTCGTGGAGATCGTAGTCGTCGGGAGGCAGATCTGTGCCCTTGGACGGGTGAAGAAACCAGGAGGGGACGATATTGCGTTTCGTTCGCTGGTGATGCAGACTGCCTCCTCTTCGCAGACCCGCTTGGGATCGCGTCCGAGGTGACGATGGTGAGTAGCTCGCAGACACGGAGGGTTGTGCGTAGTTGCGATACTTGAGGTCCACCACCTCCAGCCTCGGACGCTCACCATCCACGCAAAAGTAGAGCGCATTAGTGAGCCAGTCCAAAGCCAATCCGATTATGGAATCCTGAGTGCGGTGCTGACTATCGGATGATGCGGAGCCACCGTTTACACCCGGACCAGTTCGGTTGGTCCCCCCCAAATTTGAGTCATGGAACAAACAAAGTAGAGTTTCCTTTCCAGTCCCATTTAAAAAAGCCACTGATATGCACTACAAACAAAACCGATATATTTGTCAGCTAAATGGTTTTACACAAAGTGTAAGTGCTCTAAAAAACCACTCTAACGGTAAGTGCCGAATATCGACTCAGTTTTAAAACTCTAAGGAAATACTGGAACCCACAGAAATCAACGAAATGGTCACTTGTGAGTTAGAACGCTTGAATATTCTTGTATGATAAGAACGATGATGATACCTAAAGAAAGCTTGGTTTTACACATTCAGAAAATCATCCCAGGCATTATTTTAACCATATACAATCACGGCTAATTGGTAAAGGTATTTTGTACCTACCTGAGGAGCAGAGTCCTCCACCCAGTAGATGCGTTCTTCAGAGATGTGTACATCGAAGCGGATGACTCGACGGAGGAAAGGCAGGGGAACGTGGTTGAAGATTTGATTCGATGCCATCGCAGCCATTTCTGCTGCGGCCAAATCAACGTTGTGGGAGGCTGGAGCGGTGCTGATCGCCGCCGCCTCCTCGACGTAGGGACGCCTGACGTGGGAAGCAACGGACTTTGTGTCAAGGTTTATACATCTTACCAAAATACACGTATGGCTTTCTCGAATTTTTGGGGCAATTCTTGGCTTTTTTTACTGATTATCAATGAGGTATTTTGTTAATGCACTACAACAAAGACTCCCTCTCCTCAAGTTGATGAAAAAGGAGACCAATCGACGCAAGTTAGTGGACGACCCCACAAATAACACTGACAGATACGAGTATTGAGGACAGTAGGAAAGGAGATTTGAGCTAAATGGATACAGGGCTGTTGGTAGCTTACGGATTACTTCGGCTCTGGTAGTCGGGCGACATGCGTGCGTGGGCGTGATAAGACCGGGGACGAGACTTGGGCAAACTCATGCGTCGAATGCCAGCACCATTGAGAGAATAGAGCAACATGAAATCGGGCACGATGCAAGTCTTCCCGTCAGAGTCGAGAGCGTACTCGGGGGGACAGGCACAGTAGTAGAGATCGTCCGCTTCATCTTTCGTACCATTACGGCCTGCAACATCGTGTTGTGCAGGCAGCATGAAGCAAAGGTGGGAGCATCCGCTCTTGTATTTGTCTCCACAAATGTTGGTTTTATCTGTACTCATCAAAACAGACTTTATGGGTAAGAATTTGCAGAATGAGAAAAAACGATCGATATATATATCACAACGACGAAACTGACAAGGTTTTAGTATTACGACAAGGTACAGTACAAAACCCCATGGCTGCTAACACACACAGCAATTTTGCGGTTACATTGCCCGTGAAGATTGTAATTTGCAAATAACATCTATTAAAACAAGTCTTTAAAAGACTTTTGGTCGACATGCCAAAGCCAATATCGGATAGTTCTCAACCCCAAAATGCTGACAGGATTCTGGCCCCTTCGGATTTGGCCACAGAACTTAAGATTTGTATTGAAACACAAAAAGGAACTCACGAGTATTATTGGTCGTCAAATCTACAGCTCGGATACCCATTAGCGCCTCGTCAACTCCGATGGTTTTGAGAATACGCAAATCCTCACCGGTGTGTTTGTTAATTTGCAGGATTGAAAGGGTCTGCCAGTCACTCCAATAGAGATTATCGCCTGAGAGAAAAAAATGAGCACCAAGAAGGGCAGGATGATGAGCAGACATTGCCTGACTACAAGCTTACCAAGCAAATCAAATCCGAATGGGTGCTGGAGGTGGCCAGAGAGGATTTGTTTTGGTTTACCGCCATTATAATCCACTCGGTTTATGACGCCCAAATAGGCATCTACGTAGTAGAGGTGGCGAGATTCAAAATCTAACGCGATCCCGTTGGGCCAAACAGTGTGATTTTGGTCAACAATTACCTCTCTAGAACAGCAAGAGACAAAGTTAAGTGAATTAAGATGAGCATTACCTTATAAAGTGACATTTCATCAAAAACACCATGATATTTAGCGGCATGTCACAGTGATGATCGCAACCGTGTTCGAAAAAGCCTGAAACGCACATTTAATTTCTGTCCCGCTGACGAATGATCAAACCGGAAGTGGGTCAAACGAACAGATAAGCATACAATTCAATCGAATTTATAACCCGGATGGGCCATATCAAAATAATAGGAAGTAATATGCATCTATTTGATATGCTTTCAACGGAAATGCTGAGGAGGACCTATTAACAAAAAATGAGAAACTTATTTAAAGGCAGACCTAGCGTGCGTCCAGGTAATATTACCACTTAAGCACAAAATTCTCGATTCATGTAATGAAGATGGCAACATTATACATAAGATGTCACTAAGGTTAATGGATGTTCATTTCATTGAAAATAATCGGAAGCAAGTCATTTTGACGCTAGTAACAGCCAATGACGATACAACTTTAGTGTTGCATGAGGAAATCAGCTACGGTGTGACCTTTGGTAGATTGATACAAGTGCGGCTGGTGCGTAATTACAACGCATCACTGGAATTAGAAAATAAAATTACCTATGGGTGCCATCAAGCCAGGTACGTTCAATCCGACCGCGAGTTCCCGACCAGACGTTGAAAAACAGGTATCGGTTGATTGGGTCAATGGCCAGAGCCGTAGGCCTTCGTTTGGTTGTCTCTTCGCCAGACGGCTCCGAAAGAATGTCAGATTGAATTGGATCGGCAGCGTTGTTGTCCACGAAACCTTCAAGTGTGAGTAAAAGGCGCGGCCAGGCTCCATCAAGGCGAGAAACCCATATCTGCCTATTGCCGCCTGTCGACCAGTAGAGGTTGCCAACTATCCAATCTACAGCAAGTCCATCGAGCGTCTGGAGCACCCCATTTGCAGGTTCAATCAACGTTGTGGGATCTTCGTAAATTAAAGGAAATTAATTAAGGAATAAATACTATTGACTTAACTTTTAAGCAAAAAAATCCTTACTTTTTTCCCCGAGTTTCAGGCGGTATATCGCATTGTCGACCCAGTATACACAATTTGACTTCGGGTCAAAGTCTACACGGACCAAAGTTCCACGAGGGTATGGAGAGGTACCTATTGGCCAGAGATGACTGTCAACGTAGGTGTCACTCAGGGAGAGCATGAAGATTTTCGGCGGGCGAGCAACTAGAAGAAACTTTTCCGGATTCTTCGGACATGTGTGGGAGTGAGTTAAAACTACCAACGCTTCCTTTTTGCTAACTACGGGTGACGCAACGGCTTTAGTTGACGGAATACCATTTGGGCAGACGCAAGTGTAACGAGGCATGGCGGGGGAACTTAGGCAAAGGAAGTTGCATCCGGTTTCACCGGTGTTCGTGAGATGTCTGAAATTTTCGGGCACACATGTGTAATTGCCCTTAATTTCCGCTAAAATATACAAACAAAATAAGAGTATTCGATTAGCTGCAGAATCCTTTAATGAGTAAGCTAAACTCAAACAAAGTCAGTTCAATTGAATAAAGATTATAAGATGAGACAATCAAGGGAAAAATGTGTAAACCAGAAAAAAGGACCCACCAAACAAAGTCTACTACGACAAGTAGTTCGTGAAATAAACTTTAACGAAGTTTTGTATGAACAAATCACCGTAGAAATGGCACAAGCTTACGTGTTGGCTGTTCTTCTTCACCAAAAATCTTCACAGAGTAGGGCTGGTAGCTGAGCGTCATATGGGCATGAAATTTTGATGAATTTGCTGCCTTTTCTGCTGTACTAATAATAGACATTCCACTGAAGTAGTATATTGTTCCAGAAGACGCGGTTAAAAATTTTAGCCGATCGGTGCCAAGACCTATGAAGTAAAAAACCATTACAGCGGTATGAAGAGGATTACCTGGAACCGAGGAGCGGCGAACGTTGCCACCCTGGAGATCGATGCTGGTGATTCTGTTGTGTGTTTCATCAAACCAAAGAAGACGTTGAGTAGTAGAGTCAATTTCCAGGTCTCGTGCTGTAGCAGCTTGTTCTTCATACAACACAAACCTTCGGCTTCCGTCAAGACCACCACTTTCTACCTGCACAGTTTCGCCTGATTTCAGCCAAAATACAGATCTACAACACATCCATGGAGGCTCTAGAAGCTTACCTACTGACCGGGTCGACACACAGTGATTTCAAATCGCTTAATTTATTTGAAAATAATATTTTATGTTTTGTGATAGACATCGATGTGATGTTAATTTCGCCAACTGCAATGTACTCTTCTTTCAAATCCGCCCAATAGGCCATCATGTTGTGCCAGTCTATGGCAAGTGCATTAATAGCGCCATGCTCGGCTGTGTATATGTTGTGTGTTTGGAAATCCGTTAATTTGATTGCCTAAGTGGAATATTAACAAAAAAGATATATTACCTTGATCACAGATACAAAATCATTGTGCTTAAGTCGACGATCACCAACATAAAATACCAGCTTTTCATTGAAACTATAATCAAATGCACTTAGTGCAGACAAGCCATCGGCCAGAACACGACTCTGAGTATGTGATTCTAAACTAAGCTGTCCCAAGCTGTTTGAAACCAGGAAAGTGATGAGATCTATTATAACCATAGGTAAAAAATAGCGAGTTTACCATGATTTCCAATGACCCCCTGCGTCAACAGTAAAGCATGACAAGCAAACAAAACCACAAGCATTGCCCAGGATTTAGGTAGATCCAACCTGTCAGCGATGCATTTTAGCTTCAGGCTAATAACCTTCAAAATATACTGCAAGGCCGAAAAAATTTAGGGATACGGTTGGTCCACTAATCATCCATTAACCATATTACCAGTGATGGAGTCATTGAGAAAAGATTGCATTAGTGAATGAAAAGTTATTTATAGAATCTAAACAATCTGAACGTTATAAATATCAAAGAATTTTAAAAGTCAATTGCAAAGTAAGACCACATTGATGATGTACAATTTATTACAATGTCCCAATTAAAGAGCACCTGAATCTGTCAAGTTTAATCCAATCAAAACTTAATGAATTCACTTTTTCTATCTACAAAACCCTTGTTTTGGCTAAATTTTGTTATTATATCATTTGTTCGGTAACTTAGTATTTTCGATGGAGCTCAAAAATATAAATAAAAAAGTTCTTGTGACACGTATAATATGACGAACTGACGCAGAAACGGCTGAGTACGTTGGAGTCCGAACAGATCTATCCTTCGATATTCCAATCGTCTGAGCTGCACATTTCAAGTCACTGAAGTTGTTAAAAAAGCTTTACAGCACAACTGCTTGGATTCTAAATTTGAGATTTTCCACAGGGTCACACATTTTGATGTTAGAGCTTGAAATTTTGGCTTCCTGCCCTAGAACTTCTACGGTTGACCATTCTATGATTGATTTGTTAAATGTCTGCAACAGAACAGTACCAGAAGAAAGCCTAGTTTTTCCAAAATTTCGGCAACTTTTTGCAGGCAAAGTTGAGATGCCTATTAATCCAAATGATCTTTTTCAGCTTAGTTTGTCAAAAAGCTTCAAGCCGAAAGCCGTTTCGCCAAAATGAATTTTTTTCCTAAACCTTATACATTTCGAAAAAAATCAGACAACTTCAAAAATTTTTAGTGTTTCACAACGAAGATAACATGTAAAATTTTGTAGCAGCATATAAATCAATTCTTTTGACTTATTTTATCTGAATTATGGTTGCTACCATGTCTACGCCACTTCTTGCTTCTGTTGCCATGGAAGTTAACGTGCAGATAATCCATTGGGGGACATATTACGCTATACAATGGCCCTTCTTTATTATGCGTTTTTTGCTGTCTGCAAGTTGATGGAGCTTGTTAATGGTTATTTTAGCTCCTACTTGTGGTAACTATTTATTGATTAAAAGTGGTGGGGCAGACAAACATGCGTACTAACTCCGAGTGTCAGTAAACCAGACACATGGACAAATGGTCGTTAAAATAAGTTTTTTTTAATGTGACCATGGTTTTGCCAAAGAAACGATTCACGCAAAAGTTACACGCATGGTTGATGTTAACGATTAGTGTAGAAGCATGTACACTGATTACCATGTAAAAATGAATAGAATTTTAAGTTTGCTCTTTATAACTTAAATTCATCTTTAAAGACCTCTTGTAGTACAAATACAAAAGCAGCCGCATATTTTGCATTATGATGCTTAGGAAAACAATTAAATTTGAACCTCCTTTCCCATTATCCAACGATTGGGCTTGATGAGCATTAAAATGAGTTGCCTTGCGCTACGTCTGCGATAAGAATCGTGTAAATGCCTGCAGAAACATAATAATAATATCTATTTAATTTTAATTTATGAGCTATGTTTTTACAGCATACTTATCAAATCAGCATGCCCGATGGCATACGTTTTTTTTGTAGAATAAATATGAGTGTTTAAGGTGTGATTAGTAGTTAGTTTGATGTCTCTAGCTTTATATTATTATAGATTTCATGTTTTATATCGGGAAATAAGGTGTAGAAATTACAGAGTATAGATTACGAAGGGCTAAAGTAGAGATGCAACCAAATATTTGCAATTTTTATTAATTTAATAAGTAAAGAAAATAAATACCTACGGGCGAAAAAACTTTCGTACACTTTAATTAAGCCTCGACAAGAACTTAACGTCTCGAAACTAAATGCTGCCATTTCCCAAGTTTAATAGTAAACTAAAAGGTTACTTAAAAGGCAGCCAAAACACTTTAGCTTTTGAAAAATTTATCAACTAATGTTATATGTTGTTTTGTCTTCATTTATTTGTGGAAGCGTTGGTCATATCGTGAGAAATAACAATTTTAGCATGTTAAATAAAATTACCCGCGTATTATTTATCACACTTAAGTGACATATTTGGCATGATAGCTTATCATTTTTAGAATTTTTTTAATAACACAGGAAGTGTTTGACCTGTACATTAAGGTTGTTTTATCTCTTACTGACGCAGGGGCCGGAAACAAATTCGTGGTGTGGTTTTATCCCGCCTGTCGTGTGTGTAGGGTTCTATTATGGCATAATGTTGTACAAATAATGTCGGGCTTTAGTTTGCTTTCTGTTTTGTTTTATATAAATGTAGACTATGCTACAAGTGAAGAAAAAGGTACTTTGATTTTGCTGTTACTTATGTTAATTTTCGTAAATTTAAAATAACTTTTCAAGTCAATAACCCTTTAATATATACCTTTTTACCTTCTTTCTTTCTCTTTGACTTAGATTTTCCTTGCTTTATTTGTCGTGGTTTTAAGGGCTGTCTCTTTTTTCCTCTCTAATATCCGAACATATATCAAACGGTGCAATAAGTGCTCAATATCTTATCTTGATCCTTCCTACACACAAAAAGTTGGGAGGATATATATGCAGATTTTCTGTAGCCTAATTTTTCGAAAGCAGGGAAGGGACTTGTTGGGTTTTGTCACGGGTAGATTGATACTAATGAGTGTAGGGTCATTAAGGGTAAATCTCAAGGCTTTTATCCCAGCTCTTACGAAACCACTAGAATAAGTAATGGTAATTATGTATGCTAATCGAAACAATGAAGTCTCTGAAACAGCTTAATGTGCATTACTCTATACGGTGATCATTCTCTCTCTTAAATTAATGTTTAATTTATATGAAATATGTCAAAAAGGGTTATCCAAATCCCAACACAAATTTCGTGTCATTAGAAACCAAGCAATACACAACCGACCTTTTAACTTTGCAAGCACGCAGTAAATCGTCATCGAAAGGATCAGTATATGAAAACTTTGTTGTTGATTAATTTGAGGGTGGGACATTTTCGCACATTAAGCGCGTATGGGATATTTTCTTCAAATGTTTTCCTGATTATTTGGTTAGCGGTTTTAGGTGTAAAGATCGAAATGGCACATACCATGGTGAATTGAGAAAGGTTTCTTAGGATAAATTTCTAGGCCATGTAACTTGGAGTCTGGCCACCGTTGTAGTCTCCCAGCATTTGTTTATTCAGATGTAGGGCTCTTGTGGATAACATTAACTAAGTAGGTCAATTAGCTATAGGAGTCAGTTGTAATGGAACACTTCCAGCAAAGTGGTGTTCTTATTGACCTTGGAGTAACCACAATCAGTTTTTGTTTTCTTCCTTGTTGTGTCTGTTGCTGTTCCGATTGCGTGTCCAAGTGCCTCTTTTTCACATAATTTAAAGTCCAGCTGTCTAAGCTGTTAGTGATTGTTTGCTAATCTGTCAACCTGCCATGCTTATTTGGGAAATACCAATGTACTACCTCCAGCATGGTGTCAATATCTTTGAATATTTATACTTCACGTTTATTAAACTGTATAGAAACCTCTCGTTTATTCGCAGTTAAACCAACAGTGCTCAAGGCTGTGACCGACTAAACGTCCAGGACGGGATAAGAACTTTTTCGTCTGGGCCATAAATTCATACTTTCTGTATCTCTCAAAAAATATCCATTGAACAATTTCTCATTCACGCTTCTATGAATGTGTATTCCATTTCACCTTATTTGAAATCCAATGAATTAAATCCCCGAAAGTCTTATATTCCTGTGGGTTATTAAGTAATGCTAACTTTTGACGTGAGACTGCTTTGTCTTGGCGGCTTTGCGTATTCCGTAGTGTTTTCAGAAATACATAAAATCGTCCGTTCGTTTCGCTGTTATCCCATTGCTTTCTATTCACTGAACCTCCATGTGTAATGCGCTTGTAGTAAATTACTACTGCGGTATTGTTAAGTACCGTCTCGCAAATTCTGGGTTCCTTTACACACCCTGAATGTAAATGTTGGTCGCTTGTATTTTGTGTGAAAGACGACTGCCACAATGTGATTGCCTGAGCGACGGCTGCTGCCGTAAGGGAAGATGTAGTCACGTTGTTATTTTCCACTTAGAACTCTTGTCATGGATGCCAAATACTACGACCTCAACGTGCCTCGTGCAGCTGCCTCTCCGGAACTCCTCGCCCGTCTCCTTGATTGTGACTACCTCTACGCTGCCATTGCCACTACTGTGCGTATCGATGACTTTAATTTTGCCAATGTGAACAAATCTGCAAAGGAAGATAGGCAGCAGATGCGCGCTTCTCTCACTAAACAACTAACACCCCTCACAGCTTCGGAACTTACAACTCTCCTCCAAAATAGCGAAAAGTTCCGGTCATCTTCATCGAATAAATTTCCTGCTCTATCTCCACCACGCCTTTTTAATCGCCTTACTCTTACCTGTGCAGACCCTGATTTGGCAAGTCTCTTTTTCAAAGAATTTTCCGATCGCATCCGCACTTTTGATGTCGTTGCTTTCGAACCACTCTCCTCAGCGGCATTAACTTACATTATTGAAAGTCCCAATTCACCTCCTATAGACTTAATTACTGCAAATGTAGCCCATCTACCTTCTGTCAATGAATTCCGACCATCAAGTAAGCATTGTGCTCAGTGCCTCCGCCAAGGAGTCTACATTGAAATTCCTCTTTCCCCCGCACTTTTCCGCTCAGGCCTTCCGCCTACAAACCGAATTGGTTTGGCAAGTTTGTTGACCCATCTAGATTCGGTGTGCCAATTCCACTTTCCGCGACTTCTAGTGGTTTCTAGTGGTGCGCAGACTGGATGGGAGATCCGACGTCCGCAAGCTGTGGCCTCGGTACTCAGTGCCATTTGCTCCACAATCGCGAAAGGAGGCGCTCCATTGGTGATGCAGCAAACCAACCCCTGGCAGGCTTTGTCTCGTGGGTTGGCTCGGCGCAGAACCAAAACGGCCCACGGGGCAGCCATCCTCCTCCGACTCCTGGCAGACCCCTCAGTAACAGAAGTGACAAAGCTTCCCACTGCAAATGAAGGGGAGACAGCCAATGAAGAAACAGCCTCATCGCCGACTAAAGTGGAGTTAGGTAATCCTTCTATTGGTCAACCATCTACAGCAGCTGAATCGAAGCGACCACGATTTTCAAAAAATAAGAGAAAGAGGGAGCTGTCAAAGTCATTGCCATCCCGAGGTTCCGGTGTAAAAGTTGACAACGTTACGGTGGACTTAGAGGACATTGCTTCTCCAATGAAAAAAAATATCCGCTCATAATATTATACTTCGGTATGTACATATGTAAACACGGATATAAATTCATGTATATGGTCTTTTCGTGAATGGGGCCTGAAGACTAGGAAGCGAAATCGGATGTGACGGTTGGGCTTATTATCCTGCCAGTAGTGGGAAGCCTTAGGTTATCCTATTGGCATTCAGATGCAGTCTGGAGGATAAAGTACTTTCGGTCTCGTCTGCAACTTCGCTATACGCATGTTTAAAATGTGCCCCTTCTTAATCGGCATTGCGCTTCTATTACGAAACACAACTTTTTCCTTAGAAGCAACCAATTTGGAGTTGTCTCCTAATCTTATAGCAAGTGTCCGAATGCAACACCTAAATTCACTCTGAGGCTCCTGGTGGAGTCGAAAGTCATTTCGTACTTTAAAACTTATTGCCTCGAGGTTCCATGACTACATCTGACGTGGACAGCGTTAACCTCTAGTTTTCAGATGTTCTGGTGTAGCACAAGTTGTCAGGCGGGTGTTCGATCCCTCCTACCTCAGCGCCCTCGTTGCTTGTTTACTTTTACCCTGGTTTGACAAGCCTTTACCATCGTTCAAACGTGTATTTGTTTGGGATCATAAGTTTGCCTTCATAACATACACTGATTAATTCAGTTATTACAAAGTGCCATAGTTCCGGTAGTTCACCCTAAATTTAAAGGTTCCTTTTTGATCTCGAAATTTTCCGAAAGCAGTCGAATTTGCTTGAACCCATCCTCTGAAGCATCTACGTAGGACGCTTTCATGCGTTGGACTTTCTGTCCGAACTCTGTGTAACAGTCTGCACTAAGCTTAGCTGTTTGTTCACGTTGAGATAATTGAATATAATTTCCTATGCTGGTTCTAAGCAAATTGCTTAAAGTTTTGCTTTCTTTTATCACCAACGAAATTCCTGAGAGTGCCAGCTACTATTGCATTTTAATTAGATAGTCTACTTAGCGCTGTTTGTGGCAACAGATGGCTTGCTTCAAATTGACTGGTGGATTTTTACTTGATTACCAAGTTCCAGCCGTGAAGTTCTTTGTTATCTTCGTTTTCGTTCACCAACATTATTCATGGCAGCCTTTTGATCTCACAGTTTTCGAGCTTTCACAAAATGAGCATCCAAACAAATAACTGTAAAGTGTATGGGTGTGCAATTGTTGGTGGCACTGCAGTGGTGCCTACGTTTTTAGTGTACTTTCAAGAGCCATCAGATATCCACTAGTTTGATATTCAGTCAGTGGCTCTGGGGAGTCACTTGTTTGAGAAGCAGTGACCGGTGTGTTCACACATTCATCATCGACATCTTCTTCAAAGCTCCAAATCCGGGGCTGTTCCTCGTAAGCCAATTCACAATTTTTTACCTCCTGCATTCCCTCACTCTGTTTGCGTCCACTTGCAGACTGGTAGTTGTACAAGTAGTGAGTCTGACTACACTGGTGAAATGGCGCCGAGTGTCGAGAGCAGGAAACCATTGAGGCGTTTGGTGAGTGCGTAGGAGAGCGGGAAATTGAATATCCGATTTTATGCTGTTCATGCTCGAAAAGCCGTTTTTCTGGAGTCACTTCGGGGCTCGCGATGCTCCTCTCCACTCTTTTAAGCTTCATACGCCGATTCTGAAACCAAACCTGAGACAAATATGCTTCGAATTATTCAAAATGGGTAACATGGTGTTTGAAGAGTTCATGTTAAGGCAGGTTTTGAATGAATTTAATTGCATTACATCCTATACAGTTATTATTCCTCATTTGTGTAAAAGTTGGAAATTAATTCTAATGATGCAATTGAGTGAATTGCACACTGCTAATTCAGAAAACTGCGTTCCGAGTGTGAATTCTCGTAAAGCAAAGCCTAAAGTGACAACTACTATTGCTGGTCATGTTCTAATGACCTCAGGAACCAGGGCAAGAAAGCCGCACGACCACCGGAGTATTTGGTCAACATTGACTTTTTGTTACAATTTGAGGCAAACGTTATTTAAAAAAGAAAACCAAAGGAAATTAATTCAGGTCATGTTCTGAGACATCCAAACTACCCACTTTAACAGTTCGTTGTACATTTCTAGTGAGCTTATTTTAGTCAGGCCCTAAATTAAATGTTATGTTGTACAGAAATGATTTTCAAGTTCAAAGCAACAAAACATACACTTTTAAATTTCGGTTACATTGTTTGTGTCTGGAAGATTTGCTCGAAGCTCGACTGAAATGCGTAATTACGTGTGTCTCTAAGATCTGGTCCCCGTGATTGCAAATTCAGGTATTCGAATTTAAGTGTACACACCTTAATCTGCTTTTCTGTCAAATTCAATGAATTGGCTAATTCAATCCGTCGAGGCCGACAGAGATATTTGTTATACCAAAATTCCCTTTCCAGCTGCAGTAATTGGACCTGGGTGTAGGCTGTTCGTGCCCGCTTTGTGGATACTGGATTTGCTGTGAATGGGCAATTGGAATTTGAGCTGAGGAAGGGAGATTCCAGCATTCCATTTTGATGGTTCAGGCGTTCTCGAGCTCCATTTTCAGAGTTATGGAGCCAGTTGTCCGCTTGGTGAGAAAATTCGAGAGATGATTCTCCAATTGAGGAAGTGTGAGCGAATGAAATTTCGCGACATGGCTGAACAACCGCAGCACCCGCTGGAAAGTAGAGGTTTGCGTTGAATCCTTTGAAATATGCACATTAATAAGATATAAACTCTACCAAGTCTCAAAGGCATCCTTAATAAAGATATTATTTTGCTGAATGTTAGAAGCATCGGATTTGTTAACGGTCTTGTGGGCGTATGGCATAAACTCGGTAATTAGTCAGAATTAAAATGCAGCGTTTTTCTGGAATCCATATTTTTCAGTTTTTCTTAGATTTGCCAAATGCATGTTCCTGTGTGAATCGACTCCTATGTGTCGGGTGTTAAGTTAATTCAATTGTTGAAATGTGCAAGAGAAATGGCGGTGGGGATACTGCATAAAGCCCTGTATTGGAGTAACATAGTAATCACAATATTTATGTAAATTAGTGTGGAATTCATCCCAAAAATTGCTCCATCCATCAGCAACCTTATCTGTAAACTTCAGGTTACTTAACAAGCAACCTACTTGACTACATTTCGTTCCCCTTCACAAACATGTGGATTTTGTTTTTATCACTCTGAGATGTTTGCTTCGCAGGATATTCCAGACGCTTGGTCTTATTGTGGTTCAATGAAATTTACCATAAACAAAAAATCAGTTGGAGCTTCTAAAGGCAGAGTAGGTGACAATTTTATAAGCCCGAGGAGCGTCCTTTTGACCCCCCAGCTGGTATCAGACTGTTGACCCGAACAGTTAGTACACGGTAGAGTACTGAATTTCTAAACAGGTAATGGGATAAGGTACAGGCTCGTTTGCCAGGCCTTCACGATGGCACTTCAACCGTAGCCTTGAAAAAGGGCAACATTTCAGGTGGAGGCAGCGATCATGAGATAACACCTCTGATGTGAAAACCCATTTTCGAGCTTCCAGTTGTCATTACACTATCAACAGAAGTTAATGATAGCTATTTCTAGCATCATTATTCCATAGGCTTTAAGTTAACCGAGACAGCATAACTTTCTAACCCTCTCTTTCCAACTTATAGCAATAATGACAAATATGGTGTTCTTGCTGCTAGGGAGTTAGTCTCAGAGCCTATCTGCTGTAAACAGTTTGATTTTTGTCCTTCAACTACTACCAGAATACTTTCATTTGTATATTTTCAAGGTTACTCACAAACATGGTAAACGTGAGTCAATTACATATCAATCAATTTATGGTGTATTCTAACAGTTTGTTCAAGAAGATGTTAGGTTCGGATGATATAAAGTTTTTATAGATATAGATATATAGTTTTTATCTATTAAATAATTCCAGGTCACAATCCTAGTGGACTGGAGGCTATGTAAGTTTGACTTTGTTCTTTGCTTCAAAGTGTAATACTAAATAAAGGCTCCATTAAAAGTCTTTGCATTGTAATTTTCTAAAGACCATTCCGCTGACATGCGATTTCCTTTAGACTCATCTTAAGATTGGCATCTGTAATTCTTATTTCATTAGTTCTAAGCAACCCTGAAATTAGTTATTTATCACGACTATGGGAATGACTTGATAGCTTCAATGTTTGAAGGAAAAAATTAAAGAGGCTGAGATGTCAACGAAAACACTCAACTGAGGTAAATCAATATCTACACTCTGCTTAATTTTTTTAGAACTGATCCTATTTACCATGAGAATTGACAAGTATAATTTACTCAGATAGTGGCTTGTCAATATATTTTGCTCTCCCACATTTTTCTCAAGGTTGTAATGGCTACCTAATGATGTTTTATTAGGAGAAGCGTAAATAGCCCTTGGAATTTACCTTCCTGCAGGTAAAAATGATGCAATCCGGAGCCATAGTCATCCTGCTCTGTACAGTGAGTGCTTCATTGCATGTGATTTGATTAAATACACAGGCAGGGGAATGAGTCAGTAAATTTCACACAAATTTAGGGAAATTTTAACTCACCAGAAGAAGCTAAAACATCCTCGGGGGCCTGGCTAATGGAATCGCGGAACCACATACCTTTCCTTGGAACAGATGCCGCCGAAACCATTCGCGGTCTTTTATGCGCCGAGCGTCAGTGAACTGCAGCCGTGGTGGGCGAGCGAATCAGCGTGCGACGCGCGTCCCCTGGCTGGACAGGGCACGTTGTGCGCCGCGGCGGCGTTCCCAAAAGCCACCGCACAAACACTACGCACTTGTGGGAATTTCCGAGCGTACCCGTCTGTGCCACCGTTGTCCCACTTCACTGTCCCACAAACCGTACAGTTTCTCGAGTTATCAGCGTTTGAATTTATTCAATTTAATGTATTTCTTGCCGCGAAAATGCTTTTTTAACGGAGTGAATCATAATTGATCTAAATAGTAGTTTGATAGCTGCTACTACACCATGGACTTCGTTATTGTAATATATTTGATCCAGATCGTTGTCCAAGTTTGAGGACAATTTCAAACGTCAGCTATTCAAAGAAAAGTGACATTTTTTTTCTATTGGACATTGTTTTCATTGTGCCGAATTTCGAGACCTCACCCTCTAAATGCAACTAAAGGAAAATTTATTTTAAAGAGATGATTTAATCGCGTAAAGTTAGTGATCAAACTTGCTACAATTTTAAAAACAGAGAATGAGATGCAGAGTTTCGGTTTTTTTTAAAGAAGCAGCCTTTCCCGTGATTGCTGATCGTCAAATTTATTTTCAATAAAATGCGTTAATTATTATCAAAAGGGACTGAATATTTAGAGGCATATATTTTAGTTAGCTAACTCGGCAATATAAGCGAATCATAAAATAGTGGAATGTAGGTTTATATCTGTTAACGGTAAGAGCCTTAGAGTTAACTACGTTAATATTTTTTTTAGTCACACACAAACCTCGCTTCTCTCAGTTGTAAAGTGAAGTTCTTTGCCGCTTTATTGGACCTGTTTGGCGATCAAGGACTTAATATTCGTTTCTCTGGTTGTATGGATTGTCACTTGAGGTCGCAAAGACGCACTTTAAACTTATGAAGGCCTATTCATTTAAATGAATTTTCGTTAGCAAGAAGGAAAGGTAGTTTGCCGCTGGTTAAACCATATTATTGAAGCTCTTTTTTGCATGTCAACTGTCCCAAATGCCACGTACAGTTAAGCGAAGTAAATTTTGCCATTGTACTTTTAAAAGTTTCGCTGTTGAGCCCTAAGGAAGGTAGGGATCTTGGTAATTAAGGGTGTCTGCATAGACGTGTTTACTAATCACAGAAATTTGACAGACGGACTAAACGGTTCCTTCTTTACCTGTAAACTGATGCATATATTCCAGCTACCACAAAGGCTTCGTTTTTTTTCAAATTTAGAGGTTAAAACATCTGCTGGGTTTTCAGTTCACTTTAGTCAGAAAGGCGACAAGTTCCATGAGTTCTGGTGAAGATGGTAAATTGACATCCATTCAAGGCAGTTAAGTTTATTGAACTCCTAGAGCTATTCTCCGGCAATATTTTTAATTGGAATTTTCTTGCAATAACAGTTATTTGTAAAGTCACACCTGCGTTTCATCGATACTGTTGTCTAGGTAAGTCGAAAATATGATACTTATAATCGACCTTACCTCTAGTAAAATTAAATGAGCACCGTGGATATTCTGAATGTATAAACTACATATCTATTGGGTGAATGGCTTATTAAATTGTGATTGTTTGCTAAATTTGGTTGCGCATGATAACCTGAAAGCTAGAAGAGAATGAAAAAGTCTTTCAAATTCTTTAAATTCTTCAACTTATGACCACACACAGCGACTTCCTTCAGCAAACAGCCAATCTTGTGCCAGCAAAATTGCAGTCTCAGTCTTGTTTTATCGCCCTACAAAGAGAGGTTTCTTGAAAATGAAAGAAGTGACAACTCTTTTTTTTTCAATTTACTTATGCACACTCCCCAGTTATCCACTTTTAGATTATTCTGAAACGGTCTTTTAGTTATCCTAACTGTGACCGGCTAAAATCTGATCTACTTTCATGTGGGGACTTGACTTCTTCCGTGGCGCCCTCCGTACAGGTGCCTTTCATGCCTCGGAGCCATCGCCGACCGCTTGTCTTTGATCCTCCTCTTTTTTTACCATTTACACTTTTGCAAAGAATTACCCATCGACCAAGTACCAGTTTCAAAAACCCTCTTCTGAATGTTGCTGAGGTGGCCCCACAAGGGAATAAAAACTGACCGTCGGTGGACTTGGCTTTTTAGATCTGGTGAATGCAACTCAGTCTGATAATTTAACGTTTTCGGTGAAATGAAGCATTTGGATAACTTATAGAACGAATACATTTGCTCCAAAAAATTTTCCCAGCCTCTTTCAATGTTGAGGTCTTATTTTTTGAAGAAATCCGACTAAAATATCGGTATGTGAGCTACATAAGAATTTCACACCAAGGAAGGAGTGTATTTAGGTTCAATGCAGACGCGTTATTGCATTGTCCTAAAGAAAATCAGGTTGTTGATAAAATTGCACCCTGACTTTCGTGATCATGTCATTTATTGGCAGTGTATTTATAACAAACAACTTATCAATTTTTATATTTAAAACATTGTGGTTAATTAAGAATCTAATGGTATTTTATTATTTCGAAGTAGAATAAGCATAAGCGATGGTGCATACGGATTTCAGTTGAGAATTTTACCAACTTTGAGTTGCAGGGCTTTTACACAGTTTTTACTTAGTGGAAGTTGCCACAAATCCACGTATCATGTCGTTGAAATGAACTGATTACCATTTTGAACCGGAAAGTCAGTTTAACGCCTTTATTTTCTAACCTTGTGTAAGAAAAAAAGAAAGAAATTTATACCATCGTGATTTTGCTTGTTTTGTATATTTCATAGCACATCTAAATAGCATATACTCATTAGGTGTTGTTTGTAGAACGATTGTTAAACCATCATTTTCAATGTGTGAGAAGTCACTTATGACTCAATTTGATGCCTCTTAATACCAGAAAATATCCTCAAATATTTTCCATCTAATGATGCAGATGCCATAATTTGCAAGGTGAATCAAATTATTCTAAATATCTACTTATTTTTTCGAGTAGATTTACTTATGATTCGATTAAACACCACCAACTTCACCCATTAATGACAAAATTTTGGTGGACAAATCACCAGCAGAAAAAGTGTTCTGTAGAACTTGAGTTAGTTCATGTGGTTAAAGGAAACCAAGTTCTGATAAGCTGATAACTGCAGCCCCTTTTGGTATTTGAGTTGCATTCAACCACAATGCTTTTATCGTCACTTGATTTCTCACACCAGCTATATGTAAACACTAATGCATTAATAAAAAGCAATGAATAGTTGCGGCTATTTGTTCATGCTACTATCCAGACTTGACTAATTTTTAGCACACTTGCAGCCTCTTGGCGACCCATCCTCTTTGATTCATAATATCAGCACAAATGGTTTCACATAATTACCTTTTTTTTATAATCTCAAAATTATTTTTATGTCCACAAGCAAATTAGTGCTGCTAACTCACAATCCTATCCATAATTAACACCCTCAGAACACGGGGGCATAGAAGATGGTAAAGGGATGACGCAACGAATCCACCGTAGCCATTTACTCACCTACTGGCTATGAAGTACCAGTAACTTCTCGCTTATAAAGGGTATTGATGTAAACATTGAAGGTCATTCAGGGTTATGAGCATGTATGCATGGATGAAGACTCAAATAAGTGATAAACATAATGCATAGTAATCTCCCGTTACACTAATGAGATATAATTGACGTTTTAAGATAATTGAAGCAATCATTAAATTAGGCAATGGATGCAAAGTGCTGAGCTAATTGTCGTGAAAATGGACATATTTCAGCGACGGCAGTACTGGTAATCTTCCTAGGTTGAAGCAAAGTTGTTTTTCTGAGAGACTCTTGATGTAGCACAACGTCGTGAAATCGCTATATATCCTGAACGAGCATCGTCGCCAATTTGAGCCAAGTGAGAGAAAGTCGGTATCAATTTGTAATTCTTCATTGGACATGAGATTTCCGAGTGTCACGACTGTGGGATCTCGCCAGGATTATCATTTGCAGTTGTTGCTAATCAAACCACATCATCCGAAATCATAAATAGTGGTTCAACTGCTGGATGTTGGCAGTCATATTACGCCTTTAACTATGGGCTTTTAAAGAGTGATCAGATAAACACAGAGTCACTGGAGTTTAAGAAGAGCACAGAATAATGGAGAAACGAGTCTGTGTAAAGTGGTTGAGGTGTCATTGAGACAAAATAGGCACATTTATAGGCAAACCTGTAAAAAGGGATCGAATGTAATGTTCAGTAGATTTTGTCTGAGGGCGGTGGATAAAAAATTGGAGAAAGAACGTTTTACTTTTGTGCGTAAGGAACCAGTTAGATAGTAGAGATTTTTTTCACAACTCGAATGTGCCCATAGACGAAAACACAATCGTCAGAGTAATTCCAGGCTCAACATAGGAATATATTGTTGTAGTCTTTTTTCAACCGGTTTACATACCACCGAATGTTATCTTTTGCCACAGAGGCGAGCAGCATTAGGGTAATCTCTAATTAATGACAGAAGTTTTAAAATGGAGGCTATTCCGCTTAACGAGAGGGAAGTTAGTGGGTAAAGAAAAAGACCTCAAGTAGTGCTGTCCGTACTGATAGATTTCGTCCTTGATGACAGCGAAATGGAGGTTCCTTCTTAACATACTTAAACTTAGTGAATAAATCCTTTAACTTGCTTATTTAATTTTGGAGACCCTCAAATGAATGTTCACGTAAGGTGGTTTTAAATGTGCAGCAAATTTAGATCGGCGTATTAATGGCACTATCTGTGGGCTTTCTTTTTTACATATCAGCGTCCCATGCGTGAACACAAATTGCGCAGATAAGCATTGGCATAATCAGTCATGGGGCGAAGGCGAGCTCCACAGCCAGGTGTCGTCTCTGCCGCGCCGTGAGGAGGCGAGGGGCGGCTGCGGTATGGTGTTAACCTGCCGCGCACCTGCATGCCTGGGGTCGAACTGGGTGAATCAGGTGAGTGGTGCCCCTCACTGCTGCGCAACGGTTCTCACAGCCCTTGCAACCAGGCTCAAACCAAACCCCTACACAAGAGATGGCTGATTGTGCAGCAGATTTAGTACGGGTTTTTGATTTTGCATGGTGGTCATGTGACAATTTCTCACTTTACCAATAATTCGCATAAAATTTCACAAGAGATTTTCGAAAATGTATATCAGTCGGGATCTAATAAAACATTAAAAGACTGCAAAATTGTAAAAGCACTGGCCTAATCACGGAAACATAACCTTGTGCGATAAAGTGGCACCTATATTTTACTAGATCGAGTAAAACCACAGATTATTAACGGCGGTTATGTTCCAGAACAGGTATTGCCTTAAACAAGTCTTTCTTAATTTTAAATAAAGAAATTGAAAGTAAACCTTAAGTTTGTATCAATAGGATCGTGAAGGAAAAGTTTAATTTCAAAACTTTTTTCTTGGTTTCGAGTCGGGTACTTGGGTGGCATCTAGGGTCTCATAAAAGAGTTAGATCCTCGTTATTTTACCAATCGTGCTCTTTGGTTACATGGTAACAGCTTGTGATCAGTGCATGCCTGCTCATCTTTTTAGGGTAAGTTTTATATTCGTTTGCAATTGTACATTCACCCACACATATCCATTCTACTCAGAATTAAATGCTTCTTTTATTGAATTAATGCAATGGAGAGAGGGATCATAGTGGTTTCACTTGACTGAAATTAAACTTTACAGCATCCAACCCGTCTAATTGAAATTAATTCCTGACTACGCTCTACTGATAATTAAAATAGCGTCAGTAAGCTTACAAACTGTCAGGTATTAAGATGGTCTGCTTTACCGTGATGAATTGCCCTGCATCAGCGTTGCTGACAGGCAAGTTGTTGACTACCACGATGAGACGATTTAGTCAACTCAGCGCCAAACAGATAACCTGCACGTAGCTTATATAAAACACCTGAACCTCGATGTCTTTCTATAAATGTCTTTCACAAATAAAACCATTCTCAATTTGGCTCATTTTATTTAAGTAAATTTCTTCCAAGTACTCACGTTTTGCCCCTCTTCGTCATCACATGTTATAAAAGCTTTGAGCAAAGAGGTATTACCATGCAATATTTGTAATGAAAACAAATAACTACAATGTTTAAACACAGAAGTCGTTTTTCTGTGCTCTTGAGAGCAGAAGTTTAAGGCAGTTGAAACAAACTGACTAAATTTATAGCAACAAACATATTTACCTTAAGCCGCAGATTGCTAAAACACAGTGAAATATATCCGTTTGACATGAAAGCTTTTACTTTTCATATTATTACTTTTACAGCCTTTTGTTTTCTTTAGTAAACTGAAAGTGTGTTTTTGGTCTTGTTCCTCATACTGGTTCCACTACAATTCGATGTACCTAGGATTAAGGAGATAGTTCCCCACGCTAACGACAGAGAGGCATTAATTTCATTCCAGTTTAGTCTGTCAGAAACGATGGCAATAAATTTTCAAACTAATATCTAGAATTTCTCTTAGATTGTAAAGATAAGGGGGGGAATTAGTCGGATACTGCAAGTTTCCTGGAGTACGAGCTCTTTGCTCCACATAAGACCGTCTCTCTCTCCTCAGGGATGTGATGACTCTTGAGAGAAGTTCGTAGAAATGGTGGTCATGGAAGTGACAAAGGGTTGGGGAAAAGTTCTCCAACACATTTCCATACACGCCACAGTGCCTTAGTGTTGGATGGTTGCCTCCTCATTAAGATCCGCACGGACGCGGCGTTGGCGGCACAAGGAAAAAATCAAACGCGTGTTTGCGGACCAGAAGAAAAGACCTAAAGACGAAGTTGCCGCCTCCACCACCTGTGCTGGGTCCCTCATTCTTCTTGGGGAGGTGGCGAACCCATCAAGAGGAAATAGGGAGAGTAAGCAAGTAAAAAGTTTCGCGTACCGCAGCTATAAATCAAGTGGTGCGGTCGTGTGCGTTCCAGCTCGCAAGTGTGCGTACACAAACCCAAACCAGCCATTCGTATTCTTCTTTAAATGTGTGCTGTTTGCTTTTTCGAGAGCAGCACCAGCGAGGTTTCCAGTCACCTGTTTGAGCGAATACTTCAAAAGGGATGCCACGTCCACTTGACAGGGATGTCAAAATGAGAGGAGTAAAACCGTCGTTATCTTGCTTCGTGCACTCCATGTCGTTAATCGAAGATCCCTCCCCTTCACTTAGTTTACCGTATATCCCTACCCTTTACTAACTATTTAGTGTGAGTTTGGTTGGTAAAAATTGCAAATAGCCGTGGTTTAGATTTGAAAAATCGGTTTTGATATCAACCGTTAGGTAATACCTGCCCTTTACTACACTTCTACAAATGCAAACAAATTGAGCCCTGTTGAAAGATGTGTCTGCAAAGTGCAAGTAAAATGTGTCACCCGATTCAGTCAAAATTTACCATTTACTGACAGTGTTATAGTGTATTAGGCAGCATTAATCCTGTGATTACTGTTGTTATAAATGGACACACTGCGACAACTCTTTTCAATCTAAATTGCTAATATGCACATGACAGGCATTAGTCTCTTTATGGAAGTTAAGTGCAATCTGAGTGGAAGGGCTATGAAGAAACATTGTCTGTTCAGTGGCAAGGAAGTTTGCAAACAAATCATACATTTTATAGTGCCTTTAAGGGTCACAGTAAATTGTTACTAGTGCTTCTGGAGGTGTGAAAAAGACTGCCCATTACCATATGAAAATGAGGTTTGTGGAACTCGCATAAAAATCGAAAGCGTAAAGCGATAATACTCAGCGTTGTTGAAGCAACCACAACGTAAGCTTGAAGATGTTTGCTCACCGTACTTTGCCTGACGTAACGTACCAAATAAATCCACTCCACACTTATACGTGATCAGACTTTTAGTTGACACAGAGAAGGTAAATGTAATATTTTAAGCCCCCTTGAAAAAACACCAAGTGATTTAACTTCGAGATGTAATTCTTTAAAGTTCTAAAAGCGTCCACATCATACTAGTTGTCTAAATGCACTGAGGGGTCTAGCATTACTCAGTGATTTTGATTTATCAATAGAAGCAGTCTTATCTAATTAACACTCGCCGTAGGATTTGGGTTCAGTGCGATTATTTCGTGGCCCGGTAGTTGTGAACATCACAGCAAATAATGGATTTAAAATCAGGCAGGTCTTTTCTCAATTACTTGATTTCCTGAATGTCTTCCGCATCCCAATAATTATTTGATGCAATGCTTCAAGCTATGTGGTAAATACTTGCCAGCTTATCCTAAATGTTAGGTTATTCCAGCATCCGTAACACAATGATTTATTGTTGATAAAATATTTACACTCTTATTAAAGCCTCTCATTTCACAATATTAAACCTCTGGTTCCCATTAAAATAAGTATGAATGAAGGAGATTCTGTGTCATAAACAAAGCGGAAGTGGCAACAATCCCTGCTTGTATTTTGCTGAATAGGTATAGTTAAACCGGTGTTAAATCTAAGAGCCTCGAACGCTCTAAATTGTCTCGCTGCCAGCGCAGTGCACATGGTCAGGGGTTTGAGTAAAAAAGCTTGCGCTACCAATGTATTTAACCAGTATCAAAGGCGTTTATCAGACCCGATTCACAAAATTCGGTACCAGGGCCCGATGAGGGGTCTGACATGGCAACACACGCTCTTGTCTAGACTTTCATTGCCCCGTTGCTGTGCCACTTACTCCCAGGCGCCGGGGCTTTATCAAAGCCAGCAGGGGAGGCATGTGAATAAAATGGTCGAAAAATTTTGCGTGTTGGGGCCGTGATTTATGCCTGCTCCTCGAAGAGTCAGCTGTCGCCAAATTATGCACGCGACCGACAGATTAAAGTTTTCGCTTATTCGCTCTGTCAGAAAAACTTTTGACACGAATTATATTATCTACAATTATTCCAACATTTGTGTGTTCAGAAGTCAGACACTTGACACTTGGTTAGTGATAACATTCAGCTACTTAGAAGATGCTTAATCTTTCTTAAAATTTGCTTCTCTATTAACAAATTCATTTCTCAGGGCATCTAGCACCAAAGTATGAACAAGTATGAAGTATAAAATGGAGTCGGCTGTGCATGGTAAAGTAAGGATAAATACAAATATAAGAGTTCATCTGAATTTGCAGTTCCTGGAACTGGGAGTGCCACTGTCTAATCTAAGGCCGTTAGACAAGTCAACTTAGATTTTTACGTCCATTTTGTCTTGAGAATTTACAACATTACAATAACAAGGAGCTTTAAATCATACTTAAGTCAACTTTTAGAAATGTGAACTTCAATCTGCACCATTGTGCAGCACGTTCTCGGATAGAGCAATCGATTAAAATTGATGCTAAACCACTCAATTAAGTGACCAATCCGAAATTGTAAAAGTAATGTTCTAGGGCAAATAAGTATGACTGGAAAGAAAAAGCATCATTGTATTTTATGGCAGTTTTTAATAGGAAGCTCGGTGGTTAGTGAGTCAGAATCAACGAAATATGATGCCAAGTAGCGACTCAATGCATTAATCAACTAACTCCAATGTTTAAAAATCTTATTAAGTCTATTCCGATGGGCATTTGTCAGATGTTTACAAACGTAGGGTCTATCTTATGCTATTATGAATGAAGTGGTAATTGGGTTTGCATACACTCTTCCACAGGTTTTTTAATAGATCCCTTTAACTAAGTACTAATTTTGCGATTGTCTGGAAGTATAGGAAGAAGTTCATTTACACTTAAAATTTAGACAAACATTAGAAGTAACTGGCCAAAAACTTTAGCTGATGCACTAGTTAAAGTCTGCTGTCATTAGTCTAGTGAAAACTGAATCAAAACTGCATTCACATCGCCATCAGCCTAGACTCAAATAAGTAGCAACCGAGGAAACGACCAAATTTTAAGTAACCCTGTGAGGAGAATCAACCATGATACCTTTAAACATTACGTAGATAGTACATCATGTTGTACGATTGTTCACCTCAATGACTGCTTTTAAGGCCTCCTTTAACTAATTTCTTTTCCTAAATTTAATTGCTCGCGTTTGCCTGAATGTGAGATTACCTTATATCGGATGCTTGAAAATGTCAAAGCGTATAAGCTGTCGAGATATAAAAATTGATGAACCCTAAGTTAGCAGACAGTGACAAAGCTTTGTTCTTGTGCTTCATCAAATTGAGCGTCATCACACTATGAACTTACAGTCACATGTGCCTACTGTCTACATAAAATATGCGTATCGGTGTTAAGTAAATGTAACTATGACTAAGACTGGTGTTTTTAACTTCTTCAAAGGTTGGTTTTCGACGTCGGTTACAACCTTGCAACACGAAGCCCTTCTTTTAACTGTCCACCTTTGTATTGCCCCCTGCATGCGCGCACGCGAGTACCACAACAAGCGCTTTCCCTTCGCTTATTGTCTTTCAAGTAAGCCGACATTCGCACACAAATGCACCCAAGAAACTAAGTGCGTCTCAACTGTGCGATCCCGTCCGCCAGATCAAAGGTGTATGTTGGAGCCCCCACATCCTCTTCTCGACCTCTCGACTCTGTGAGGGCTAGTCATGTGAGTGATTGGTTGCATTGTTTCAGGAGCCCGCAACAAAACTTCACAAAGGCAAAAAGCTGCTGATTAGCTTCTTCAGTATTCATTCCACATGTTGTTTCCCAAAGTATGAGAATTATACCAAGTCTGCTGCAAATTTAGGCTAGAACTGACTTCAGGGAAGTCAATCAGAGTTACAAAATACTGATAAGGCAACTTAACAGTCCACCGTAGATATCGCTACTTCGTAAATAGTTTGGATATCATGTAAGTAGATGGTGCAACTTAGCTTCACAGTTGCTTAAAATCTGCAATGCTGGTGTACGGTTGCAAGCAACGACCCAAATATAATTGGTAGGCGTGGTATTTAATTGTTATTTCACTAGAGGATTTTGTTATTAAATTTTCAAAGATAAAAGAAGTTCCAGGCTTGCATTTCTGTTAGTAGGTATAAGTGGACAATATCATATTCCATTGTCGTTCATTTTGCATCTAAGTTTATCTTAAAACTGTTGAACAATTCACGTAGAAGTGAACTAATTTGGATTTGCTTAATTTGCAAAATAAATCAGCAAAATATCCGTCTATTAGAGGAGATTTATCGGAATGCCGGATGAAAGTGACTGTTTTGTCAAGACCAGCGTAGTTACATCCCTACTTAGAGTAAGACTGCTCTTTTGTCATCTAATGAAATTTAAGCTGCAAATTGGGACAACTGTACACGCTTTGTAAGAACGTGCAACTTCAAAGTATGAATTGATATTTTTTAGTTGCTGGTCTTTTTGATCGAGCTGTTTCCAGCCAGCGCGACAAAACACTTGGCCTTTTTTCTTCGAGTAACGGCGGCACTGCCTTCTTAAGTTTTTCTTCTTTGAAGTAGGCAAGGGGGTAATTTTTCTTCCGTTTTATCGAAAAGAGCAGGCTAGCTTCCACACCCCTCTGAAAGTGCATCACAGGTACGAACAACTTCGCTTGAATACCACAAACACGTGGAAGATATGTTCGATGTATTTCTAGGAAAAGTTCACCAAGACTTGGTGTTACTCGTGACACAGACGTCCAGGCATCCGGAAAATACCAAGAATCCTGGAGATGGTCGCTTTTATGTACCTGATGGATTTCCCCATAGAGCGCCCGCGCGCAGTGCTAACAGCAGCCACTCTGGATGGGCCTCATTAAGCGCGTGGTAGTGAATGTGGTGGGAGGTGAGACACGACTTCAAAGGTCGCACACGACTTCTTCCCTCATGCTACTGCTGCAACACAGCTTCAGACAGAAGGGAAGAAAAATTGGCCTAAATCTGTGATTAATCGACTCCTGCATGCATATGCGTACGCACACACGCTTCTGTCTAGACTGTGGCACAAAATTACACGTTTGTGAGGCCTACTTTGATGTTTTAGTTGGCGATCGTGCAGGAGAGTGAACACTGTATTTGAACATCCGTTAATACTTTGATTTATGTAGATGATATTACCGATTCAAATATTATTATTATTATACTCGAGGATGTCTTTTCTCAAGTTTGATTATATTAGACAAGATCAGTGCGCTTACAGAAATTATCACTTTAGCGAAAGTGGCATCATTACATAATGAATTTAATGACAATCGCTTTATAAAAAGACAATGACGAGGTAAATCAGCATGTGTAAGGGAGGATTGGCCATATTCCTCGTACTCAGTTGTCTGTCGAGTCCCTCCGGCTATATAACCTCTGAAAGGTAGGAATGAATTGCAATCGAAGTCATTGACAATAAACAGGAAAAACGATGATATTTTAAGACCAGAAAGCAATACTAAGGTATTATAAGATAACTGGATATTAACCTTAAACCTTTAGTATGTGCATAAACTGGACGAAATTATTTCGCTTAAAATTTAATCAGTGATCTCACTTTTGAAGGTCTTTTTGATAGGAACCCATATTAAAATTCACTGTTAATGGCATTTTATCATATTTGAGGATACTGTGCCAAAACTACTCATTCAATACCAATAGTCTTTTCATCCAAATTTTTGGTCGTATCATAACATGCTGTGAAATACTCAATGCTGATGGGATTTGAACCAACAGTCATTCGAAGATGTGAGTAAATTTCGTGAAAACTTGTTTACTTACCACTTACAAGCAAATTTCCCATTGTCCAGCCAACTGAGATAACAGCTAAACTGGGTATTAAATTTCTCCCTAATTAACTGTTAGCAGGTGGCAGCCTTGATAAACCCAGGAGACAATTATCATACCTCTAGTTATACAAGGAGTACATACCTTTTAACGAATTTTTCTTTCAGCCATAACTGGCTTAAAATTTAAATACACCTCTGAGCACAGCTCCATTATTCGCCTGAGTGTAGCTTCTTGGATTACCACTTAGGCCATCTAAAGGACCAACACTTGTCAGACAAAATAAACGAACATATGCAATTGAGATATGTATCTTGTGGGCTGCATTAAAAGAAGCAATAGTAAATCGATATTTTGATCGAAAGTGGAAACAATTATAGCTTCCCAGTTTCATCCATGAGTGTCATCAAATTTTAAATACACAAACGAGCTGCTACAAACAGTTTTAGTCCTATTGCAGATTTGTCGAATGACAACTTCGATGATCTTGACTTATACATTGAAACAAACATGGCGTGATAAAAAATTTAGATAGAACCATTTTAGTTACGGTCTTTTTGAATATTCTGTTGAATAAAATCACACCCTTAAGTGGTTATTTTCGCCAAAAATCAAGAGAGTGCTTCCTTTAGAATGCTAGCCTGAACAATGCTTATTTTATTTTCACGCTTAAAAATTACTTTCTATATTTATGATTGTTTTACCGATTAAAAGTAAGGCAGAATATAACCCACAAGTAAGGGCTACCATTTACTATTTCCAAGCTGTTTACTAAGGCTAGATCTTAAATTATTGCACCTGAGATTTTAACTTTAAAGTATAAATGAAGTTACTTGAAAGAATACGGAAATGCTTCAGTGGCTGACATGCAAAAATTGGCATTAATTTGTTTAGACATTACAATATAACTTCTTTAGTCATCGCTGAACCCACACACACCTATGCTGAAGCATAAATCTATGATTTCAGAAAAGGCATAAATCTATGGCTTCGCCAAACTACCAATTTGGATCCCTTGAAAAAAAATTGGGATTTTTAGCAAAGTAAACCCAAATAAACACCGAAAATGTCTTAAATATTTTCATGCTAATCATCGAAGCATTGCAGGTTAAGTCAGAGTCTGTTAAATAAGAAGAGAACTAACTTTAAATGTGCCGATTTCGGAGCAGCGAAACATTGTAGTAGTAAGTGTGGGAGAACAACTACAGTGTTCCAAATGGGACACTCTCTAAGGATAGATTTCTTGAATAAAATTAGATCTGACGATAATTTTCCTATTCTCACCTAAATGATCATTGTGAACCCTTGAATGTATCTTTGTGCATAGGAATCACTTGATTGATGAGGTGCAGTATCGGAAAAAGCCATACTCCTTCCACCTTCGTACCGTTTTCCCAAGACAACAGAAAGTCAGCTTTTTGATCTTGTTCAGGTAAGAACAGCTAGGCGGCTAAAATGTTTTTTCATCAGTTACCTGATACTGTTTTTTGTTGAAAGTCACCGGTGGTAAAATTCCGATCTGAGAAATATTTGTGGCCAGGCCTCGTGTTCAAGTTGCGCACCCCGATGGTACAGTTAAGGTTTGAGTTAATTTGGAACCCAACATCCACGGTTACTTGAAGTGGTGTCATCATATAAAGTGAGTATACGCCCAAGTCTAGATTTCAGGTTAACATGCCCATAAATCGTGTAACTCAACAGAGTTGTAAATTGGTCATTAATTTTGTGCTTGATATTTCAGATGGCGTCTTCAACTGTTGACTTAAACGTTTCTCCAACTTCTGTATAGAAGTCAAATAAACTGGTAGAAGGTGCTGAGTGTGTGCTCAGAGGTTGAAGTAAAATAAATTTATTTGGCCAAATCACAAAACTCCCTCACAATTACAAATTTCGGATCCACACATTTTGCAAAAAATGATAGGATCTGATTATTTTAAAGCGACTACCAATAACTAAAAGTTATAGCGCACTCGGTCACTTTGTAATATGCAAGAATCTTTTTAAAATTCTGAAACTGTCAGTTTTCATAGATGAAAATTCTTCTATTAGATATTGATGACAGTCGTTCTTTTATCATTGTCTTTAACAGAATTTCGCATCTAGTAATTGCATTTTAGTTGATGAGTGCAGCATTTTTTGTTAAATATAATTAATACAAGGCGAATGCAGACAAGGTTCAAATCGCTATCAGCCCCGATTTCACCTTGCCGACAGTGAGGAAATAAAATATGCTTCGCTCACCATGGTCAACTATGCTATTGGCAAGCTGTATGTTCGCAAAATGCATGCACGTGAAAGTAAAGAACTGTAAATGTCATAGTGAAAATACAATTGCATTAAAATAGCTATTTCGTTTGCAGCAGCAACTTGTGTTAAGCACTTATGGACCAACTTATCAATAGAGGTGAGTCCTAACCTGACGGAATTACATTTAAAATTAATCCAGCATTAAAAATGAATGGGTCACGGAGGAACTGGTCGAAATAAAAATCTTCCGTTAAAAAAGAACAACGCCTGGGAGTCCCTGTGTTAAAGTTCTGTGGCTATCTGGAATAGTCGTAAAAGTTAAACGTCATCATTTTCTGGCAGATTTACATTAAGATAGACTTAAAAAATATGCAAAACTTCGGAATATTTTGTCCGACGTGTTGTCATTAGTCTCTATCAACGTAGAACAAAAAAAACATACAGATAATTGACCTAAGGGGATTTATGACAAGAAGTTTCTTGAGCAGTAGGTATTTTAAAGACAAGTGTAAATGAAACCAGCAAAATAGAAATAAACGACAGGCTAGCTAAAATAAATGACGTAAAATAAGTATAGAACATAAAAGAGTCATGCCAACTTACTTAGTTAAAATGTCTGCAACACCTAAATATGG